GATTTTAACCCTAACGCCAAAAAACTTAAACCTTACCATAGCCCCAAAACCTAATACCCGGGTATTACTTTCAGGGAGCCCGAAAACCCCCAATAATATTTTTTTATTTTTTCATTTTTTTGGTCTAACTAACTCCAAAAGGTTGGAAAAGAGTTCCTACAAAGGTTTTGGACAGTGATTTTAACCCTAACGCCAAAAACCTTAAACCTTACCCTAGCCTTGAAATCTAATACCCGGGTATTACCTTCAGGAAGCCTGAACACCCCAAATATTTTTTTCTTCATTTTACATTTTTGTTGGTGTAACCAACTCCAAAAGGTTGGAAAAGAGTTCCTACAAAGGTTTTGGACAGTGATTTTAACCCTAATGCCAAAAAACTTAATCCTTACCCTAGCCTCAAAATCTAATACCCGGGTATTACATTCAGGAACCCCGAAAACCCCAAATATTGTTTTTTAATTTTTCATTTTTTTTTGGTCTAACTAACTCCAAAAGGTTGGAAAGAGTTCCTACAAAGGTTTTGGACAGTGATTTTAACCCTAACGCCAAAAAACTTAAACCTTACCATAGCCCCAAAACCTAATACCCGGGTATTACTTTCAGGAGCCCGAAAACCCCCAATAATATTTTTTTCTTTTTTCATATTTTTTGGTCTAACTAACTCCAAAAGGTTGGAAAAGAGTTCCTACAAAGGTTTTGGACAGTGATTTTAACCCTAACGCCAAAAAACTTAAACCTTACCATAGCCCCAAAACCTAATACCCGGGTATTACTTTCAGGGAGCCCGAAAACCCCAAAATATTTTTTTCATTTTTCATTTTTTTTGGTCTAACTAACTCCAAAAGGTTGGAAAAGAGTTCCTACAAAGGTTTTGGACAGTGATTTTAACCCTAACGCCAAAAAACTTAAACCTTACCTAGCCTTAAAATCTAATACCCGGGTATTACTTTCAGGAAGCCCGAAAACCCCAAATATTTTTTTCTTCATTTTTCATTTTTTTGGTCTAACTAACTCCAAAAGGTTGGAAAAGAGTTCCTACAAAGGTTTTGGACAGTGATTTTAACCCTAACGCCAAAAAACTTAAACCTTACCATAGCCCCATAACCTAATACCCGGGTATTACTTTCAGGGAGCCCGAAAACCCCCAATAATATTTTTTTCCTTTTTCATACTTTTTGGTGTAACTAACTCCAAAAGGTTGGAAAAGAGTTCCTACAAAGGTTTTGGACAGTGATTTTAACCCTAACGCCAAAAAACTTAAACCTTACCCTAGCCTTAAAACCTAATACCCGTATATTACATTCAGGAACCCCGAAAACCCCAAATATTGTTTTTTCATTTTTCATTTTTTTTTGGTCTAACTAACTCCAAAAGGTTGGAAAAGAGTTCCTACAAAGGTTTTGGACAGTGATTTTAACCCTAATGCTAAAAAACTTAAACCTTACCCTAGCCTTAAAATCTAATACCCGGGTATTACATTCAGGAACCCCGAAAACCCCAAATATTGTTTTTTCATTTTTCATTTTTTTTGGTCTAACTAACTCCAAAAGGTTGGAAAAGAGTTCCTACAAAGGTTTTGGACAGTGATTTTAACCCTAACGCCAAAAAACGTTAAACCTTACCATAGCCCCATAACCTAATACCCGGGTATTACTTTTAGGAACCCCGAAAACCCCAAATATTTTTTTCATTTTTCATTTTTTTTTGGTCTAACTAACTCCAAAAGGTTGGAAAAGAGTTCCTACAAAGGTTTTGGACAGTGATTTTAACCCTAACGCCCTTAAACCTTTCCATAGTCCCAAAACCTAATACCCGGGTATTACTTTCAGGGGAGCCCGAAAACCCCCAATAATATTTTTTCTTTTTTCATATTTTTTGGTCTAACTAACTCCAAAAGGTTGGAAAAGAGTTCCTACAAAGGTTTTGGACAGTGATTTTAACCCTAACGCCAAAAAACTTAAACCTTACCCTAGCCTTGAAACCTAATACCCGGGTATTACTTTCAGGAAGCCCGAAAACCCCAAATATTTTTTTCTTTTTTCATTTTTTTTGGTCTAACTAACTCCAAAAGGTTGGAAAGAGTTCCTACAAAGGTTTTGGACAGTGATTTTAACCCTAATGCCAAAACTTAAACCTTGGGAACCTAGCCCCAAAACCTAATACCCGGGTATTACTTTCAGGAAGCCCGAAAACCCCCAATAATATTGTTTTTCTAATTTTTCATTTTTTTTTTTTGGTCTAACTAACTCCAAAAGGTTGGAAAGAGTTCCTACAAAGGTTTTGGACAGTGATTTTAACGCCTAACGCCAAAACGTTAAACCTTACCATAGCCCCTTGAAACCTAATACCCGGTATTACTTCAGGAAGGCTGAAAACCCCAAATATTTTTTTTTCATTTTTCATACTTTTTGGTCTAACTAACTCCAAAAGGTTGGAAAAAGAGTTCCTACAAAAGGTTTTGGACAGTGATTTTAACCCTAACGCCAAAAACTTAAACCTTACTAGCCTTAAAATCTAATACCCGGGTATTACCTTCAGAAGCCGAAAACCCCAAATATTTTTTTTCATTTTTCATTTTTTTGGTGTAACCAACTCCAAAAGGTTCGAAAAGAGTTTCCTACAAAGGTTTTGGACAGTGATTTTAACCCTAGCCAAAAAACTTAAACCTTGCCCATACCAGACTTTACATTGTCTTTATATGTATCAGACCCACCTCTGCACCATTCTGAACTATTAACATGAGTCAAAACATCCTCATCTGCTACTACTGCTGCTGCTGAAGCTGTCTCGGCCTTACTTTCATTAATGTGTAGAGCAGTATAGTTTGGGAGAGTTTTAAAATTGTTCCAACACAACAAGTTCACACAAACCCTCATAATCATCCATCCCAGAGGCAGAACACCAGCCTCCAAAATGAGTAGCAATCTCGCATGAAAACTCTACATGAGTCTCTTTGTCACTTTTCCCCCAGCTCCTAAATCTTTGTCTTTAGGTCTCAGGAACCAATTCATATGCCTTAAGTACTGCAGCTTTTACTTAAGCATAATCCATGCAATCAACAGGACTAAAGGCAGAATATGCTTCCTGAGACTTGCCTGTGAGTTAGTTAGACCAAAAAAATGAAAAAAGAAAAAAAAATATTTGGGGTGTTCAGGCTTCCTGAAGTAATACCCGGGTATTAGATTTCAAGGCTAGGGTAAGGTTTAAGGTTTTTGGCGTTAGGGTTAAAATCACTGTCCAAAACCTTTGTAGGAACTCTTTTCCAACCTTTTGGAGTTAGTTAGACCAAAAAATATGAAAAAAGAAAAAAATATTATTGGGGGTTTTCGGGCTCCTGAAAGTAATACCCGGGTATTAGGTTTTGGGGCTATGGTAAGGTTTAAGTTTTTTGGCTGATTAGGGTTAAAATCACTGTCCAAAACCTTTGTAGGAACTCTTTTCCAACCTTTTGGAGTTAGTTAGACCAAAAAAAAAAGAAAAATGAAAAAAAAATATTTGGGGTGTTCAGGCTTCCTAAAAGTAATACCCGGGTATTAGGTTATGGGGCTATGGTAAGGTTTAACGTTTTTTGGCGTTAGGGTTAAAATCACTGTCCAAAACCTTTGTAGGAACTCTTTTCCAACCTTTTGGAGTTAGTTAGACCAAAAAAAAATGAAAAATGAAAAAACAATATTTGGGGTTTTCGGGGTTCCTGAATGTAATACCCGGGTATTAGATTTTAAGGCTAGGGTAAGGTTTAAGTTTTTTGGCATTAGGGTTAAAATCACTGTCCAAAACCTTTGTAGGAACTCTTTTCCAACCTTTTGGAGTTAGTTAGACCAAAAAAAAAATGAAAAATGAAAAAACAATATTTGGGGTTTTCGGGGTTCCTGAATGTAATATACGGGTATTAGATTTTAAGGCTAGGGTAAGGTTTAAGTTTTTTGGCATCAGGGTTAAAATCACTGTCCAAAACCTTTGTAGGAACTCTTTTCCAACCTTTTGGAGTTAGTTACACCAAAAAGTATGAAAAAGGAAAAAAATATTATTGGGGGTTTTCGGGCTCCCTGAAAGTAATACCCGGGTATTAGGTTATGGGGCTATGGTAAGGTTTAAGTTTTTTGGCGTTAGGGTTAAAATCACTGTCCAAAACCTTTGTAGGAACTCTTTTCCAACCTTTTGGAGTTGGTTACACCAACAAAAATGTAAAATGAAGAAAAAAATATTTGGGGTGTTCAGGCTTCCTGAAGGTAATACCCGGGTATTAGATTTCAAGGCTAGGGTAAGGTTTAAGGTTTTTGGCGTTAGGGTTAAAATCACTGTCCAAAACCTTTGTAGGAACTCTTTTCCAACCTTTTGGAGTTAGTTAGACCAAAAAATATGAAAAAAGAAAAAAATATTATTGGGGGTTTTTGGGCTCCCTGAAAGTAATACCCATGTAATAGGTTTTGGGGCTATGGTAAGGTTTAAGTTTTTTGGCGTAAGGGTTAAAATCACTGTCCAAAACCTTTGTAGGAACTCTTTTCCAACCTTTTGGAGTTAGTTAGACCAAAAAGTATGAAAAAAGAAAAAAATATTATTGGGGGTTTTCGGGCTCCCTGAAAGTAATACCCGGGTATTAGGTTTTGGGGCTATGGTAAGGTTTAAGTTTTTTGGCGTTAGGGTTAAAATCACTGTCCAAAACCTTTGTAGGAACTCTTTTCCAACCTTTTGGTGTTAGTTAGACCAAAAAAAAATGAAAAATTAAAAAACAATATTTGGGGTTTTCGGGGTTCCTGAATGTAATACCCGGGTATTAGATTTTGAGGCTAGGGTAAGGTTTAAGTTTTTTGGCATTAGGGTTAAAATCACTGTCCAAAACCTTTGTAGGAACTCTTTTCCAACCTTTTGGAGTTGGTTACACCAACAAAAATGTAAAATGAAGAAAAAAATATTTGGGGTGTTCAGGCTTCCTGAAGGTAATACCCGGGTATTAGATTTCAAGGCTAGGGTAAGGTTTAAGGTTTTTGGCGTTAGGGTTAAAATCACTGTCCAAAACCTTTGTAGGAACTCTTTTCCAACCTTTTGGAGTTAATTAGAACAAAAAATATGAAAAAATAAAAAAATATTATTGGGGGTTTTCGGGCTCCCTGAAAGTAATACCCGGGTATTAGGTTTTGGGGCTATGGTAAGGTTTAAGTTTTTTGGCGTTAGGGTTAAAATCACTGTCCAAAACCTTTGTAGGAACTCTTTTCCAACCTTTTGGTGTTAGTTAGACCAAAAAAAAATGAAAAATGAAAAAACAATATTTGGGGTTTTCGGGGTTCCTGAATGTAATACCCGGGTATTAGATTTTGAGGCTAGGGTAAGGTTTAAGTTTTTTGGCATTAGGGTTAAAATCACTGTCCAAAACCTTTGTAGGAACTCTTTTCCAACCTTTTGGAGTTGGTTACACCAACAAAAATGTAAAATGAAGAAAAAAATATTTGGGGTGTTCAGGCTTCCTGAAGGTAATACCCGGGTATTAGATTTCAAGGCTAGGGTAAGGTTTAAGGTTTTTGGCGTTAGGGTTAAAATCACTGTCCAAAACCTTTGTAGGAACTCTTTTCCAACCTTTTGGAGTTAGTTAGACCAAAAAATATGAAAAAAGAAAAAAATATTATTGGGGGTTTTTGGGCTCCCTGAAAGTAATACCCATGTATTAGGTTTTGGGGCTATGGTAAGGTTTAAGTTTTTTGGCGTTAGGGTTAAAATCACTGTCCAAAACCTTTGTAGGAACTCTTTTCCAACCTTTTGGAGTTAGTTAGAACAAAAAATATGAAAAAAGAAAAAAATATTATTGGGGGTTTTCGGGCTCCCTGAAAGTAATACCCGGGTATTAGGTTTTGGGGCTATGGTAAGGTTTAAGTTTTTTGGCGTTAGGGTTAAAATCACTGTCCAAAACCTTTGTAGGAACTCTTTTCCAACCTTTTGGAGTTAGTTAGACCAAAAAAAATGAAAAATGAAAAAAACAATATTTGGGGTTTTCGGGGTTCCTGAATGTAATACCCGGGTATTAGATTTTAAGGCTAGGGTAAGGTTTAAGTTTTTTGGCATTAGGGTTAAAATCACTGTCCAAAACCTTTGTAGGAACTCTTTTCCAACCTTTTGGAGTTAGTTAGACCAAAAAGTATGAAAAAAGAAAAAAATATTATTGGGGGTTTTCGGGCTCCCTGAAAGTAATACCCGGGTATTAGGTTTTGGGGCTATGGTAAGGTTTAAGTTTTTTGGCGTTAGGGTTAAAATCACTGTCCAAAACCTTTGTAGGAACTCTTTTCCAACCTTTTGGTGTTAGTTAGACCAAAAAAAAATGAAAAATTAAAAAACAATATTTGGGGTTTTCGGGGTTCCTGAATGTAATACCCGGGTATTAGATTTTGAGGCTAGGGTAAGGTTTAAGTTTTTTGGCATTAGGGTTAAAATCACTGTCCAAAACCTTTGTAGGAACTCTTTTCCAACCTTTTGGAGTTGGTTACACCAACAAAAATGTAAAATGAAGAAAAAAATATTTGGGGTGTTCAGGCTTCCTGAAGGTAATACCCGGGTATTAGATTTCAAGGCTAGGGTAAGGTTTAAGGTTTTTGGCGTTAGGGTTAAAATCACTGTCCAAAACCTTTGTAGGAACTCTTTTCCAACCTTTTGGAGTTAGTTAGACCAAAAAATATGAAAAAAGAAAAAAATATTATTGGGGGTTTTTGGGCTCCCTGAAAGTAATACCCATGTATTAGGTTTTGGGACTAGGGAAAGGTTTAAGGGTTTTGGCATTAGGGTTAAAATCACTGTCCAAAACCTTTGTAGGAACTCTTTTCCAACCTTTTGCAGTTAGTTAGACCAAAAAAAAAAGAAAAATGAAAAAAAAATATTTGGGGTGTTCAGGCTTCCTAAAAGTAATACCCGGGTATTAGGTTATGGGGCTATGGTAAGGTTTAACGTTTTGGCGTTAGGTTTAAAATCACTGTCCAAAACCTTTGTAGGAACTCTTTAACAACCTTTTGGATTTAGTTAGACCAAAAAAAAAAATGAAAAATTAAAAAAAATATATTTGGGGTGTTCAGGCTTCCTAAAAGTAATACCCGGGTATTAGGTTATGGGGCTATGGTAAGGTTTAAGGTTTTTGGCGTTAGGGTTAAAATCACTGTCCAAAACCTTTGTAGGAACTCTTTTCAAACCTTTTGGAGTTAGTTAGACCAAAAAGTATGAAAAAAGAAAAAAATATTATTGGGGGTTTTCAGGCTCCCTGAAAGTAATACCCGGGTATTAGGTTTTGGGGCTATGGTAAGGTTTAAGTTTTTTGGCGTTAGGGTTAAAATCACTGTCCAAAACCTTTGTAGGAACTCTTTTCCAACCTTTTGGAGTTAGTTAGACCAAAAAAAAATGAAAAATGAAAAAACAATATTTGGGGTTTTCGGGGTTCCTGAATGTAATACCCGGGTATTAGATTTTAAGGCTAGGGTAAGGTTTAAGTTTTTTGGCATTAGGGTTAAAATCACTGTCCAAAACCTTTGTAGGAACTCTTTTCCAACCTTTTGGAGTTAGTTAGACCAAAAAAAAAATGAAAAATGAAAAAACAATATTTGGGGTTTTCGGGGTTCCTGAATGTAATATACGGGTATTAGATTTTAAGGCTAGGGTAAGGTTTAAGTTTTTTGGCATCAGGGTTAAAATCACTGTCCAAAACCTTTGTAGGAACTCTTTTCCAACCTTTTGGAGTTAGTTACACCAAAAAGTATGAAAAAGGAAAAAAATATTATTGGGGGTTTTCGGGCTCCCTGAAAGTAATACCCGGGTATTAGGTTATGGGGCTATGGTAAGGTTTAAGTTTTTTGGCGTTAGGGTTAAAATCACTGTCCAAAACCTTTGTAGGAACTCTTTTCCAACCTTTTGGAGTTGGTTACACCAACAAAAATGTAAAATGAAGAAAAAAATATTTGGGGTGTTCAGGCTTCCTGAAGGTAATACCCGGGTATTAGATTTCAAGGCTAGGGTAAGGTTTAAGGTTTTTGGCGTTAGGGTTAAAATCACTGTCCAAAACCTTTGTAGGAACTCTTTTCCAACCTTTTGGAGTTAGTTAGACCAAAAAATATGAAAAAAGAAAAAAATATTATTGGGGGTTTTTGGGCTCCCTGAAAGTAATACCCATGTAATAGGTTTTGGGGCTATGGTAAGGTTTAAGTTTTTTGGCGTTAGGGTTAAAATCACTGTCCAAAACCTTTGTAGGAACTCTTTTCCAACCTTTTGGAGTTAGTTAGAACAAAAAATATGAAAAAAGAAAAAAATATTATTGGGGGTTTTCGGGCTCCCTGAAAGTAATACCCGGGTATTAGGTTTTGGGGCTAGGGTAAGGTTTAAGTTTTTTTGCGTTAGGGTTAAAATCACTGTCCAAAACCTTTGTAGGAACTCTTTTCCAACCTTTTGGAGTTAGTTAGACCAAAAAAAAATGAAAAATGAAAAAAACAATATTTGGGGTTTTCGGGGTTCCTGAATGTAATACCCGGGTATTAGATTTTAAGGCTAGGGTAAGGTTTAAGTTTTTTGGCATTAGGGTTAAAATCACTGTCCAAAACCTTTGTAGGAACTCTTTTCCAACCTTTTGGAGTTAGTTAGACCAAAAAGTATGAAAAAAGAAAAAAATATTATTGGGGGTTTTCGGGCTCCCTGAAAGTAATACCCGGGTATTAGGTTTTGGGGCTATGGTAAGGTTTAAGTTTTTTGGCGTTAGGGTTAAAATCACTGTCCAAAACCTTTGTAGGAACTCTTTTCCAACCTTTTGGTGTTAGTTAGACCAAAAAAAAATGAAAAACTAAAAAACAATATTTGGGGTTTTCGGGGTTCCTGAATGTAATACCCGGGTATTAGATTTTGAGGCTAGGGTAAGGTTTAAGTTTTTTGGCATTAGGGTTAAAATCACTGTCCAAAACCTTTGTAGGAACTCTTTTCCAACCTTTTGGAGTTAGTTAGACCAAAAAAAAAATGAAAAATGAAAAAACAATATTTGGGGTTTTCGGGGTTCCTGAATGTAATATACGGGTATTAGATTTTAAGGCTAGGGTAAGGTTTAAGTTTTTTGGCATCAGGGTTAAAATCACTGTCCAAAACCTTTGTAGGAACTCTTTTCCAACCTTTTGGAGTTAGTTACACCAAAAAGTATGAAAAAGGAAAAAAATATTATTGGGGGTTTTCGGGCTCCCTGAAAGTAATACCCGGGTATTAGGTTATGGGGCTATGGTAAGGTTTAAGTTTTTTGGCGTTAGGGTTAAAATCACTGTCCAAAACCTTTGTAGGAACTCTTTTCCAACCTTTTGGAGTTGGTTACACCAACAAAAATGTAAAATGAAGAAAAAAATATTTGGGGTGTTCAGGCTTCCTGAAGGTAATACCCGGGTATTAGATTTCAAGGCTAGGGTAAGGTTTAAGGTTTTTGGCGTTAGGGTTAAAATCACTGTCCAAAACCTTTGTAGGAACTCTTTTCCAACCTTTTGGAGTTAGTTAGACCAAAAAATATGAAAAAAGAAAAAAATATTATTGGGGGTTTTTGGGCTCCCTGAAAGTAATACCCATGTATTAGGTTTTGGGGCTATGGTAAGGTTTAAGTTTTTTGGCGTTAGGGTTAAAATCACTGTCCAAAACCTTTGTAGGAACTCTTTTCCAACCTTTTGGAGTTAGTTAGAACAAAAAATATGAAAAAAGAAAAAAATATTATTGGGGGTTTTCGGGCTCCCTGAAAGTAATACCCGGGTATTAGGTTTTGGGGCTATGGTAAGGTTTAAGTTTTTTGGCGTTAGGGTTAAAATCACTGTCCAAAACCTTTGTAGGAACTCTTTTCCAACCTTTTGGAGTTAGTTAGACCAAAAAAAAATGAAAAATGAAAAAAACAATATTTGGGGTTTTCGGGGTTCCTGAATGTAATACCCGGGTATTAGATTTTAAGGCTAGGGTAAGGTTTAAGTTTTTTGGCATTAGGGTTAAAATCACTGTCCAAAACCTTTGTAGGAACTCTTTTCCAACCTTTTGGAGTTAGTTAGACCAAAAAGTATGAAAAAAGAAAAAAATATTATTGGGGGTTTTCGGGCTCCCTGAAAGTAATACCCGGGTATTAGGTTTTGGGGCTATGGTAAGGTTTAAGTTTTTTGGCGTTAGGGTTAAAATCACTGTCCAAAACCTTTGTAGGAACTCTTTTCCAACCTTTTGGTGTTAGTTAGACCAAAAAAAAAATGAAAAATTAAAAAACAATATTTGGGGTTTTCGGGGTTCCTGAATGTAATACCCGGGTATTAGATTTTGAGGCTAGGGTAAGGTTTAAGTTTTTTGGCATTAGGGTTAAAATCACTGTCCAAAACCTTTGTAGGAACTCTTTTCCAACCTTTTGGAGTTGGTTACACCAACAAAAATGTAAAATGAAGAAAAAAATATTTGGGGTGTTCAGGCTTCCTGAAGGTAATACCCGGGTATTAGATTTCAAGGCTAGGGTAAGGTTTAAGGTTTTTGGCGTTAGGGTTAAAATCACTGTCCAAAACCTTTGTAGGAACTCTTTTCCAACCTTTTGGAGTTAGTTAGACCAAAAAATATGAAAAAAAAAAAAATATTATTGGGGGTTTTTGGGCTCCCTGAAAGTAATACCCATGTATTAGGTTTTGGGACTAGGGAAAGGTTTAAGGGTTTTGGCATTAGGGTTAAAATCACTGTCCAAAACCTTTGTAGGAACTCTTTTCCAACCTTTTGGAGTTAGTTAGACCAAAAAAAAAAGAAAAAAGAAAAAAATATTATTGGGGGTTTTTGGGCTCCCTGAAAGTAATACCCATGTATTAGGTTTTGGGACTAGGGAAAGGTTTAAGGGTTTTGGCATTAGGGTTAAAATCACTGTCCAAAACCTTTGTAGGAACTCTTTTCCAACCTTTTGGAGTTAGTTAGACCAAAAAAAAAAGAAAAATGAAAAAAAAATATTTGGGGTGTTCAGGCTTCCTAAAAGTAATACCCGGGTATTAGGTTATGGGGCTATGGTAAGGTTTAACGTTTTGGCGTTAGGTTTAAAATCACTGTCCAAAACCTTTGTAGGAACTCTTTAACAACCTTTTGGATTTAGTTAGACCAAAAAAAATGAAAAATTAAAAAAAATATATTTGGGGTGTTCAGGCTTCCTAAAAGTAATACCCGGGTATTAGGTTATGGGGCTATGGTAAGGTTTAAGGTTTTTGGCGTTAGGGTTAAAATCACTGTCCAAAACCTTTGTAGGAACTCTTTTCCAACCTTTTGGAGTTAGTTAGACCAAAAAGTATGAAAAAAGAAAAAAATATTATTGGGGGTTTTCGGGCTCCCTGAAAGTAATACCCATGTATTAGGTTTTGGGGCTATGGTAAGGTTTAAGTTTTTTGGCGTTAGGGTTAAAATCACTGTCCAAAACCTTTGTAGGAACTCTTTTCCAACCTTTTGGAGTTAGTTAGACCAAAAAAAAAAGAAAAATGAAAAAACAATATTTGGGGTTTTCGGGGTTCCTGAATGTAATACCCGGGTATTAGATTTTAAGGCTAGGGTAAGGTTTAAGTTTTTTGGCATTAGGGTTAAAATCACTGTCCAAAACCTTTGTAGGAACTCTTTTCCAACCTTTTGGAGTTAGTTAGACCAAAAAAAAAATGAAAAATGAAAAAACAGTATTTGGGGTTTTCGGGGTTCCTGAATGTAATATACGGGTATTAGATTTTAAGGCTAGGGTAAGGTTTAAGTTTTTTGGCATCAGGGTTAAAATCACTGTCCAAAACCTTTGTAGGAACTCTTTTCCAACCTTTTGGAGTTAGTTACACCAAAAAGTATGAAAAAAGAAAAAAATATTATTGGGGGTTTTCGGGCTCCCTGAAAGTAATACCCGGGTATTAGGTTATGGGGCTATGGTAAGGTTTAAGTTTTTTGGCGTTAGGGTTAAAATCACTGTCCAAAACCTTTGTAGGAACTCTTTTCCAACCTTTTGGAGTTAGTTAGACCAAAAAATATGAAAAAAGAAAAAAATATTATTGGGGGTTTTCGGGCTCCCTGAAAGTAATACCCGGGTATTAGGTTTTGGGGCTATGGTAAGGTTTAAGTTTTTTGGCGTTAGGGTTAAAATCACTGTCCAAAACCTTTGTAGGAACTCTTTTCCAACCTTTTGGAGTTAGTTAGACCAAAAAATATGAAAAAAGAAAAAAATATTATTGGGGGTTTTTGGGCTCCCTGAAAGTAATACCCATGTATTAGGTTTTGGGACTAGGGAAAGGTTTAAGGGTTTTGGCATTAGGGTTAAAATCACTGTCCAAAACCTTTGTAGGAACTCTTTTCCAACCTTTTGGAGTTAGTTAGACCAAAAAAAAAAGAAAAATGAAAAAACAATATTTGGGGTGTTCAGGCTTCCTAAATTAATACTCGGGTATTAGGTTATGGGGCTATGGTAAGGTTTAACGTTTTGGCGTTAGGTTTAAAATCACTGTCCAAAACCTTTGTAGGAACTCTTTAACAACCTTTTGGATTTAGTTAGACCAAAAAAAAATGAAAAATTAAAAAAAATATATTTGGGGTGTTCAGGCTTCCTAAAAGTAATACCCGGGTATTAGGTTATGGGGCTATGGTAAGGTTTAAGGTTTTTGGCGTTAGGGTTAAAATCACTGTCCAAAACCTTTGTAGGAACTCTTTTCCAACCTTTTGGAGTTAGTTAGACCAAAAAGTATGAAAAAAGAAAAAAATATTATTGGGGGTTTTCGGGCTCCCTGAAAGTAATACCCGGGTATTAGGTTTTGGGGCTATGGTAAGGTTTAAGTTTTTTGGCGTTAGGGTTAAAATCACTGTCCAAAACCTTTGTAGGAACTCTTTTCCAACCTTTTGGAGTTAGTTAGACCAAAAAAAAATGAAAAATGAAAAAACAATATTTGGGGTTTTCGGGGTTCCTGAATGTAATACCCGGGTATTAGATTTTAAGGCTAGGGTAAGGTTTAAGTTTTTTGGCATTAGGGTTAAAATCACTGTCCAAAACCTTTGTAGGAACTCTTTTCCAACCTTTTGGAGTTAGTTAGACCAAAAAAAAAATGAAAAATGAAAAAACAATATTTGGGGTTTTCGGGGTTCCTGAATGTAATATACGGGTATTAGATTTTAAGGCTAGGGTAAGGTTTAAGTTTTTTGGCATCAGGGTTAAAATCACTGTCCAAAACCTTTGTAGGAACTCTTTTCCAACCTTTTGGAGTTAGTTAGACCAAAAAATATGAAAAAAGAAAAAAATATTATTGGGGGTTTTCGGGCTCCCTGAAAGTAATACCCGGGTATTAGGTTTTGGGGCTATGGTAAGGTTTAAGTTTTTTGGCGTTAGGGTTAAAATCACTGTCCAAAACCTTTGTAGGAACTCTTTTCCAACCTTTTGGAGTTAGTTAGACCAAAAAAAAAAAGAAAAATGAAAAAAAAATATTTGGGGTGTTCAGGCTTCCTAAAAGTAATACCCGGGTATTAGGTTATGGGGCTATGGTAAGGTTTAACGTTTTGGCGTTAGGGTTAAAATCACTGTCCAAAACCTTTGTAGGAACTCTTTTCCAACCTTTTGGAGTTAGTTAGACCAAAAAATATGAAAAAAGAAAAAAATATTATTGGGGGTTTTCGGGCTCCCTGAAAGTAATACCCGGGTATTAGGTTTTGGGGCTATGGTAAGGTTTAAGTTTTTTGGCGTTAGGGTTAAAATCACTGTCCAAAACCTTTGTAGGAACTCTTTTCCAACCTTTTGGAGTTAGTTAGACCAAAAAATATGAAAAAAGAAAAAAATATTATTGGGGGTTTTCTGGCTCCCTGAAAGTAATACCCGGGTATTAGGTTTTGGGGCTATGGTAAGGTTTAAGTTTTTTGGCGTTAGGGTTAAAATCACTGTCCAAAACCTTTGTAGGAACTCTTTTCCAACCTTTTGGAGTTAGTTAGACCAAAAAAAAAAGAAAAATGAAAAAAAAATATTTGGGGTGTTCAGGCTTCCTAAAAGTAATACCCGGGTATTAGGTTATGGGGCTATGGTAAGGTTTAACGTTTTGGCGTTAGGGTTAAAATCACTGTCCAAAACCTTTGTAGGAACTCTTTTCCAACCTTTTGGAGTTAGTTAGACCAAAAAATATGAAAAAAGAAAAAAATATTATTGGCGGTTTTCGGGCTCCCTGAAAGTAATACCCGGGTATTAGGTTTTGGGGCTATGGTAAGGTTTAAGTTTTTTGGCGTTAGGGTTAAAATCACTGTCCAAAACCTTTGTAGGAACTCTTTTCCAACCTTTTGGAGTTAGTTAGACCAAAAAATATGAAAAAAGAAAAAAAAATATTATTGGGGGTTTTCGGGCTCCCTGAAAGTAATACCCGGGTATTAGGTTTTGGGGCTATGGTAAGGTTTAAGTTTTTTGGCGTTAGGGTTAAAATCACTGTCCAAAACCTTTGTAGGAACTCTTTTCCAACCTTTTGGAGTTAGTTAGACCAAAAAAAAAAGAAAAATGAAAAAAAAAATATTTGGGGTGTTCAGGCTTCCTAAAAGTAATACCCGGGTATTAGGTTATGGGGCTATGGTAAGGTTTAACGTTTTGGCGTTAGGTTTAAAATCACTGTCCAAAACCTTTGTAGGAACTCTTTTCCAACCTTTTGGAGTTAGTTAGACCAAAAAATATGAAAAAAGAAAAAAATATTATTGGGGGTTTTCGGGCTCCCTGAAAGTAATACCCGGGTATTAGGTTTTGGGGCTATGGTAAGGTTTAAGTTTTTTGGCGTTAGGGTTAAAATCACTGTCCAAAACCTTTGTAGGAACTCTTTTCCAACCTTTTGGAGTTAGTTAGAACAAAAAATATGAAAAAAGAAAAAAATATTATTGGGGGTTTTCGGGCTCCCTGAAAGTAATACCCGGGTATTAGGTTTTGGGGCTATGGTAAGGTTTAAGTTTTTTGGCGTTAGGGTTAAAATCACTGTCCAAAACCTTTGTAGGAACTCTTTTCCAACCTTTTGGAGTTAGTTAGACCAAAAAAAAATGAAAAATGAAAAAACAATATTTGGGGTTTTCGGGGTTCCTGAATGTAATACCCGGGTATTAGATTTTAAGGCTAGGGTAAGGTTTAAGTTTTTTGGCATTAGGGTTAAAATCACTGTCCAAAACTTTTGTAGGAACTCTTTTCCAACCTTTTGGAGTTAGTTAGACCAAAAAGTATGAAAAAAGAAAAAAATATTATTGGGGAGTTCAGGCTCCCTGAAAGTAATACCCGGGTATTAGGTTTTGGGGCTATGGTAAGGTTTAAGTTTTTTGGCGTTAGGGTTAAAATCACTGTCCAAAACCTTTGTAGGAACTCTTTTCCAACCTTTTGGTGTTAGTTAGACCAAAAAAAATGAAAAATTAAAAAACAATATTTGGGGTTTTCGGGGTTCCTGAATGTAATACCCGGGTATTAGATTTTGAGGCTAGGGTAAGGTTTAAGTTTTTTGGCATTAGGGTTAAAATCACTGTCCAAAACCTTTGCAGGAACTCTTTTCCAACCTTTTGGAGTTGGTTACACCAACAAAAATGTAAAATGAAGAAAAAAATATTTGGGGTGTTCAGGCTTCCTGAAGGTAATACCCGGGTATTAGATTTCAAGACTAGGGTAAGGTTTAAGGTTTTTGGCGTTAGGGTTAAAATCACTGTCCAAAACCTTTGTAGGAACTCTTTTCCAACCTTTTGGAGTTAGTTAGACCAAAAAATATGAAAAAAGAAAAAAATATTATTGGGGGTTTTTGGGCTCCCTGAAAGTAATACCCATGTATTAGGTTTTGGGACTAGGGAAAGGTTTAAGGGTTTTGGCATTAGGGTTAAAATCACTGTCCAAAACCTTTGTAGGAACTCTTTTCCAACCTTTTGGAGTTAGTTAGACCAAAAAAAAAAGAAAAATGAAAAAAAAATATTTGGGGTGTTCAGGCTTCCTAAAAGTAATACCCGGGTATTAGGTTACGGGGCTATGGTAAGGTTTAACGTTTTGGCGTTAGGTTTAAAATCACTGTCCAAAACCTTTGTAGGAACTCTTTAACAACCTTTTGGATTTAGTTAGACCAAAAAAAAATGAAAAATTAAAAAAAATATATTTGGGGTGTTCAGGCTTCCTAAAAGTAATACCCGGGTATTAGGTTATGGGGCTATGGTAAGGTTTAAGGTTTTTGGCGTTAGGGTTAAAATCACTGTCCAAAACCTTTGTAGGAACTCTTTTCCAACCTTTTGGAGTTAGTTAGACCAAAAAGTATGAAAAAAGAAAAAAATATTATTGGGGGTTTTCGGGCTCCCTGAAAGTAATACCCGGGTATTAGGTTTTGGGGCTATGGTAAGGTTTAAGTTTTTTGGCGTTAGGGTTAAAATCACTGTCCAAAACCTTTGTAGGAACTCTTTTCCAACCTTTTGGAGTTAGTTAGACCAAAAAAAAAATGAAAAATGAAAAAACAATATTTGGGGTTTTCGGGGTTCCTGAATGTAATACCCGGGTATTAGATTTTAAGGCTAGGGTAAGGTTTAAGTTTTTTGGCATTAGGGTTAAAATCACTGTCCAAAACCTTTGTAGGAACTCTTTTCCAACCTTTTGGAGTTAGTTAGACCAAAAAAAAATGAAAAATGAAAAAACAATATTTGGGGTTTTCGGGGTTCCTGAATGTAATATACGGGTATTAGATTTTAAGGCTAGGGTAAGGTTTAAGTTTTTTGGCATCAGGGTTAAAATCACTGTCCAAAACCTTTGTAGGAACTCTTTTCCAACCTTTTGGAGTTAGTTACACCAAAAAGTATGAAAAAAGAAAAAAATATTATTGGGGGTTTTCGGGCTCCCTGAAAGTAATACCCGGGTATTAGGTTATGGGGCTATGGTAAGGTTTAAGTTTTTTGGCGTTAGGGTTAAAATCACTGTCCAAAACCTTTGTAGGAACTCTTTTCCAACCTTTTGGAGTTAGTTAGACCAAAAAATATGAAAAAAGAAAAAAATATTATTGGGGGTTTTCGGGCTCCCTGAAAGTAATACCCGGGTATTAGGTTTTGGGGCTATGGTAAGGTTTAAGTTTTTTGGCGTTAGGGTTAAAATCACTGTCCAAAACCTTTGTAGGAACTCTTTTCCAACCTTTTGGAGTTAGTTAGACCAAAAAAAAAAAAGAAAAATGAAAAAAAAATATTTGGGGTGTTCAGGCTTCCTAAAAGTAATACCCGGGTATTAGATTATGGGGCTATGGTAAGGTTTAACGTTTTGGCGTTAGGTTTAAAATCACTGTCCAAAACCTTTGTAGGAACTCTTTTCCAACCTTTTGGATTTAGTTAGACCAAAAAAAAATGAAAAATTAAAAAAAATATATTTGGGGTGTTCAGGCTTCCTAAAAGTAATACCCGGGTATTAGGTTATGGGGCTATGGTAAGGTTTAAGGTTTTTGGCGTTAGGGTTAAAATCACTGTCCAAAACCTTTGTAGGAACTCTTTTCCAACCTTTTGGAGTTAGTTAGACCAAAAAGTATGAAAAAAGAAAAAAATATTATTGGGGGTTTTCGGGCTCCCTGAAAGTAATACCCGGGTATTAGGTTTTGGGGCTATGGTAAGGTTTAAGTTTTTTGGCGTTAGGGTTAAAATCACTGTCCAAAACCTTTGTAGGAACTCTTTTCCAACCTTTTGGAGTTAGTTAGACCAAAAAAAAAAAGAAAAATGAAAAAAAAATATTTGGGGTGTTCAGGCTTCCTAAAAGTAATACGTATTAGGTTATGGGGCTATGGTAAGGTTTAACGTTTTGGCGTTAGGTTTAAAATCACTGTCCAAAACCTTTGTAGGAACTCTTTTTCAACCTTTTGGAGTTAGTTAGACCAAAAATTAGATTTTAAGGCTAGGGTAAGGTTTAAGTTTTTTGGCATTAGGGTTAAAATCACTGTCCAAAACCTTTGTAGGAACTCTTTTCCAACCTTTTGGAGTTAGTTAGACCAAAAAGTATGAAAAAAGAAAAAAATATTATTGGGGGTTTTCGGGCTCCCTGAAAGTAATAGTATTAGGTTTTGGGGCTATGGTAAGGTTTAAGTTTTTTGGCGTTAGGGTTAAAATCACTGTCCAAAACCTTTGTAGGAACTCTTTTCCAACCTTTTGGAGTTAGTTAGACCAAAAAATATGAAAAAAGAAAAAAATATTTGGGGTGTTCGGGCTTCCTGAAGGTAATACCCCGGTATTAGATTTTAAGGCTATGGTAAGGTTTAAGTTTTTTGGCGTTAGGGTTAAAATCACTGTCCAAAACCTTTGTAGGAACTCTTTTCCAACCTTTTGGAGTTGGTTACACCAACAAAAATGTAAAATGAACAAAAAAATATTTGGGGTGTTCGGGCTTCCTGAAGGTAATACCCCGGTATTAGATTTTAAGGCTAGGGTAAGGTTTAAGTTTTTTGGCGTTAGGGTTAAAATCACTGTCCAAAACCTTTGTAGGAACTCTTTTCCAACCTTTTGGAGTTTGTTAGACCAATAAAAAATGAAAAAAGAAAAAAAAGATATTTGGGGTTTTCGGGCTTCCTGGAAGTAATACCCGAGTATTAAGTTTTGGGGCTGGAAAAAGGTTTAAGGTTTTTGGCGTTAGGGTTAAAATCACTGTCCAAAACCTTTGTAGGAACTCTTTTCCAACCTTTTGGAGTTAGTTAGACCAAAAAATATGAAAAAAGAAAAAAATATTATTGGGGGTTTTCGGGCTCCCTGAATACCCGGGTATTAGGTTTTGGGGCTATGGTAAGGTTTAAGTTTTTTGGCGTTAGGGTTAAAATCACTGTCCAAAACCTTTGTAGGAACACTTTTCCAACCTTTTGGAATTAGTTAGACCAAAAAATATGAAAAAAAAAAAAAATATTATTTGGGGTTTTCGGGCTTCCTGAAAGTAATACCCGGGTATTAGGTTTTGGGGCTAGGGTAAGGTTTAAGGTTTTTGGCGTTAGGGTTAAAATCACTGTCCAAAACCTTTGTAGGAACTCTTTTCCAACCTTTTGGAGTTAGTTAAACCAAAAAAAAAAAATGAAAAATGAAAAAATATATATTTGGGGTTTTCGGGCTCCCTGAAAGTAATACCCGGGTATTAGATTTTAAGGCTAGGGTAAGGTTTAAGTTTTTTGGCGTTAGGGTTAAAATCACTGTCCAAAACCTTTGTAGGAACTCTTTTCCAACCTTTTGGAGTTAGTTAGACCAAAAAAAAATGAAAAATGAAAAAAAAATATTTGGGGTTTTCGGGCTTCCTGAAGTAATACCCGGGTATTAGGTTTTAAGGCTATGGTAAGGTTTAAGTTTTTTGGCGTTAGGGTTAAAATCACTGTCCAAAACCTTTGTAAGAACGCTTTTCCAACCTTTTGGAGTTAGTTAGACCAAAAAAAAAAGAAAAATGAAAAAAATATATTTGGAGTTTTCGGGCTTCCTGAAAGTAATACCCGGGTATTAGGTTTTGGGGCTATGGTAAGGTTTAAGTTTTTTGGCGTTAGGGTTAAAATCACTGTCCAAAACCTTTGTAGGAACTCTTTTCCAACCTTTTGGAGTTAGTTAGACCAAAAAATATGAAAAAAGAAAAAAATATTATTGGGGGTTTTCGGGCTTCCTGAAAGTAATACCCGGGTATTAGGTTTTGGGGCTAGGGTAAGGTTTAAGTTTTTTGGCGTTAGGGTTAAAATCACTGTCCAAAACCTTTGTAGGAACTCTTTTCCAACCTTTTGGAGTTAGTTAGACCAAAAAAAAATGAAAAAAAGAAAAAAATATATTGGGGGTTTTCGGGCTTCCTAAAGTAATACCCGGGTATTAGGTTTTGGGCTAGGGTAAGGTTTAAGTTTTTTGGCGTTAGGGTTAAAATCACTGTCCAAAACCTTTGTAGGAACTCTTTTCCAACCTTTTGGAGTTAGTTAGACAAAAAAAAAAAGAATAATGAAAAAAAAATATTTGGGGTGTTCAGGCTTCCTAAAAGTAATACCCGGGTATTAGGTTTTGGGGCTATGGTAAGGTTTAAGGTTTTTGGCGTTAGGGTTAAAATCACTGTCCAAAACCTTTGTAGGAACTCTTTTCCAACCTTTTGGAGTTAGTTAGACCAAAAAAAAATGAAAAATGAAAAAAATATATTTGGGGGTTTTCGGGCTTCCTGAATGTAATACCCGGGTATTAGATTTTAAGGCTAGGGTAAGGTTTAAGTTTTTTGGCGTTAGGGTTAAAATCACTGTCCAAAACCTTTGCTTGTAGGAACTCTTTTCCAACCTTTTGGAGTTAGTTAGACCAAAAAAAAAAAAAAAATGAAAAAAAAATATTTGGGGTGTTCGGGCTTCCTGAAGTAATACCCGGGTATTAGATTTTAAGGCTAGGGTAAGGTTTAAGTTTTTTGGCGTTAGGGTTAAAATCACTGTCCAAAACCTTTGTAGGAACTCTTTTCCAACCTTTTGGAGTTAGTTAGACCAAAAAATATGAAAAAAGAAAAAAATATTATTGGGGGTTTTCGGGCTTCCTGAAGGTAATACCCAGGTATTAGGTTTTGGGACTGGGGAAAGGTTTAAGGTTTTTGGCGTTAGGGTTAAAATCACTGTCCAAAACCTTTGTAGGAACTCTTTTCCAACCTTTTGGAGTTAGTTTGACCAAAAAAAAAAAGAAAAATGAAAAAAAAATATTTGGGGAGTTCAGGCTTCCTAAAAGTAATACCCAGGTATTAGGTTTTGTGGCTAGGGTAAGGTTTAAGTTTTTTGGCGTTAGGGTTAAAATCACTGTCCAAAACCTTTGTAGGAACACTTTTCCAACCTTTTGGAATTAGATAAAACAAAAAAATATGAAAAATGAAAAAATATATATTTGGGGTTTTCGGGCTTCCTGAATGTAATACCCGGGTATTAGATTTTGGGACTGGGGAAAGGTTTAAGGTTTTTGGCGTTAGGGTTAAAATCACTGTCCAAAACCTTTGTAGGAACTCTTTTCCAACCTTTTGGAGTTAGTTAGACCAAAAAAAAAATGAAAAATGAAAAAAAAATATTTGGGGTTTTCGGGCTTCCTGAAAGTAATACCCGGGTATTAGTTTATGGGGCTATGGTAAGGTTTAAGGTTTTTGGCGTTAGGGTTAAAATCACTGTCCAAAACCTTTGTAGGAACTCTTTTCCAACCTTTTGGAGTTAGTTAGACCAAAAAAAAAAAGAAAAATGAAAAAAAAATATTTGGGGTTTTCGGGCTTCCTGAATGTAATACCCGGGTATTAGATTTTAAGGCTAGGGTAAGGTTTAAGTTTTTTGGCGTTAGGGTTAAAATCACTGTCCAAAACCTTTGTAGGAACTCTTTTCCAACCTTTTGGAGTTAGTTAGACCAAAAAAAATGAAAAATGAAAAAAAAATATTTGGGGTTTTCGGGCTTCCTGAAAGTAATACCCGGGTATTAGGTTTTGGGGCTATGGTAAGGTTTAAGTTTTTTGGCGTTAGGGTTAAAATCACTGTCCAAAACCTTTGTAGGAACTCTTTTCCAACCTTTTGGAGTTAGTTAGACCAAAAAATATGAAAAAAGAAAAAAATATTATTGGGGGTTTTCGGGCTTCCTGAAGGTAATACCCAGGTATTAGATTTTGGTACTGGGGAAAGGTTTAAGGTTTTTGGCGTTAGGGTTAAAATCACTGTCCAAAACCTTTGTAGGAACTCTTTTCCAACCTTTTGGAGTTAGTTAGACCAAAAAAAAAAGTAAAATGAAAAAAAAATATTTGGGGTGTTCGGGCTTCCTAAAAGTAATACCTGGGTATTAGGTTATAGGGCTATGGTAAGTTTTAAGGTTTTTGGCGTTAGGGTTAAAATCACTGTCCAAAACCTTTGTAGGAACTCTTTTCCAACCTTTTGGAGTTAGTTAGACCAAAAAAAATGAAAAATGAAAAAAATATATATTTGGGGTTTCGGGCTTCCTGAAGTAATACCCGGGTATTAGGTTTTGGGGCTATGGTAAGGTTTAAGTTTTTTGGCGTTAGGGTTAAAATCACTGTCCAAAACCTTTGTAGGAACTCTTTTCCAACCTTTTGGAGTTAGTTAGACCAAAAAAAAAAAAAAATGAAAAAAAAATATTTGGGGTGTTCAGGCTTCCTAAAAGTAATACCCAGGTATTAGGTTATGGGGCTATGGTAAGGTTTAAGTTTTTTGGCGTTAGGGTTAAAATCACTTTCCAAAACCTTTGTAGGAACTCTTTTCCAACCTTTTGGAGTTAGTTAGACCAAAAAATATGAAAAAAGAAAAAAATATTATTGGGGGTTTTCGGGCTTCCTGAAGGTAATACCCAGGTATTAGGTTTTGGGACTGGGGAAAGGTTTAAGGTTTTTGGCGTTAGGGTTAAAATCACTGTCCAAAACCTTTGTAGGAACTCTTTTCCAAACTTTTGGAGTTAGACCAAAAAAAAAGAAAAATGAAAAAACAATATTTGGGGAGTTCAGGCTTCCTAAAAGTAATACCCGGGTATTAGGTTTTGTGGCAAGGGTAAGGTTTAAGTTTTTTGGCGTTTGGGTTAAAATCACTGTCCAAAACCTTTGTAGGAACTCTTTTCCAACCTTTTGGAGTTAGTTAGAACAAAAAAATATGAAAAATGAAAAAATATATATTTGGGGTTTTCGGGCTTCCTGAATGTAATACCCGGGTATTAGTTTTTGGGACTGGGGAAAGGTTTAAGTTTTTTGGCGTTAGGGTTAAAATCACTGTCCAAAACCTTTGTAGGAACTCTTTTCCAACCTTTTGGAGTTAGTTAGACCAAAAAAAAAAGAAAAATGAAAAAAAAATATTTGGGGTGTTCAGGCTTCCTAAAAGTAATACCTGGGTATTAGGTTATAGGGCTATGGTAAGGTTTAAGGTTTTTGGCGTTAGGGTTAAAATCACTGTCCAAAACCTTTGTAGGAACTCTTTTCCAACCTTTTGGAGTAGGTTACACCAACAAAAATGTAAAATGAAAAAAATATATATTTGGGGTGTTCGGGCTTCCTGAATGTAATACCCGGGTATTAGATTTTAAGGCTATGGTAAGGTTTAAGTTTTTTGGCGTTAGGGTTAAAATCACTGTCCAAAACCTTTGTAGGAACTCTTTTCCAACCTTTTGGAGTTAGTTAGACCAAAAAAAAAAAAAAAAAAAAAAAAAAAAATATTTGGGGTTTTCAGGCTTCCTAAAAGTAATACCCGGGTATTAGGTTATGGGGCTATGGTAAGGTTTAAGTTTTTTGGCGTTAGGGTTAAAATCACTGTCCAAAACCTTTGTAGGAACTCTTTTCCAACCTTTTGGAGTTAGTTAGACCAAAAAATATGAAAAAAGAAAAAAATATTATTGGGGGTTTTCGGGCTTCCTGAAGGTAATACCCAGGTATTAGGTTTTGGGACTGGGGAAAGGTTTAAGTTTTTTGGCGTTAGGGTTAAAATCACTGTCCAAAACCTTTGTAGGAACTCTTTTCCAACCTTTTGGAGTTAGTTTGACCAAAAAAAAAAGAAAAATGAAAAAAAATATATTTGGGGTTTCGGGCTTCCTGAAAGTAATACCCGGGTATTAGGTTTTGGGGCTAGGGTAAGGTTTAAGTTTTTTGGCGTTAGGGTTAAAATCACTGTCCAAAACCTTTGTAGGAACTCTTTTCCAACCTTTTGGAGTTAGTTAGACCAAAAAAATATGAAAAATGAAAAAATATATATTTGGGGTTTTTGGGCTTCCTGAATGTAATACCCGGGTATTAGATTTTGGGGCTATGGTAAGGTTTAAGTTTTTTGGCGTTAGGGTTAAAATCACTGTCCAAAACCTTTGTAGGAACTCTTTTCCAACCTTTTGGAGTTAGTTAGACCAAAAAAAAAAAAATGAAAAATGAAAAAATATATTTGGGGTTTTCGGGCTCCTGAAGTAATACCCGGGTATTAGGTTTTGGGGCTATGGTAAGGTTTAAGTTTTTTGGCGTTAGGGTTAAAATCACTGTCCAAAACCTTTGTAGGAACTCTTTTCCAACCTTTTGGAGTTAGTTAGACCAAAAAAATGAAAAATGAAAAAACAATATTTGGGGTTTTCTGGGTTCCTGAATGTAATACCCGGGTATTAGATTTTAAGGCTAGGGTAAGGTTTAAGTTTTTTGGCGTTAGGGTTAAAATCACTGTCCAAAACCTTTGTAGGAACTCTTTTCCAACCTTTTGGAGTTAGTTAGACCAAAAAAAAATGAAAAATGAAAAAACAATATTTGGGGTTTTCGGGGTTCCTGAATGTAATACCCGGGTATTAGATTTTAAGGCTAGGGTAAGGTTTAAGTTTTTTGGCGTTAGGGTTAAAATCACTGTCCAAAACCTTTGTAGGAACTCTTTTCCAACCTTTTGGAGTTAGTTACACCAAAAAGTATGAAAAAAGGAAAAAAATATTATTGGGGGTTTTCGGGCTTCCTAAAAGTAATACCCGGGTATTAGGTTATGGGGCTATGGTAAGGTTTAAGTTTTTTGGCGTTAGGGTTAAAATCACTGTCCAAAACCTTTGTAGGAACTCTTTTCCAACCTTTTGGAGTTGGTTACACCAACAAAAATGTAAAATGAAGAAAAAAATATTTGGGGTGTTCAGGCTTCCTGAAGGTAATACCCGGGTATTAGATTTCAAGGCTAGGGTAAGGTTTAAGTTTTTTGGCGTTAGGGTTAAAATCACTGTCCAAAACCTTTGTAGGAACTCTTTTCCAACCTTTTGGAGTTAGTTAGACCAAAAAATATGAAAAAAGAAAAAAATATTATTGGGGGTTTTCGGGCTCCCTGAAAGTAATACCCGGGTATTAGGTTTTGGGGCTATGGTAAGGTTTAAGTTTTTTGGCGTTAGGGTTAAAATCACTGTCCAAAACCTTTGTAGGAACTCTTTTCCAACCTTTTGGAGTTAGTTAGAACAAAAAATATGAAAAAAGAAAAAAATATTATTGGGGGTTTTCGGGGTTCCTGAATGTAATACCCGGGTATTAGATTTTGGGGCTATGGTAAGGTTTAAGTTTTTTGGCGTTAGGGTTAAAATCACTGTCCAAAACCTTTGTAGGAACTCTTTTCCAACCTTTTGGAGTTAGTTAGACCAAAAATAAAGAAAAAGAAAAAAATATTATTTGGGGTTTTCGGGCTTCCTGAAAGTAATACCCGGGTATTAGGTTTTGGGGCTATGGTAAGGTTTAAGTTTTTTGGCGTTAGGGTTAAAATCACTGTCCAAAACCTTTGTAGGAACTCTTTTCCAACCTTTTGGAGTTAGTTAGACCAAAAAAAAATGAAAAATGAAAAAAACAATATTTGGGGTTTTCGGGGTTCCTGAATGTAATACCCGGGTATTAGATTTTAAGGCTAGGGTAAGGTTTAAGTTTTTTGGCGTTAGGGTTAAAATCACTGTCCAAAACCTTTGTAGGAACTCTTTTCCAACCTTTTGGAGTTAGTTAGACCAAAAAGTATGAAAAAAGAAAAAAATATTATTGGGGGTTTTCGGGCTCCCTGAAAGTAATACCCGGGTATTAGGTTTTGGGGCTATGGTAAGGTTTAAGTTTTTTGGCGTTAGGGTTAAAATCACTGTCCAAAACCTTTGTAGGAACTCTTTTCCAACCTTTTGGAGTTAGTTAGACCAAAAAAAAATGAAAAAGAAAAAAAAATATTTGGGGTTTTCGGGGTTCCTGAATGTAATATACGGGTATTAGATTTTAAGGCTAGGGTAAGGTTTAAGTTTTTTGGCGTTAGGGTTAAAATCACTGTCCAAAACCTTTGTAGGAACTCTTTTCCAACCTTTTGGAGTTAGTTACACCAAAAAGTATGAAAAAGGAAAAAAATATTATTGGGGGTTTTCGGGCTCCCTGAAAGTAATACCCGGGTATTAGGTTTTGGGGCTATGGTAAGGTTTAAGTTTTTTGGCGTTAGGGTTAAAATCACTGTCCAAAACCTTTGTAGGAACTCTTTTCCAACCTTTTGGAGTTGGTTACACCAACAAAAATGTAAAATGAAGAAAAAAATATTTGGGGTGTTCGGGCTTCCTGAAGGTAATACCCGGGTATTAGATTTTAAGGCTAGGGTAAGGTTTAAGTTTTTTGGCGTTAGGGTTAAAATCACTGTCCAAAACCTTTGTAGGAACTCTTTTCCAACCTTTTGGAGTTAGTTAGACCAAAAAATATGAAAAAAGAAAAAAATATTATTGGGGGTTTTCGGGCTCCTGAAAGTAATACCCGGGTATTAGGTTTTGGGGCTATGGTAAGGTTTAAGTTTTTTGGCGTTAGGGTTAAAATCACTGTCCAAAACCTTTGTAGGAACTCTTTTCCAACCTTTTGGAGTTAGTTAGACCAAAAAATATGAAAATAGAAAAAAATATTATTGGGGGTTTTCGGGCTCCCTGAAAGTAATACCCGGGTATTAGGTTTTGGGGCTATGGTAAGGTTTAAGTTTTTTGGCGTTAGGGTTAAAATCACTGTCCAAAACCTTTGTAGGAACTCTTTTCCAACCTTTTGGAGTTAGTTAGACCAAAAAATATGAAAAAAGAAAAAAATATTATTGGGGGTTTTCGGGCTCCCTGAAAGTAATACCCGGGTATTAGGTTTTGGGGCTATGGTAAGGTTTAAGTTTTTTGGCGTTAGGGTTAAAATCACTGTCCAAAACCTTTGTAGGAACTCTTTTCCAACCTTTTGGAGTTAGTTAGACCAAAAAATATGAAAAAAGAAAAAAATATTATTGGGGGTTTTCGGGCTCCCTGAAAGTAATACCCGGGTATTAGATTTTGGGGCTATGGTAAGGTTTAAGTTTTTTGGCGTTAGGGTTAAAATCACTGTCCAAAACCTTTGTAGGAACTCTTTTCCAACCTTTTGGAGTTAGTTAGACCAAAAAGTATGAAAAAGGAAAAAAATATTATTGGGGGTTTTCGGGCTCCCTGAAAGTAATACCCGGGTATTAGGTTATGGGGCTATGGTAAGGTTTAAGTTTTTTGGCGTTAGGGTTAAAATCACTGTCCAAAACCTTTGTAGGAACTCTTTTCCAACCTTTTGGAGTTAGTTAGACCAAAAAAATGTAAAATGAAGAAAAAAATATTTGGGGTGTTCAGGCTTCCTGAAGGTAATACCCGGGTATTAGATTTCAAGGCTAGGGTAAGGTTTAAGGTTTTTGGCGTTAGGGTTAAAATCACTGTCCAAAACCTTTGTAGGAACTCTTTTCCAACCTTTTGGAGTTAGTTAGACCAAAAAATATGAAAAAAGAAAAAAATATTATTGGGGGTTTTTTGGGCTCCCTGAAAGTAATACCCGGGTATTAGGTTTTGGGGCTATGGTAAGGTTTAAGTTTTTTGGCGTTAGGGTTAAAATCACTGTCCAAAACCTTTGTAGGAACTCTTTTCCAACCTTTTGGAGTTAGTTAGAACCAAAAAATATGAAAAAAGAAAAAAATATTATTGGGGGTTTTCGGGCTCCCTGAAAGTAATACCCGGGTATTAGGTTTTGGGGCTATGGTAAGGTTTAAGTTTTTTGGCGTTAGGGTTAAAATCACTGTCCAAAACCTTTGTAGGAACTCTTTTCCAACCTTTTGGAGTTAGTTAGAACCAAAAAATATGAAAAAAGAAAAAAATATTATTGGGGGTTTTCGGGCTCCTGAAAGTAATACCCGGGTATTAGGTTTTGGGGCTATGGTAAGGTTTAAGTTTTTGGCGTTAGGGTTAAAATCACTGTCCAAAACCTTTGTAGGAACTCTTTTCCAACCTTTTGGAGTTAGTTAGACCAAAAAAAAATGAAAAATGAAAAAAACAATATTTGGGGTTTTCGGGGTTCCTGAATGTAATACCCGGGTATTAGATTTTAAGGCTAGGGTAAGGTTTAAGTTTTTTGGCGTTAGGGTTAAAATCACTGTCCAAAACCTTTGTAGGAACTCTTTTCCAACCTTTTGGAGTTAGTTAGACCAAAAAAAATGAAAAAAAGAAAAAAATATTATTGGGGGTTTTCGGGCTCCCTGAAAGTAATACCCGGGTATTAGGTTTTGGGGCTATGGTAAGGTTTAAGTTTTTTGGCGTTAGGGTTAAAATCACTGTCCAAAACCTTTGTAGGAACTCTTTTCCAACCTTTTGGAGTTAGTTAGACCAAAAAAAAATGAAAAATTAAAAAACAATATTTGGGGTTTTCGGGGTTCCTGAATGTAATACCCGGGTATTAGATTTTGGGGCTAGGGTAAGGTTTAAGTTTTTTGGCGTTAGGGTTAAAATCACTGTCCAAAACCTTTGTAGGAACTCTTTTCCAACCTTTTGGAGTTAGTTACACCAACAAAAATGTAAAATGAAGAAAAAAATATTTGGGGTGTTCAGGCTTCCTGAAGGTAATACCCGGGTATTAGATTTCAAGGCTAGGGTAAGGTTTAAGTTTTTTGGCGTTAGGGTTAAAATCACTGTCCAAAACCTTTGTAGGAACTCTTTTCCAACCTTTTGGAGTTAGTTAGACCAAAAAAAAAAATGAAAAATGAAAAAACAATATTTGGGGTTTTCGGGGTTCCTGAATGTAATATACGGGTATTAGATTTTAAGGCTAGGGTAAGGTTTAAGTTTTTTGGCGTTAGGGTTAAAATCACTGTCCAAAACCTTTGTAGGAACTCTTTTCCAACCTTTTGGAGTTAGTTAGACCAAAAATAAAAAAGAAAAAAATATTATTGGGGGTTTTCGGGCTCCCTGAAAGTAATACCCGGGTATTAGGTTTTGGGGCTATGGTAAGGTTTAAGTTTTTTGGCGTTAGGGTTAAAATCACTGTCCAAAACCTTTGTAGGAACTCTTTTCCAACCTTTTGGAGTTAGTTAGACCAAAAAAAAATGAAAAATGAAGAAAAAAATATTTGGGGTGTTCAGGCTTCCTGAAGGTAATACCCGGGTATTAGATTTCAAGGCTAGGGTAAGGTTTAAGTTTTTTGGCGTTAGGGTTAAAATCACTGTCCAAAACCTTTGTAGGAACTCTTTTCCAACCTTTTGGAGTTAGTTAGACCAAAAAATATGAAAAAAGAAAAAAATATTATTGGGGGTTTTCGGGCTCCCTGAAAGTAATACCCGGGTATTAGGTTTTGGGGCTATGGTAAGGTTTAAGTTTTTTGGCGTTAGGGTTAAAATCACTGTCCAAAACCTTTGTAGGAACTCTTTTCCAACCTTTTGGAGTTAGTTAGACCAAAAAATATGAAAAAAGAAAAAAATATTATTGGGGGTTTTCGGGCTCCTGAAAGTAATACCCGGTATTAGGTTTTGGGGCTATGGTAAGGTTTAAGTTTTTTGGCGTTAGGGTTAAAATCACTGTCCAAAACCTTTGTAGGAACTCTTTTCCAACCTTTTGGAGTTAGTTAGACCAAAAAATATGAAAAAAGAAAAAAATATTATTGGGGGTTTTGGGCTCCCTGAAAGTAATACCCGGTATTAGGTTTTGGGGCTATGGTAAGGTTTAAGTTTTTTGGCGTTAGGGTTAAAATCACTGTCCAAAACCTTTGTAGGAACTCTTTTCCAACCTTTTGGAGTTAGTTAGAACAAAAAATATGAAAAAAGAAAAAAATATTATTGGGGGTTTTCGGGCTCCCTGAAAGTAATACCCATGTATTAGGTTTTGGGGCTATGGTAAGGTTTAAGTTTTTTGGCGTTAGGGTTAAAATCACTGTCCAAAACCTTTGTAGGAACTCTTTTCCAACCTTTTGGAGTTAGTTAGACCAAAAAAATATGAAAAAAGAAAAAAATATTATTGGGGGTTTTCGGGCTCCCTGAAAGTAATACCCTTGTATTAGGTTTTGGGGCTATGGTAAGGTTTAAGTTTTTTGGCGTTAGGGTTAAAATCACTGTCCAAAACCTTTGTAGGAACTCTTTTCCAACCTTTTGGAGTTAGTTAGACCAAAAAAAAATGAAAAATGAAAAAAACAATATTTGGGGTTTTCGGGGTTCCTGAATGTAATACCCGGGTATTAGATTTTGTGGCTAGGGTAAGGTTTAAGTTTTTTGGCATTAGGGTTAAAATCACTGTCCAAAACCTTTGTAGGAACTCTTTTCCAACCTTTTGGAGTTAGTTAGACCAAAAAGTATGAAAAAAGAAAAAAATATTATTGGGGGTTTTCGGGCTCCCTGAAAGTAATACCCGGGTATTAGGTTTTGGGGCTATGGTAAGGTTTAAGTTTTTTGGCGTTAGGGTTAAAATCACTGTCCAAAACCTTTGTAGGAACTCTTTTCCAACCTTTTGGAGTTAGTTAGACCAAAAAAAAATGAAAAATTAAAAAACAATATTTGGGGTTTTCGGGGTTCCTGAATGTAATACCCGGGTATTAGATTTTGAGGCTAGGGTAAGGTTTAAGTTTTTTGGCGTTAGGGTTAAAATCACTGTCCAAAACCTTTGTAGGAACTCTTTTCCAACCTTTTGGAGTTAGTTAGACCAAAAAATATGAAAAAAGAAAAAAATATTATTGGGGGTTTTCGGGCTCCCTGAAAGTAATACCCGGGTATTAGATTTTAAGGCCAGGGTAAGGTTTAAGTTTTTTGGCGTTAGGGTTAAAATCACTGTCCAAAACCTTTGTAGGAACTCTTTTCCAACCTTTTGGAGTTAGTTAGACCAAAAAAAAAAAAAAAAAAAAAAAAAATATTTGGGGTGTTCGGGCTTCCTAAAAGTAATACCCAGGTATTAGGTTTTGGGGCTATGGTAAGGTTTAAGTTTTTTGGCGTTAGGGTTAAAATCACTGTCCAAAACCTTTGTAGGAACTCTTTTCCAACCTTTTGGAGTTAGTTAGACCAAAAAAAAAAAAAGAAAAATGAAAAAAAAAATATTTGGGGAGTTCAGGCTTCCTAAAAGTAATACCCGGGTATTAGTTTTTGTGGCTAGGGTAAGGTTTAAGTTTTTTGGCGTTAGGGTTAAAATCACTGTCCAAAACCTTTGTAGGAACTCTTTTCCAACCTTTTGGAGTTAGTTAGACCAAAAAATATGAAAAATGAAAAAATATATATTTGGGGTTTTCGGGCTTCCTGAATGTAATACCCGGGTATTAGATTTTAAGGCTAGGGTAAGGTTTAAGTTTTTTGGCGTTAGGGTTAAAATCACTGTCCAAAACCTTTGTAGGAACTCTTTTCCAACCTTTTGGAGTTAGTTAGACCAAAAAAAAAAATGAAAAATGAAAAAAAAATATTTGGGGTTTTCGGGCTTCCTTGAAGTAATACCCGGGTATTAGATTTTGGGGCTAGGGTAAGGTTTAAGTTTTTTGGCGTTAGGGTTAAAATCACTGTCCAAAACCTTTGTAGGAACTCTTTTCCAACCTTTTGGAGTTGGTTACACCAACAAAAATGTAAAATGAACAAAAAAATATTTGGGGTGTTCGGGCTTCCTGAATTTAATACCCGGGTATTAGGATTTTAAGGCTAGGGTAAGGTTTAAGTTTTTTGGCGTTAGGGTTAAAATCACTGTCCAAAACCTTTGTAGGAACTCTTTTCCAACCTTTTGGAGTTAGTTAAACCAAAAAAAAAAAGAAAAATGAAAAAATATATATTTGGGGTTTTCGGGGTTCCTGAATGTAATATACGGGTATTAGATTTTAAGGCTAGGGTAAGGTTTAAGTTTTTTGGCGTTAGGGTTAAAATCACTGTCCAAAACCTTTGTAGGAACTCTTTTCCAACCTTTTGGAGTTAGTTAGACCAAAAAATATGAAAAAAGAAAAAAATATTATTTGGGGTTTTCGGGCTTCCTGAAGGTAATACCCAGGTATTAGGTTTTGGGGCTATGGTAAGGTTTAAGTTTTTTGGCGTTAGGGTTAAAATCACTGTCCAAAACCTTTGTAGGAACTCTTTTCCAACCTTTTGGAGTTAGTTAGACCAAAAAAAAAATGAAAAATGAAAAAAAATATTTGGGGTTTTCGGGGTTCCTGAATGTAATACCCGGGTATTAGATTTTAAGGCTAGGGTAAGGTTTAAGTTTTTTGGCGTTAGGGTTAAAATCACTGTCCAAAACCTTTGTAGGAACTCTTTTCCAACCTTTTGGAGTTAGTTAGACCAAAAAAAAATGAAAAATGAAAAAACAATATTTGGGGTTTTCGGGGTTCCTGAATGTAATACCCGGGTATTAGATTTTAAGGCTAGGGTAAGGTTTAAGTTTTTTGGCATTAGGGTTAAAATCACTGTCCAAAACCTTTGTAGGAACTCTTTTCCAACCTTTTGGAGTTAGTTACACCAAAAAAATGAAAAAGAAAAAAATATTATTGGGGGTTTTCGGGCTTCCTGAAAGTAATACCCGGGTATTAGGTTATGGGGCTATGGTAAGGTTTAAGTTTTTTGGCGTTAGGGTTAAAATCACTGTCCAAAACCTTTGTAGGAACTCTTTTCCAACCTTTTGGAGTTAGTTAGACCAAAAAAATGAAAAATGAAAAAAAAATATTTGGGGTGTTCAGGCTTCCTGAAGTAATACCCGGGTATTAGATTTTAAGGCTAGGGTAAGGTTTAAGTTTTTTGGCGTTAGGGTTAAAATCACTGTCCAAAACCTTTGTAGGAACTCTTTTCCAACCTTTTGGAGTTAGTTAGACCAAAAAATATGAAAAAAGAAAAAAATATTATTGGGGGTTTTCGGGCTCCTGAAAGTAATACCCGGGTATTAGGTTTTGGGGCTAGGGTAAGGTTTAAGTTTTTGGCGTTAGGGTTAAAATCACTGTCCAAAACCTTTGTAGGAACTCTTTTCCAACCTTTTGGAGTTAGTTAGACCAAAAAATATGAAAAAGAAAAAAATATTATTGGGGGTTTTTGGGCTCCCTGAAAGTAATACCCGTGTATTAGGTTTTGGGACTAGGGAAAGGTTTAAGGGTTTTGGCATTAGGGTTAAAATCACTGTCCAAAACCTTTGTAGGAACTCTTTTCCAACCTTTTGGAGTTAGTTAGACCAAAAAAAAAAGAAAAATGAAAAAAAAATATTTGGGGTGTTCAGGCTTCCTAAAAGTAATACCCGGGTATTAGGTTATGGGGCTATGGTAAGGTTTAAGTTTTTTGGCGTTAGGGTTAAAATCACTGTCCAAAACCTTTGTAGGAACTCTTTTCCAACCTTTTGGAGTTAGTTAGACCAAAAAAAAATGAAAAATGAAAAAAAAATATATTTGGGGTGTTCGGGCTTCCTGAAAGTAATACCCGGGTATTAGGTTATGGGGCTATGGTAAGGTTTAAGGTTTTTGGCGTTAGGGTTAAAATCACTGTCCAAAACCTTTGTAGGAACTCTTTTCCAACCTTTTGGAGTTAGTTAGACCAAAAATTATGAAAAAAGAAAAAAATATTATTGGGGGTTTTCGGGCTCCCTGAAAGTAATACCCGGGTATTAGGTTTTGGGGCTATGGTAAGGTTTAAGTTTTTTTGGCGTTAGGGTTAAAATCACTGTCCAAAACCTTTGTAGGAACTCTTTTCCAACCTTTTGGAGTTAGTTAGACCAAAAAAAAATGAAAAATGAAAAAACAATATTTGGGGTTTTCGGGGTTCCTGAATGTAATACCCGGGTATTAGATTTTAAGGCTAGGGTAAGGTTTAAGTTTTTTGGCGTTAGGGTTAAAATCACTGTCCAAAACCTTTGTAGGAACTCTTTTCCAACCTTTTGGAGTTAGTTAGACCAAAAAAAAATGAAAAATGAAAAAAAATATATTTGGGGTTTTCGGGGTTCCTGAATGTAATATACGGGTATTAGATTTTAAGGCTAGGGTAAGGTTTAAGTTTTTTGGCGTTAGGGTTAAAATCACTGTCCAAAACCTTTGTAGGAACTCTTTTCCAACCTTTTGGAGTTAGTTAGACCAAAAAGTATGAAAAAAGAAAAAAATATTATTGGGGGTTTTCGGGCTCCCTGAAAGTAATACCCGGGTATTAGGTTATGGGGCTATGGTAAGGTTTAAGTTTTTTGGCGTTAGGGTTAAAATCACTGTCCAAAACCTTTGTAGGAACTCTTTTCCAACCTTTTGGAGTTAGTTAGACCAAAAAATATGAAAAAAGAAAAAAATATTATTGGGGGTTTTCGGGCTTCCTGAAAGTAATACCCGGGTATTAGGTTTTGGGGCTATGGTAAGGTTTAAGTTTTTTGGCGTTAGGGTTAAAATCACTGTCCAAAACCTTTGTAGGAACTCTTTTCCAACCTTTTGGAGTTAGTTAGACCAAAAAAAAAAAAAAAAAAGAAAAAAATATTATTGGGGGTTTTCGGGCTCCTGAAAGTAATACCCGGGTATTAGGTTTTGGGGCTAGGGTAAGGTTTAAGTTTTTGGCGTTAGGGTTAAAATCACTGTCCAAAACCTTTGTAGGAACTCTTTTCCAACCTTTTGGAGTTAGTTAGACCAAAAAAAAAGAAAAATGAAAAAAAAATATTTGGGGTGTTCAGGCTTCCTAAAAGTAATACCCGGGTATTAGGTTATGGGGCTATGGTAAGGTTTAAGTTTTTTGGCGTTAGGGTTAAAATCACTGTCCAAAACCTTTGTAGGAACTCTTTTCCAACCTTTTGGAGTTAGTTAGACCAAAAAAAAATGAAAAATTAAAAAAAATATATTTGGGGTGTTCAGGCTTCCTAAAAGTAATACCCGGGTATTAGGTTATGGGGCTATGGTAAGGTTTAAGGTTTTTGGCGTTAGGGTTAAAATCACTGTCCAAAACCTTTGTAGGAACTCTTTTCCAACCTTTTGGAGTTAGTTAGACCAAAAAAAATGAAAAAAGAAAAAAATATTATTGGGGGTTTTCGGGCTCCCTGAAAGTAATACCCGGGTATTAGGTTTTGGGGCTATGGTAAGGTTTAAGTTTTTTGGCGTTAGGGTTAAAATCACTGTCCAAAACCTTTGTAGGAACTCTTTTCCAACCTTTTGGAGTTAGTTAGACCAAAAAAAAATGAAAAATGAAAAAAAATATTTGGGGTTTTCGGGCTTCCTGAAAGTAATACCCGGGTATTAGGTTTTGGGGCTATGGTAAGGTTTAAGTTTTTTGGCGTTAGGGTTAAAATCACTGTCCAAAACCTTTGTAGGAACTCTTTTCCAACCTTTTGGAGTTAGTTAGACCAAAAAAAAATGAAAAATGAAAAAACAATATTTGGGGTTTTCGGGGTTCCTGAATTTTATACCCGGGTATTAGGTTTTGGGGCTATGGTAAGGTTTAAGTTTTTTGGCGTTAGGGTTAAAATCACTGTCCAAAACCTTTGTAGGAACTCTTTTCCAACCTTTTGGAGTTAGTTAGACCAAAAAAAAAATGAAAAATGAAAAAACAATATTTGGGGTTTTCGGGGTTCCTGAATGTAATACCCGGGTATTAGATTTTAAGGCTAGGGTAAGGTTTAAGTTTTTTGGCGTTAGGGTTAAAATCACTGTCCAAAACCTTTGTAGGAACTCTTTTCCAACCTTTTGGAGTTAGTTACACCAAAAAGTATGAAAAAAGAAAAAAATATTATTGGGGGTTTTCGGGCTCCCTGAAAGTAATACCCGGGTATTAGGTTATGGGGCTATGGTAAGGTTTAAGTTTTTTGGCGTTAGGGTTAAAATCACTGTCCAAAACCTTTGTAGGAACTCTTTTCCAACCTTTTGGAGTTAGTTAGACCAAAAAATATGAAAAAAGAAAAAATATTATTGGGGGTTTTCGGGCTTCCTGAAAGTAATACCCGGGTATTAGGTTATGGGGCTATGGTAAGGTTTAAGTTTTTTGGCGTTAGGGTTAAAATCACTGTCCAAAACCTTTGTAGGAACTCTTTTCCAACCTTTTGGAGTTAGTTAGACCAAAAAAAAAGAAAAATGAAAAAAAAATATTTGGGGTGTTCAGGCTTCCTAAAAGTAATACCCGGGTATTAGGTTATGGGGCTATGGTAAGGTTTAAGTTTTTTGGCGTTAGGGTTAAAATCACTGTCCAAAACCTTTGTAGGAACTCTTTTCCAACCTTTTGGAGTTAGTTAGACCAAAAAATATGAAAAAAGAAAAAAATATTATTGGGGGTTTTCGGGCTCCCTGAAAGTAATACCCGGGTATTAGGTTTTGGGGCTATGGTAAGGTTTAAGTTTTTTGGCGTTAGGGTTAAAATCACTGTCCAAAACCTTTGTAGGAACTCTTTTCCAACCTTTTGGAGTTAGTTAGACCAAAAAATATGAAAAAAGAAAAAAATATTATTGGGGGTTTTCGGGCTCCCTGAAAGTAATACCCGGGTATTAGGTTTTGGGGCTATGGTAAGGTTTAAGTTTTTTGGCGTTAGGGTTAAAATCACTGTCCAAAACCTTTGTAGGAACTCTTTTCCAACCTTTTGGAGTTAGTTAGACCAAAAAAAAAGAAAAATGAAAAAAAAAAATATTTGGGGTGTTCAGGCTTCCTGAAAGTAATACCCGGGTATTAGGTTATGGGGCTATGGTAAGGTTTAAGTTTTTGGCGTTAGGTTTAAAATCACTGTCCAAAACCTTTGTAGGAACTCTTTTCCAACCTTTTGGAGTTAGTTAGACCAAAAAATATGAAAAAAGAAAAAAATATTATTGGGGGTTTTCGGGCTCCCTGAAAGTAATACCCGGGTATTAGGTTTTGGGGCTATGGTAAGGTTTAAGTTTTTTGGCGTTAGGGTTAAAATCACTGTCCAAAACCTTTGTAGGAACTCTTTTCCAACCTTTTGGAGTTAGTTAGACCAAAAAAAAAAAGAAAAATGAAAAAAAAATATTTGGGGTGTTCAGGCTTCCTAAAAGTAATACCCGGGTATTAGGTTATGGGGCTATGGTAAGGTTTAAGTTTTTTGGTGTTAGGTTTAAAATCACTGTCCAAAACCTTTGTAGGAACTCTTTAACAACCTTTTGGATTTAGTTAGACCAAAAAAAAATGAAAAATTAAAAAAAATATATTTGGGGTTTACGGGCTTCCTGATTGTAATACCCGGGTATTAGATTTTAAGGCCAGGGAAAGGTTTAAGTTTTTTGGCGTTAGGGTTAAAATCACTGTCCAAAACCTTTGTAGGAACTCTTTTCCAACCTTTTGGAGTTAGTTAGACCAAAAAGTATGAAAAAAGAAAAAAATATTATTGGGGTTTTTCGGGCTCCCTGAAAGTAATACCCGGGTATTAGGTTTTGGGGCTATGGTAAGGTTTAAGTTTTTTGGCGTTAGGGTTAAAATCACTGTCCAAAACCTTTGTAGGAACTCTTTTCCAACCTTTTGGAGTTAGTTAGACCAAAAAATATGAAAAAAGAAAAAAATATTATTGGGGGTTTTCGGGCTCCTGAAAGTAATACCCGGGTATTAGGTTTTGGGGCTATGGTAAGGTTTAAGTTTTTTGGCGTTAGGGTTAAAATCACTGTCCAAAACCTTTGTAGGAACTCTTTTCCAACCTTTTGGAGTTAGTTAGACCAAAAAATATGAAAAAAGAAAAAAATATTATTGGGGGTTTTCGGGCTCCCTGAAAGTAATACCCGGGTATTAGGTTTTGGGGCTATGGTAAGGTTTAAGTTTTTTGGCGTTAGGGTTAAAATCACTGTCCAAAACCTTTGTAGGAACTCTTTTCCAACCTTTTGGAGTTAGTTAGACCAAAAAAAAATGAAAAATGAAAAAACAATATTTGGGGTTTTCGGGGTTCCTGAATGTAATACCCGGGTATTAGGTTTTGGGGCTATGGTAAGGTTTAAGTTTTTTGGCGTTAGGGTTAAAATCACTGTCCAAAACCTTTGTAGGAACTCTTTTCCAACCTTTTGGAGTTAGTTAGACCAAAAAGTATGAAAAAAGAAAAAATATTATTGGGGGTTTTCGGGCTCCCTGAAAGTAATACCCGGGTATTAGGTTTTGGGGCTATGGTAAGGTTTAAGTTTTTTGGCGTTAGGGTTAAAATCACTGTCCAAAACCTTTGTAGGAACTCTTTTCCAACCTTTTGGAGTTAGTTAGACCAAAAAAAAATGAAAAATTAAAAAACAATATTTGGGGTTTTCGGGGTTCCTGAATGTAATACCCGGGTATTAGATTTTGAGGCTAGGGTAAGGTTTAAGTTTTTTGGCATTAGGGTTAAAATCACTGTCCAAAACCTTTGTAGGAACTCTTTTCCAACCTTTTGGAGTTGGTTACACCAACAAAAATGTAAAATGAAGAAAAAAATATTTGGGGTGTTCAGGCTTCCTGAAGGTAATACCCGGGTATTAGATTTCAAGGCTAGGGTAAGGTTTAAGGTTTTTGGCGTTAGGGTTAAAATCACTGTCCAAAACCTTTGTAGGAACTCTTTTCCAACCTTTTGGAGTTAGTTAGACCAAAAAATATGAAAAAAGAAAAAAATATTATTGGGGGTTTTTGGGCTCCCTGAAAGTAATACCCGGGTATTAGGTTTTGGCTAGGGAAAGGTTTAAGTTTTTGGCGTTAGGGTTAAAATCACTGTCCAAAACCTTTGTAGGAACTCTTTTCCAACCTTTTGGAGTTAGTTAGACCAAAAAAAAAAAAAGAAAAATGAAAAAAAAAATATTTGGGGTGTTCAGGCTTCCTAAAAGTAATACCCGGGTATTAGGTTATGGGGCTATGGTAAGGTTTAACGTTTTGGCGTTAGGTTTAAAATCACTGTCCAAAACCTTTGTAGGAACTCTTTTCCAACCTTTTGGAGTTAGTTAGACCAAAAAAAAATGAAAAATTAAAAAAAATATATTTGGGGTGTTCAGGCTTCCTAAAAGTAATACCCGGGTATTAGGTTATGGGGCTATGGTAAGGTTTAAGGTTTTTGGCGTTAGGGTTAAAATCACTGTCCAAAACCTTTGTAGGAACTCTTTTCCAACCTTTTGGAGTTAGTTAGACCAAAAAGTATGAAAAAAGAAAAAAATATTATTGGGGGTTTTCGGGCTCCCTGAAAGTAATACCCGGGTATTAGGTTTTGGGGCTATGGTAAGGTTTAAGTTTTTTGGCGTTAGGGTTAAAATCACTGTCCAAAACCTTTGTAGGAACTCTTTTCCAACCTTTTGGAGTTAGTTAGACCAAAAAAAAAAAAGAAAAATGAAAAAAAAATATTTGGGGTGTTCAGGCTTCCTAAAAGTAATACGTATTAGGTTATGGGGCTATGGTAAGGTTTAACGTTTTGGCGTTAGGTTTAAAATCACTGTCCAAAACCTTTGTAGGAACTCTTTTTCAACCTTTTGGAGTTAGTTAGACCAAAAATTAGATTTTAAGGCTAGGGTAAGGTTTAAGTTTTTTGGCATTAGGGTTAAAATCACTGTCCAAAACCTTTGTAGGAACTCTTTTCCAACCTTTTGGAGTTAGTTAGACCAAAAAGTATGAAAAAAGAAAAAAATATTATTGGGGGTTTTCGGGCTCCCTGAAAGTAATAGTATTAGGTTTTGGGGCTATGGTAAGGTTTAAGTTTTTTGGCGTTAGGGTTAAAATCACTGTCCAAAACCTTTGTAGGAACTCTTTTCCAACCTTTTGGAGTTAGTTAGACCAAAAAAAAAAAGAAAAATGAAAAAAAAATATTTGGGGTGTTCAGGCTTCCTAAAAGTAATACCCGGGTATTAGGTTATGGGTCTATGGTAAGGTTTAACGTTTTGGCGTTAGGTTTAAAATCACTGTCCAAAACCTTTGTAGGAACTCTTTTCCAACCTTTTGGATTTAGTTAGACCAAAAAAAAATGAAAAATTAAAAAAAATATATTTGGGGTTTTCAGGCTTCCTAAAAGTAATACCCGGGTATTAGGTTATGGGGCTATGGTAAGGTTTAAGGTTTTTGGCGTTAGGGTTAAAATCACCGTCCAAAACCTTTGTAGGAACTCTTTTTCAACCTTTTGGAGTTAGTTAGACCAAAAAAAAAATGAAAAATGAAAAAAAAAATATTTGGGGTTTACGGGCTTCCTGATTGTAATACCCGGGTATTAGATTTTAAGGCCAGGGAAAGGTTTAAGTTTTTTGGCGTTAGGGTTAAAATCACTGTCCAAAACCTTTGTAGGAACTCTTTTCCAACCTTTTGGAGTTAGTTAGACCAAAAAATATGAAAAAAGAAAAAAATATTATTGGGGGTTTTCGGGCTCCCTGAAAGTAATACCCGGGTATTAGGTTTTGGGGCTATGGTAAGGTTTAAGTTTTTTGGCGTTAGGGTTAAAATCACTGTCCAAAACCTTTGTAGGAACTCTTTTCCAACCTTTTGGAGTTAGTTAGACCAAAAAAAAAAGAAAAATGAAAAAAAAATATTTGGGGTTTTCAGGCTTCCTAAAAGTAATACCCGGGTATTAGGTTATGGGGCTATGGTAAGGTTTAACGTTTTGGCTTTAGGTTTAAAATCACTGTCCAAAACCTTTGTAGGAACTCTTTTTCAACCTTTTGGAGTTAGTTAGACCAAAAAATAGGAAAAAAGAAAAAAATATTATTGGGGGTTTTCGGGCTCCCTGAAAGTAATACCCGGGTATTAGGTTTTGGGGCTATGGTAAGGTTTAAGTTTTTTGGCGTTAGGGTTAAAATCACTGTCCAAAACCTTTGTAGGAACTCTTTTCCAACCTTTTGGAGTTAGTTAGACCAAAAAATATGAAAAAAGAAAAAAATATTATTGGGGGTTTTCGGGCTTCCTGAAGGTAATACCCAGGTATTAGGTTTTGGGACTGGGGAAAGGTTTAAGGTTTTTGGCATCAGGGTTAAAATCACTGTCCAAAACCTTTGTAGGAACTCTTTTCCAACCTTTTGGAATTAGATAAACCAAAAAAATATGAAAAAAGAAAAAATATATATTTGGGGTTTTTGGGCTTCCTGAATGTAATACCCGGGTATTAGATTTTGGGGCTATGGTAAGGTTTAAGTTTTTTGGCGTTAGGGTTAAAATCACTGTCCAAAACCTTTGTAGGAACTCTTTTCCAACCTTTTGGAGTTAGTTAGACCAAAAAATATGAAAAAAGAAAAAAATATTATTGGGGGTTTTCGGGCTCCCTGAAAGTAATACCCGGGTATTAGGTTTTGGGGCTATGGTAAGGTTTAAGTTTTTTGGCGTTAGGGTTAAAATCACTGTCCAAAACCTTTGTAGGAACTCTTTTCCAACCTTTTGGAGTTAGTTAGACCAAAAAAAATGAAAAATGAAAAAACAATATTTGGGGTTTTCGGGGTTCCTGAATGTAATACCCGGGTATTAGATTTTAAGGCTAGGGTAAGGTTTAAGTTTTTTGGCATTAGGGTTAAAATCACTGTCCAAAACCTTTGTAGGAACTCTTTTCCAACCTTTTGGAGTTAGTTAGACCAAAAAAAAAATGAAAAATGAAAAAAAAATATTTGGGGTTTTCGGGGTTCCTGAATGTAATACCCGGGTATTAGATTTTAAGGCTAGGGTAAGGTTTAAGTTTTTTGGCATCAGGGTTAAAATCACTGTCCAAAACCTTTGTAGGAACTCTTTTCCAACCTTTTGGAGTTAGTTACACCAAAAAGTATGAAAAAAGAAAAAAATATTATTGGGGGTTTTCGGGCTCCCTGAAAGTAATACCCGGGTATTAGGTTATGGGGCTATGGTAAGGTTTAAGTTTTTTGGCGTTAGGGTTAAAATCACTGTCCAAAACCTTTGTAGGAACTCTTTTCCAACCTTTTGGAGTTAGTTAGACCAAAAAAAAAAAGAAAAATGAAAAAAAAATATTTGGGGTGTTCAGGCTTCCTAAAAGTAATACCCGGGTATTAGGTTATAGGGCTATGGTAAGGTTTAAGTTTTTTGGCGTTAGGGTTAAAATCACCGTCCAAAACCTTTGTAGGAACTCTTTTTCAACCTTTTGGAGTTAGTTAGACCAAAAAAAAATGAAAAATGAAAAAAAAATATTTGGGGTTTACGGGCTTCCTGATTGTAATACCCGGGTATTAGATTTTAAGGCCAGGGAAAGGTTTAAGTTTTTTGGCGTTAGGGTTAAAATCACTGTCCAAAACCTTTGTAGGAACTCTTTTCCAACCTTTTGGAGTTGGTTACACCAACAAAAATGTAAAATGAACAAAAAAATATTTGGGGTGTTCAGGCTTCCTGAAGGTTATACCCGGGTATTAGATTTTAAGGCTAGGGTAAGGTTTAAGTTTTTTGGCGTTAGGGTTAAAATCACTGTCCAAAACCTTTGTAGGAACTCTTTTCCAACCTTTTGGAGTTAGTTAGACCAAAAAAAAATGAAAAATTAAAAAACAATATTTGGGGTTTTCGGGGTTCCTGAATGTAATACCCGGGTATTAGATTTTGAGGCTAGGGTAAGGTTTAAGGTTTTTGGCGTTAGGGTTAAAATCATTGTCCAAAACCTTTGTAGGAACTCTTTTCCAACCTTTTGGAGTTAGTTAGACCAAAAAAAAATGAAAAATTAAAAAACAATATTTGGGGTTTTCGGGGTTCCTGAATGTAATACCCGGGTATTAGATTTTGAGGCTAGGGTAAGGTTTAAGGTTTTTGGCGTTAGGGTTAAAATCATTGTCCAAAACCTTTGTAGGAACTCTTTTCCAACCTTTTGGAGTTAGTTAGACCAAAAAATATGAAAAAAGAAAAAAATATTATTGGGGGTTTTCGGGCTCCCTGAAAGTAATACCCATGTATTAGGTTTTGGGACTAGGGAAAGGTTTAAGGGTTTTGGCGTTAGGGTTAAAATCACTGTCCAAAACCTTTGTAGGAACTCTTTTCCAACCTTTTGGAGTTAGACCAAAAAAAAAAGAAAAATGAAAAAAAAATATTTGGGGTGTTCAGGCTTCCTAAAAGTAATACCCGGGTATTAGGTTATAGGGCTATGGTAAGGTTTAAGTTTTTTGGCATAAGGGTTAAAATCCCTGTCCAAAACCTTTGTAGGAACACTTTTCCAACCTTTTGGAATTAGATAAAACAAAAAAATATGAAAAATGAAAAAATATATATTTGGGGTTTTCGTGCTTCCTGAATGTAATACCCGGGTATTAGATTTTAAGGCTAGGGTAAGGTTTAAGTTTTTTGGCGTTAGGGTTAAAATCACTGTCCAAAACCTTTGTAGGAACTCTTTTCCAACCTTTTGGATTTAGTTAGACCAAAAAAAATGAAAAATTAAAAAAAATATATTTGGGGTGTTCAGGCTTCCTAAAAGTAATACCCGGGTTTTAGATTTTGAGGCTAGGGTAAGGTTTAAGGTTTTTGGCGTTAGGGTTAAAATCACTGTCCAAAACCTTTGTAGGAACTCTTTTCCAACCTTTTGGAGTTAGTTAAACCAAAAAAAAAGAAAAATGAAAAAATATATATTTGGGGTTTTCGGGCTTCCTGAATGTAATACCCGGGTATTAGATTTTTAGGCTAGGGTAAGGTTTAAGTTTTTTGGCGTTAGGGTTAAAATCACTGTCCAAAACCTTTGTAGGAACTCTTTTCCAACCTTTTGGAGTTGGTTACACCAACAATAATGTAAAATGAACAAAAAAATATTTGGGGTGTTCGGGCTTCCTGAAGGTAATACCCCGGTATTAGATTTTAAGGCTAGGGTAAGGTTTAAGTTTTTTGGCGTTAGGGTTAAAATCACTGTCCAAAACCTTTGTAGGAACTCTTTTCCAACCTTTTGGAGTTAGTTAGACCAAAAAGTATGAAAAAAGAAAAAAATATTATTGGGGGTTTTCGGGCTCCCTGAAAGTAATACCCGGGTATTAGATTTTAAGGCTAGGGTAAGGTTTAAGGTTTTTGGCGTTAGGGTTAAAATCACTGTCCAAAACCTTTGTAGGAACTCTTTTCCAACCTTTTGGAGTTAGTTAGACCAAAAAATATGAAAAAAGAAAAAAATATTATTGGGGGTTTTCGGGCTCCCTGAAAGTAATACCCGGGTATTAGGTTTTGGGGCTATGGTAAGGTTTAAGTTTTTTGGCGTTAGGGTTAAAATCACTGTCCAAAACCTTTGTAGGAACTCTTTTCCAACCTTTTGGAGTTAGTTAGACCAAAAAATATGAAAAAAGAAAAAAATATTTGGGGTGTTCGGGCTTCCTGAAGGTAATACCCCGGTATTAGATTTTAAGGCTATGGTAAGGTTTAAGTTTTTTGGCGTTAGGGTTAAAATCACTGTCCAAAACCTTTGTAGGAACTCTTTTCCAACCTTTTGGAGTTAGTTAGACCAAAAAAAAATGAAAAATTAAAAAACAATATTTGGGGTTTTCGGGGTTCCTGAATGTAATACCCGGGTATTAGATTTTAAGGCTAGGGTAAGGTTTAAGGTTTTTGGCGTTAGGGTTAAAATCACTGTCCAAAACCTTTGTAGGAACTCTTTTCCAACCTTTTGGAGTTAGTTAGACCAAAAAATATGAAAAAAGAAAAAAAATATTATTGGGGGTTTTCGGGCTCCCTGAAAGTAATACCCGGGTATTAGGTTTTGGGGCTATGGTAAGGTTTAAGTTTTTTGGCGTTAGGGTTAAAATCACTGTCCAAAACCTTTGTAGGAACTCTTTTCCAACCTTTTGGAGTTAGTTAGACCAAAAAAAAATTAAAAATTAAAAAACAATATTTGGGGTTTTCGGGGTTCCTGAATGTAATACCCAGGTATTAGATTTTAAGGCTAGGGTAAGGTTTAAGGTTTTTGGCGTTAGGGTTAAAATCACTGTCCAAAACCTTTGTAGGAACTCTTTTCCAACCTTTTGGAGTTAGTTAGACCAAAAAAAAAAAGAAAAATGAAAAAAAAATATTTTGGGTGTTCAGGCTTCCTAAAAGTAATACCCTGGTATTAGGTTATGGGGCTATGGTAAGGTTTAAGGTTTTTGGCGTTAGGGTTGAAATCACTGTCCAAAACCTTTGTAGGAACTCTTTTTCAACTTTTTGGAGTTAGTTAGACCAAAAAAAAATGAAAAATGAAGAAAAAAATATTTGGGGTGTTCAGGCTTCCTAGAAGTAATACCCGGGTATAAGATTATGGGGCTATGGTAAGGTTTAAGGTTTTTGGCATTAGGGTTAAAATCACTGTCCAAAACCTTTGCAGGAACTCTTTTCCAACCTTTTGGAGTTGGTTACACCAACAAAAATGTAAAATGAAAAAAAAATATATTTTGGTTGTTCGGGGTTCCTAAAAGTAATACCGGGGTAATTAGGTTATGGGGCTATGGTAAGGTTTAAGGTTTTTGGCGTTAGGGTTAAAATCACTGTCCAAAACCTTTGTAGGAACTCTTTTTCAACCTTTTGGAGTTAGTTAGACCAAAAAGTATGAAAAAAGAAAAAAATATTATTGGGGGTTTTCGGGCTCCCTGAAAGTAATACCCGGGTATTAGGTTTTGGGGCTATGGTAAGGTTTAAGTTTTTTGGCGTTAGGGTTAAAATCACTGTCCAAAACCTTTGTAGGAACTCCTTTCCAACCTTTTGGAGTTAGTTAGACCAAAAAAAAATGAAAAATTAAAAAACAATATTTGGGGTTTTCGGGGTTCCTGAATGTAATACCCGGGTATTAGATTTTAAGGCTGGGGTAAGGTTTAAGGTTTTTGGCGTTAGGGTTAAAATCACTGTCCAAAACCTTTGTAAGAACTCTTTTCCAACCTTTTGGAGTTAGTTAGACCAAAAAATATGAAAAAAGAAAAAAATATTATTGGGGGTTTTCGGGCTCCCTGAAAGTAATACCCGGGTATTAGGTTTTGGGGCTATGGTAAGGTTTAAGTTTTTTGGCGTTAGGGTTAAAATCACTGTCCAAAACCTTTGTAGGAACTCTTTTCCAACCTTTTGGAGTTGGTTACACCAACAAAAATGTAAAATGAAGAAAAAAATATTTGGGGTGTTCAGGCTTCCTGAAGGTAATACCCGGGTATTAGATTTCAAGGCTAGGGTAAGGTTTAAGGTTTTTGGCGTTAGGGTTAAAATCACTGTCCAAAACCTTTGTAGGAACTCTTTTCCAACCTTTTGGAGTTAGTTAGACCAAAAAATATGAAAAAAGAAAAAAATATTATTGGGGGTTTTCGGGCTCCCTGAAAGTAATACCCGGGTATTAGGTTTTGGGGCTATGGTAAGGTTTAAGTTTTTTGGCGTTAGGGTTAAAATCACTGTCCAAAACCTTTGTAGGAACTCTTTTCCAACCTTTTGGAGTTGGTTACACCAACAAAAATGTAAAATGAAGAAAAAAATATTTGGGGTGTTCAGGCTTCCTGAAGGTAATACCCGGGTATTAGATTTCAAGGCTAGGGTAAGGTTTAAGGTTTTTGGCGTTAGGGTAAAAATCACTGTCCAAAACCTTTGTAGGAACTCTTTTCCAACCTTTTGGAGTTAGTTAGACCAAAAAATATGAAAAAAGAAAAAAATATTATTGGGGGTTTTCGGGCTCCCTGAAAGTAATAGACGTGTATTAGGTTTTGGGACTAGGGAAAGGTTTAAGGGTTTTGGCGTTAGGGTTAAAATCACTGTCCAAAACCTTTGTAGGAACTCTTTTCCAACCTTTTGGAGTTAGTTAGACCAAAAAAAAATGAAAAATTAAAAAAAATATATTTGGGGTGTTCAGGCTTCCTAAAAGTAATACCCGGGTATTAGGTTATGGGGCTATGGTAAGGTTTAAGGTTTTTGGCGTTAGGGTTAAAATCACTGTCCAAAACCTTTGTAGGAACTCTTTTTCAACCTTTTGGAGTTAGTTAGACCAAAAAAAAAATGAAAAATGAAAAAAAAAATATTTGGGGTTTACGGGCTTCTTGAATGTAATACCCGGGTATTAGATTTTAAGGCCAGGGAAAGGTTTAAGTTTTTTGGCGTTAGGGTTAAAATCACTGTCCAAAACCTTTGTAGGAACTCTTTTCCAAACTTTTGGAGTTAGTTAGACCAAAAAAAAAAAGAAAAATGAAAAAAAAATATTTGGGGTGTTCAGGCTTCCTAAAAGTAATACCCAGGTATTAGGTTATGGGGCTATGGTAAGGTTTAACGTTTTGGCGTTAGGTTTAAAATCACTGTCCAAAACCTTTGTAGGAACTCTTTAACAACCTTTTGGATTTAGTTAGACCAAAAAAAAATGAAAAATTAAAAAAAATATATTTGGGGTGTTCAGGCTTCCTAAAAGTAATACCCGGGTATTAGGTTATGGGGCTATGGTAAGGTTTAAGGTTTTTGGCGTTAGGGTTAAAATCACTGTCCAAAACCTTTGTAGGAACTCTTTTTTAACCTTTTGTAATTAGTTAGACCAAAAAAAAAATGAAAAATGAAAAAAAAAATATTTGGGGTTTGCGGGCTTCCTGAATGTAATACCCGGGTATTAGATTTTAAGGCCAGGGAAAGGTTTAAGTTTTTTGGCGTTAGGGTTAAAATCACTGTCCAAAACCTTTGTAGGAACTCTTTTCCAACCTTTTGGAGTTAGTTAGACCAAAAAATATGAAAAAAGAAAAAAATATTATTGGGGGTTTTCGGGCTCCCTGAAAGTAATACCCGGGTATTAGGTTTTAAGGCTGGGGTAAGGTTTAAGGTTTTTGGCGTTAGGGTTAAAATCACTGTCCAAAACCTTTGTAGGAACTCTTTTCCAACCTTTTGGAGTTAGTTAGACCAAAAAATATGAAAAAAGAAAAAAATATTATTGGGGGTTTTCGGGCTCCCTGAAAGTAATACCCGGGTATTAGGTTTTGGGGCTATGGTAAGGTTTAAGTTTTTTGGCGTTAGGGTTAAAATCACTGTCCAAAACCTTTGTAGGAACTCTTTTCCAACCTTTTGGAGTTGGTTACACCAACAAAAATGTAAAATGAAGAAAAAAATATTTGGGGTGTTCAGGCTTCCTGAAGGTAATACCCGGGTAATAGATTTCAAGGCTAGGGTAAGGTTTAAGGTTTTTGGCGTTAGGGTTAAAATCACTGTCCAAAACCTTTGTAGGAACTCTTTTCCAACCTTTTGGAGTTAGTTAGACCAAAAAATATGAAAAAAGAAAAAAATATTATTGGGGGTTTTCGGGCTCCCTGAAAGTAATACCCGGGTATTAGGTTTTGGGGCTATGGTAAGGTTTAAGTTTTTTGGCGTTAGGGTTAAAATCACTGTCCAAAACCTTTGTAGGAACTCTTTTCCAACCTTTTGGAGTTGGTTACACCAAATAATGTAAAATGAAGAAAAAAATATTTGGGGTGTTCAGGCTTCCTGAAGGTAATACCCGGGTATTAGATTTCAAGGCTAGGGTAAGGTTTAAGGTTTTTGGCGTTAGGGTTAAAATCACTGTCCAAAACCTTTGTAGGAACTCTTTTCCAACCTTTTGGAGTTAGTTAGACCAAAAAATATGAAAAAAGAAAAAAATATTATTGGGGGTTTTCGGGCTTCCTGAAAGTAATACCCGTGTATTAGGTTTTGGGACTAGGGAAAGGTTTAAGGGTTTTGGCGTTAGGGTTAAAATCACTGTCCAAAACCTTTGTAGGAACTCTTTTCCAACCTTTTGGAGTTAGTTAGACCAAAAAAAAATGAAAAATTAAAAAAAATATATTTGGGGTGTTCAGGCTTCCTAAAAGTAATACCCGGGTATTAGGTTATGGGGCTATGGTAAGGTTTAAGGTTTTTGGCGTTAGGGTTAAAATCACTGTCCAAAACCTTTGTAGGAACTCTTTTCCAACCTTTTGGAGTTAGTTAGACCAAAAAATATGAAAAAAGAAAAAAATATTATTGGGGGTTTTCGGGCTCCCTGAAAGTAATACCCGGGTATTAGGTTTTGGGGCTATGGTAAGGTTTAAGTTTTTTGGCGTTAGGGTTAAAATCACTGTCCAAAACCTTTGTAGGAACTCTTTTCCAAACTTTTGGAGTTAGTTAGACCAAAAAAAAAGAAAAATGAAAAAAAAATATTTGGGGTGTTCAGGCTTCCTAAAAGTAATACCCGGGTATTAGGTTATGGGGCTATGGTAAGGTTTAACGTTTTGGCGTTAGGTTTAAAATCACTGTCCAAAACCTTTGTAGGAACTCTTTAACAACCTTTTGGATTTAGTTAGACCAAAAAAAAAAGAAAAATGAAAAAAAAATATTTGGGGTGTTCAGGCTTCCTAAAAGTAATACCCAGGTATTAGGTTATGGGGCTATGGTAAGGTTTAAGTTTTTTGGCGTTAGGGTTAAAATCACTGTCCAAAACCTTTGTAGGAACTCTTTTCCAACCTTTTGGAGTTAGTTAGACCAAAAAAAAATGAAAAATTAAAAAACAATATTTGGGGTTTTCGGGGTTCCTGAATGTAATACCCGGGTATTAGATTTTGAGGCTAGGGTAAGGTTTAAGTTTTTTGGCATTAGGGTTAAAATCACTGTCCAAAACCTTTGTAGGAACTCTTTTCCAACCTTTTGGAGTTGGTTACACCAACAAAAATGTAAAATGAAGAAAAAAATATTTGGGGTGTTCAGGCTTCCTGAAGGTAATACCCGGGTATTAGATTTCAAGGCTAGGGTAAGGTTTAAGGTTTTTGGCGTTAGGGTTAAAATCACTGTCCAAAACCTTTGTAGGAACTCTTTTCCAACCTTTTGGAGTTAGTTAGACCAAAAAATATGAAAAAAGAAAAAAATATTATTGGGGGTTTTCGGGCTCCCTGAAAGTAATACCCGTGTATTAGGTTTTGGGACTAGGGAAAGGTTTAAGGGTTTTGGCGTTAGGGTTAAAATCACTGTCCAAAACCTTTGTAGGAACTCTTTTCCAACCTTTTGGAGTTAGTTAGACCAAAAAAAAATGAAAAATTAAAAAAAATATATTTGGGGTGTTCAGGCTTCCTAAAAGTAATACCCGGGTATTAGGTTATGGGGCTATGGTAAGGTTTAAGGTTTTTGGCGTTAGGGTTAAAATCACTGTCCAAAACCTTTGTAGGAACTCTTTTTCAACCTTTTGGAGTTAGTTAGACCAAAAAAAAAATGAAAAATGAAAAAAAAAATATTTGGGGTTTACGGGCTTCCTGAATGTAATACCCGGGTATTAGATTTTAAGGCCAGGGAAAGGTTTAAGTTTTTTGGCGTTAGGGTTAAAATCACTGTCCAAAACCTTTGTAGGAACTCTTTTCCAACCTTTTGGAGTTAGTTAGACCAAAAAGTATGAAAAAAGAAAAAAATATTATTGGGGGTTTTCGGGCTCCCTGAAAGTAATACCCGGGTATTAGGTTTTGGGGCTATGGTAAGGTTTAAGTTTTTTGGCGTTAGGGTTAAAATCACTGTCCAAAACCTTTGTAGGAACTCTTTTCCAACCTTTTGGAGTTAGTTAGACCAAAAAATATGAAAAAAGAAAAAAATATTATTGGGGGTTTTCGGGCTCCCTGAAAGTAATACCCGGGTATTAGGTTTTGGGGCTATGGCAAGGTTTAAGTTTTTTGGCGGTAGGGTTAAAATCACTGTCCAAAACCTTTGTAGGAACTCTTTTCCAACCTTTTGGAGTTAGTTAGACCAAAAAAAAAAGAAAAATGAAAAAAAAATATTTGGGGTGTTCAGGCTTCCTAAAAGTAATACCCAGGTATTAGGTTATGGGGCAATGGTAAGGTTTAAGGTTTTTGGCGTTAGGGTTAAAATCACTGTCCAAAACCTTTGTAGGAACTCTTTTCCAACCTTTTGGAGTTGGTTACAACAAAAAAAAATGAAAAATGAAAAAAAAATATTTGGGGTTTACGGGCTTCCTGAATGTAATACCCGGGTATTAGATTTTAAGGCCAGGGAAAGGTTTAAGTTTTTTGGCGTTAGGGTTAAAATTACTGTCCAAAACCTTTGTAGGAACTCTTTTCCAACCTTTTGGAGTTAGTTAGACCAAAAAATATGAAAAAAGAAAAAAATATTATTGGGGGTTTTCGGGCTCCCTGAAAGTAATAACCGGGTATTAGGTTTTGGGGCTATGGTAAGGTTTAAGTTTTTTGGCGTTAGGGTTAAAATCACTGTCCAAAACCTTTGTAGGAACTCTTTTCCAACCTTTTGGAGTTAGTTAGACCAAAAAATATGAAAAAAGAAAAAAAATATTATTGGGGGTTTTCGGGCTCCCTGAAAGTAATACCCGGGTATTAGGTTTTGGGGCTATGGTAAGGTTTAAGGTTTTTGGCGTTAGGGTTGAAATCACTGTCCAAAACCTTTGTAGGAACTCTTTTTCAACCTTTTGGAGTTAGTTAGACCAAAAAAAAATGAAAAATGAAAAAAAAATATTTGGGGTTTACGGGCTTCCTGAATGTAATACCCGGGTATTAGATTTTAAGGCTAGGGTAAGGTTTAAGTTTTTTGGCATTAGGGTTAAAATCACTGTCCAAAACCTTTGTAGGAACACTTTTCCAACCTTTTGGAGTTGGTTAGACCAAAAAGTATGAAAAAAGAAAAAAATATTATTGGGGGTTTTCGGGCTCCCTGAAAGTAATACCCGGGTATTAGGTTTTGGGGCTATGGTAAGGTTTAAGTTTTTTGGCGTTAGGGTTAAAATCACTGTCCAAAACCTTTGTAGGAACTCTTTTCCAACCTTTTGGAGTTAGTTAGACCAAAAAGTATGAAAAAAGAAAAAAATATTATTGGGGGTTTTCGGGCTCCTGAAAGTAATACCCGGGTATTAGGTTTTGGGGCTATGGTAAGGTTTAAGTTTTTTGGCGTTAGGGTTAAAATCACTGTCCAAAACCTTTGTAGGAACTCTTCTCCAACCTTTTGGAGTTAGTTAGACCAAAAAATATGAAAAAAGAAATAAATATTATTGGGGGTTTTCGGGCTCCCTGAAAGTAATACCCGTGTATTAGGTTTTGGGACTAGGGAAAGGTTTAAGGGTTTTGGCGTTAGGGTTAAAATCACTGTCCAAAACCTTTGTAGCAACTCTTTTCCAACCTTTTGGAGTTAGTTAGACCAAAAAAAAATGAAAAATTAAAAAAAATATATTTGGGGTGTTCAGGCTTCCTAAAAGTAGTACCCGGGTATTAGGTTATGGGGCTATGGTAAGGTTTAAGGTTTTTGGCGTTAGGGTTAAAATCACTGTCCAAAACCTTTGTAGGAACTCTTTTTCAACCTTTTGGAGTTAGTTAGACCAAAAAAAAAATGAAAAATGAAAAAAAAATATTTGGGGTTTACGGGCTTCCTGAATGTAATACCCGGGTATTAGATTTTAAGGCCAGGGAAAGGTTTAAGTTTTTTGGCGTTAGGGTTAAAATCACTGTCCAAAACCTTTGTAGGAACTCTTTTCCAACCTTTTGGAGTTAGTTAGACCAAAAAGTATGAAAAAAGAAAAAATATTATTGGGGGTTTTCGGGCTCCCTGAAAGTAATACCCGGGTATTAGGTTTTGGGGCTATGGTAAGGTTTAAGTTTTTTGGCGTTCGGGTTAAAATCACTGTCCAAAACCTTTGTAGGAACTCTTCTCCAACCTTTTGGAGTTAGTTAGACCAAAAAATATGAAAAAAGAAAAAAATATTATTGGGGGTTTTCGGGCTCCCTGAAAGTAATACCCGGGTATTAGGTTTTGGGGCTATGGTAAGGTTTAAGGTTTTTGGCTTTAGGGTTGAAATCACTGTCCAAAACCTTTGTAGGAACTCTTTTTCAACCTTTTGGAGTTAGTTAGACCAAAAAAAAATGAAAAATGAAAAAAAAATATTTGGGGTTTACGGGCTTCCTGAATGTAATACCCGGGTATTAGATTTTAAGGCCAGGGTAAGGTTTAAGTTTTTTGGCGTTAGGGTTAAAATCACTGTCCAAAACCTTTGTAGGAACTCTTTTCCAACCTTTTGGAGTTGGTTAGACCAAAAAAAAAGAAAAATGAAAAAAAAATATTTGGGGTGTTCAGGCTTCCTAAAAGTAATACCCAGGTATTAGGTTATGGGGCTATGGTAAGGTTTAAGTTTTTTGGCGTTAGGGTTAAAATCACTGTCCAAAACCTTTGTAGGAACTCTTTTCCAACCTTTTGGAGTTAGTTAGACCAAAAAATATGAAAAAAGAAAAAAATATTATTGGGGGTTTTCGGGCTCCCTGAAAGTAATACCCGGTTATTAGGTTTTGGGGCTATGGTAAGGTTTAAGTTTTTTGGCGTTAGGGTTAAAATCACTGTCCAAAACCTTTGTAGGAACTCTTTTCCAACCTTTTGGAGTTAGTTAGACCAAAAAAAAATGAAAAATGAAAAAACAATATTTGGGGTTTTCGGGGTTCCGGAATGTAATACCCGGGTATTAGATTTTAAGGCTAGGGTAAGGTTTAAGTTTTTTGGCATTAGGGTTAAAATCACTGTCCAAAACCTTTGTAGGAACTCTTTTCCAACCTTTTGGAGTTAGTTAGACCAAAAAAAAAAGAAAAATGAAAAAAAAATATTTGGGGTGTTCAGGCTTCCTAAAAGTAATACCCGGGTATTAGGTTTTGGGGCTATGGTAAGGTTTAAGTTTTTTGGCGTTAGGGTTAAAATCACTGTCCAAAACCTTTGTAGGAACTCTTTTCCAACCTTTTGGAGTTAGTTAGACCAAAAAAAATGAAAAATGAAAAAACAATATTTGGGGTTTTCGGGGTTCCGGAATGTAATACCCGGGTATTAGGATTTTAAGGCTAGGGTAAGGTTTAAGTTTTTTGGCATTAGGGTTAAAATCACTGTCCAAAACCTTTGTAGGAACTCTTTTCCAACCTTTTGGAGTTAGTTACACCAAAAAAAATGTAAAATGAAAAAAAAATATTTGGGGTTTTCGGGCTTCCTGAATGTAATACCCGGGTATTAGATTTTAAGGCCAGGGTAAGGTTTAAGTTTTTTGGCATTAGGGTTAAAATCACTGTCCAAAACCTTTGTAGGAACACTTTTCCAACCTTTTGGAGTTGGTTAGACCAAAAAAAAAGAAAAATGAAAAAAAAATATTTGGGGTGTTCAGGCTTCCTAAAAGTAATACCCAGGTATTAGGGTTATTGGGCTATGGTAAGGTTTAAGTTTTTTGGCGTTAGGGTTAAAATCACTGTCCAAAACCTTTGTAGGAACTCTTTTCCAACCTTTTGGAGTTAGTTAGACCAAAAAAAATGAAAAATTAAAAAACAATATTTGGGGTTTTCGGGGTTCCTGAATGTAATACCCGGGTATTAGATTTTGAGGCTAGGGTAAGGTTTAAGTTTTTTGGCATTAGGGTTAAAATCACTGTCCAAAACCTTTGTAGGAACTCTTTTCCAACCTTTTGGAGTTAGTTACACCAACAAAAATGTAAAATGAAGAAAAAAATATTTGGGGTTTTCAGGCTTCCTGAAGGTAATACCCGGGTATTAGATTTCAAGGCTAGGGTAAGGTTTAAGGTTTTTGGCGTTAGGGTTAAAATCACTGTCCAAAACCTTTGTAGGAACTCTTTTCCAACCTTTTGGAGTTAGTTAGACCAAAAAATATGAAAAAAGAAAAAAATATTATTGGGGGTTTTCGGGCTCCCTGAAAGTAATACCCGTGTATTAGGTTTTGGGACTAGGGAAAGGTTTAAGTTTTTTGGCGTTAGGGTTAAAATCACTGTCCAAAACCTTTGTAGGAACTCTTTTCCAACCTTTTGGAGTTAGTTAGACCAAAAAAAAAATGAAAAATTAAAAAAAATATATTTGGGGTGTTCAGGCTTCCTAAAAGTAATACCCGGGTATTAGGTTATGGGGCTATGGTAAGGTTTAAGTTTTTTGGCGTTAGGGTTAAAATCACTGTCCAAAACCTTTGTAGGAACTCTTTTCCAACCTTTTGGAGTTAGTTAGACCAAAAAATATGAAAAAAGAAAAAAATATTATTGGGGGTTTCGGGCTCCTGAAAGTAATACCCGGGTATTAGGTTTTGGGGCTATGGTAAGGTTTAAGTTTTTTGGCGTTAGGGTTAAAATCACTGTCCAAAACCTTTGTAGGAACTCTTTAACAACCTTTTGGAGTTAGTTCGACCAAAAAAAAATGAAAAATTAAAAAAAATATATTTGGGGTGTTCAGGCTTCCTAAAAGTAATACCCGGGTATTAGGTTATGGGGCTATGGTAAGGTTTAAGTTTTTTGGCGTTAGGGTTAAAATCACTGTCCAAAACCTTTGTAGGAACTCTTTTCCAACCTTTTGGAGTTAGTTAGACCAAAAAATATGAAAAAAGAAAAAAATATTATTGGGGGTTTTCGGGCTCCCTGAAAGTAATACCCGGGTATTAGGTTTTGGGGCTATGGTAAGGTTTAAGGTTTTTGGCGTTAGGGTTAAAATCACTGTCCAAAACCTTTGTAGGAACTCTTTTTCAACCTTTTGGAGTTAGTTAGACCAAAAAAAAATGAAAAATGAAAAAAAAAATATTTGGGGTTTACGGGCTTCCTGAATGTAATACCCGGGTATTAGATTTTAAGGCTAGGGTAAGGTTTAAGTTTTTTGGCATTAGGGTTAAAATCACTGTCCAAAACCTTTGTAGGAACACTTTTCCAACCTTTTGGAGTTGGTTAGACCAAAAAGTATGAAAAAAGAAAAAAATATTATTGGGGGTTTTCGGGCTCCCTGAAAGTAATACCCGGGTATTAGGTTTTGGGGCTATGGTAAGGTTTAAGTTTTTTGGCGTTAGGGTTAAAATCACTGTCCAAAACCTTTGTAGGAACTCTTTTCCAACCTTTTGGAGTTAGTTAGACCAAAAAGTATGAAAAAAGAAAAAAATAATATTGGGGGTTTTCGGGCTCCCTGAAAGTAATACCCGGGTATTAGGTTTTGGGGCTATGGTAAGGTTTAAGTTTTTTGGCGTTAGGGTTAAAATCACTGTCCAAAACCTTTGTAGGAACTCTTTTCCAACCTTTTGGAGTTAGTTAGACCAAAAAATATGAAAAAAGAAAAAAATATTATTGGGGGTTTTCGGGCTCCCTGAAAGTAATACCCGTGTATTAGGTTTTGGGACTAGGGAAAGGTTTAAGGGTTTTGGCGTTAGGGTTAAAATCACTGTCCAAAACCTTTGTAGCAACTCTTTTCCAACCTTTTGGAGTTAGTTAGACCAAAAAATAATGAAAAATTAAAAAAAATATATTTGGGGTGTTCAGGCTTCCTAAAAGTAGTACCCGGGTATTAGGTTATGGGGCTATGGTAAGGTTTAAGGTTTTTGGCGTTAGGGTTAAAATCACTGTCCAAAACCTTTGTAGGAACTCTTTTTCAACCTTTCAGAGTTAGTTAGACCAAAAAAAAAATGAAAAATGAAAAAAAAAATATTTGGGGTTTACGGGCTTCCTAAAAGTAATACCCGGGTATTAGGTTATGGGGCTATGGTAAGGTTTAAGGTTTTGGCGTTAGGGTTAAAATCACTGTCCAAAACCTTTGTAGGAACTCTTTTCCAACCTTTTGGAGTTAGTTAGACCAAAAAAAAAAGAAAAATGAAAAAAAAATATTTGGGGTGTTCAGGCTTCCTGAAAGTAATACCCGGGTATTAGGTTTTGGGGCTATGGTAAGGTTTAAGTTTTTGGCGTTAGGGTTAAAATCACTGTCCAAAACCTTTGTAGGAACTCTTTTCCAACCTTTTGGAGTTAGTTAGACCAAAAAAAAATGAAAAATTAAAAAAAATATATTTGGGGTGTTCAGGCTTCCTAAAAGTAATACCCGGGTATTAGGTTATGGGGCTATGGTAAGGTTTAAGTTTTTTGGCGTTAGGGTTAAAATCACTGTCCAAAACCTTTGTAGGAACTCTTTTCCAACCTTTTGGAGTTAGTTAGACCAAAAAATATGAAAAAAGAAAAAAATATTATTGGGGGTTTTCGGGCTCCCTGAAAGTAATAACCGGGTATTAGGTTATGGGGCTATGGTAAGGTTTAACGTTTTGGCGTTAGGTTTAAAATCACTGTCCAAAACCTTTGTAGGAACTCTTTAACAACCTTTTGGAGTTAGTTAGACCAAAAAAAAATGAAAAATTAAAAAAAATATATTTGGGGTGTTCAGGCTTCCTAAAAGTAATACCCGGGTATTAGGTTATGGTGCTATGGTAAGGTTTAAGTTTTTTGGCGTTAGGGTTAAAATCACTGTCCAAAACCTTTGTAGGAACTCTTTTCCAACCTTTTGGAGTTAGTTAGACCAAAAAATATGAAAAAAGAAAAAATATTATTGGGGGTTTTCTGGCTTCCTGAAAGTAATACCCGGGTATTAGGTTTTGGGGCTATGGTAAGGTTTAAGTTTTTTGGCGTTAGGGTTAAAATCACTGTCCAAAACCTTTGTAGGAACTCTTTTCCAACCTTTTGGAGTTAGTTAGACCAAAAAATATGAAAAAAGAAAAAAATATTATTGGGGGTTTTCGGGCTCCCTGAAAGTAATACCCGGGTATTAGGTTTTGGGGCTATGGTAAGGTTTAAGGTTTTTGGCGTTAGGGTTAAAATCACTGTCCAAAACCTTTGTAGGAACTCTTTTCCAACCTTTTGGAGTTAGTTAGACCAAAAAAAAATGAAAAATGAAAAAAAAATATTTGGGGTTTACGGGCTTCCTGAATGTAATACCCGGGTATTAGATTTTAAGGCCAGGGTAAGGTTTAAGTTTTTTGGCATTAGGGTTAAAATCACTGTCCAAAACCTTTGTAGGAACTCTTTTCCAACCTTTTGGAGTTAGTTAGACCAAAAAAAATGAAGAAAGAAAAAATAATATTTGGGGGTTTTCTGGCTTCCTGAAAGTAATACCCGGGTATTAGGTTTTGGGGCTATGGTAAGGTTTAAGTTTTTTGGCGTTAGGGTTAAAATCACTGTCCAAAACCTTTGTAGGAACTCTTTTCCAACCTTTTGGAGTTAGTTAGACCAAAAAATATGAAAAAAGAAAAAAATATTATTGGGGGTTTTCGGGCTCCCTGAAAGTAATACCCGTGTATTAGGTTTTGGGACTAGGGAAAGGTTTAAGGGTTTTGGCGTTAGGGTTAAAATCACTGTCCAAAACCTTTGTAGCAACTCTTTTCCAACCTTTTGGAGTTAGTTAGACCAAAAAATAATGAAAAATTAAAAAAAATATATTTGGGGTGTTCAGGCTTCCTAAAAGTAGTACCCGGGTATTAGGTTATGGGGCTATGGTAAGGTTTAAGGTTTTTGGCGTTAGGGTTAAAATCACTGTCCAAAACCTTTGTAGGAACTCTTTTCCAACCTTTTGGAGTTAGTTAGACCAAAAAAAAAATGAAAAATGAAAAAAAAAATATTTGGGGTTTACGGGCTTCCTGAATGTAATACCCGGGTATTAGATTTTAAGGCCAGGGAAAGGTTTAAGTTTTTTGGCGTTAGGGTTAAAATCACTGTCCAAAACCTTTGTAGGAACTCTTTTCCAACCTTTTGGAGTTAGTTAGACCAAAAAGTATGAAAAAAGAAAAAAATATTATTGGGGGTTTTCGGGCTCCCTGAAAGTAATACCCGGGTATTAGGTTTTGGGGCTATGGTAAGGTTTAAGTTTTTTGGCGTTAGGGTTAAAATCACTGTCCAAAACCTTTGTAGGAACTCTTCTCCAACCTTTTGGAGTTAGTTAGACCAAAAAATATGAAAAAAGAAAAAAATATTATTGGGGGTTTTCGGGCTCCCTGAAAGTAATACCCGGGTATTAGGTTTTGGGGCTATGGTAAGGTTTAAGGTTTTTGGCTTTAGGGTTGAAATCACTGTCCAAAACCTTTGTAGGAACTCTTTTTCAACCTTTTGGAGTTAGTTAGACCAAAAAAAAATGAAAAATGAAAAAAAAAATATTTGGGGTTTACGGGCTTCCTGAATGTAATACCCGGGTATTAGATTTTAAGGCCAGGGTAAGGTTTAAGTTTTTTGGCGTTAGGGTTAAAATCACTGTCCAAAACCTTTGTAGGAACTCTTTTCCAACCTTTTGGAGTTAGTTAGACCAAAAAAAAAAGAAAAATGAAAAAAAAATATTTGGGGTGTTCAGGCTTCCTAAAAGTAATACCCAGGTATTAGGTTATGGGGCTATGGTAAGGTTTAAGTTTTTTGGCGTTAGGGTTAAAATCACTGTCCAAAACCTTTGTAGGAACTCTTTTCCAACCTTTTGGAGTTAGTTAGACCAAAAAATATGAAAAAAGAAAAAAATATTATTGGGGGTTTTCGGGCTCCCTGAAAGTAATACCCGGGTATTAGGTTTTGGGGCTATGGTAAGGTTTAAGTTTTTTGGCGTTAGGGTTAAAATCACTGTCCAAAACCTTTGTAGGAACTCTTTTCCAACCTTTTGGAGTTAGTTAGACCAAAAAAAAATGAAAAATGAAAAAAAAATATTTGGGGTTTTCGGGGTTCCTGAATGTAATACCCGGGTATTAGATTTTAAGGCTAGGGTAAGGTTTAAGTTTTTTGGCATTAGGGTTAAAATCACTGTCCAAAACCTTTGTAGGAACTCTTTTCCAACCTTTTGGAGTTGGTTACACCAAAAAAAATGTAAAATGAAAAAAAAAAATATTTGGGGTTTTCGGGCTTCCTGAATGTAATACCCGGGTATTAGATTTTAAGGCCAGGGTAAGGTTTAAGTTTTTTGGCATTAGGGTTAAAATCACTGTCCAAAACCTTTGTAGGAACACTTTTCCAACCTTTTGGAGTTGGTTAGACCAAAAAAAAAGAAAAATGAAAAAAAAATATTTGGGGTGTTCAGGCTTCCTAAAAGTAATACCCAGGTATTAGGGTTATTGGGCTATGGTAAGGTTTAAGTTTTTTGGCGTTAGGGTTAAAATCACTGTCCAAAACCTTTGTAGGAACTCTTTTCCAACCTTTTGGAGTTAGTTAGACCAAAAAAAATGAAAAATTAAAAAACAATATTTGGGGTTTTCGGGCTTCCTGAATGTAATACCCGGGTATTAGATTTTGAGGCTAGGGTAAGGTTTAAGTTTTTTGGCATTAGGGTTAAAATCACTGTCCAAAACCTTTGTAGGAACTCTTTTCCAACCTTTTGGAGTTAGTTAGACCAAAAAAATGAAAAATGAAAAAAAAAATATTTGGGGTTTTCAGGCTTCCTGAAGGTAATACCCGGGTATTAGATTTCAAGGCTAGGGTAAGGTTTAAGGTTTTTGGCGTTAGGGTTAAAATCACTGTCCAAAACCTTTGTAGGAACTCTTTTCCAACCTTTTGGAGTTAGTTAGACCAAAAAATCTGAAAAAAGAAAAAAATATTATTGGGGGTTTTCGGGCTTCCTGAAAGTAATACCCGGGTATTAGGTTTTGGGCTAGGGTAAGGTTTAAGGTTTTTGGCGTTAGGGTTAAAATCACTGTCCAAAACCTTTGTAGGAACTCTTTTCCAACCTTTTGGAGTTAGTTAGACCAAAAAAAAAAGAAAAATGAAAAAACAATATTTGGGGTTTTCGGGGTTCCGGAATGTAATACCCGGGTATTAGATTTTAAGGCTAGGGTAAGGTTTAAGTTTTTTGGCATTAGGGTTAAAATCACTGTCCAAAACCTTTGTAGGAACTCTTTTCCAACCTTTTGGAGTTGGTTACACCAAAAAAAATGTAAAATGAAAAAAAAAAATATTTGGGGTTTTCGGGCTTCCTGAATGTAATACCCGGGTATTAGATTTTAAGGCTAGGGTAAGGTTTAAGTTTTTTGGCATTAGGGTTAAAATCACTGTCCAAAACCTTTGTAGGAACTCTTTTCCAACCTTTTGGAGTTGGTTAGACCAAAAAAAAAAAAGAAAAATGAAAAAAAAATATTTGGGGTGTTCAGGCTTCCTAAAAGTAATACCCAGGTATTAGGTTATTGGGCTATGGTAAGGTTTAAGTTTTTTGGCGTTAGGGTTAAAATCACTGTCCAAAACCTTTGTGGGAACTCTTTTCCAACCTTTTGGAGTTAGTTAGACCAAAAAAAATGAAAAATTAAAAAACAATATTTGGGGTTTTCGGGCTTCCTGAATGTAATACCCGGGTATTAGATTTTAGGCTAGGGTAAGGTTTAAGTTTTTTGGCGTTAGGGTTAAAATCACTGTCCAAAACCTTTGTAGGAACTCTTTTCCAACCTTTTGGAGTTAGTTAGACCAAAAAAATGTAAAAATGAAAAAAAAAATATTTGGGGTTTTCGGGCTTCCTGAAGGTAATACCCGGGTATTAGATTTTAAGGCTAGGGTAAGGTTTAAGTTTTTGGCGTTAGGGTTAAAATCACTGTCCAAAACCTTTGTAGGAACTCTTTTCCAACCTTTTGGAGTTAGTTAGACCAAAAAATCTGAAAAAAGAAAAAAATATTATTGGGGGTTTTCGGGCTCCCTGAAAGTAATACCCGGGTATTAGGTTTTGGGACTAGGGAAAGGTTTAAGGGTTTTGGCGTTAGGGTTAAAATCACTGTCCAAAACCTTTGTAGGAACTCTTTTCCAACCTTTTGGAGTTAGTTAGACCAAAAAAAAAAGAAAAATGAAAAAAAAATATTTGGGGTGTTCAGGCTTCCTGAAAGTAATACCCGGGTATTAGGTTTGGGGCTATGGTAAGGTTTAAGTTTTTGGCGTTAGGGTTAAAATCACTGTCCAAAACCTTTGTAGGAACTCTTTTCCAACCTTTTGGAGTTAGTTAGACCAAAAAAAATGAAAAAGAAAAAAAATATATTTGGGGTGTTCAGGCTTCCTAAAAGTAATACCCGGGTATTAGGTTATGGGGCTATGGTAAGGTTTAAGTTTTTTGGCGTTAGGGTTAAAATCACTGTCCAAAACCTTTGTAGGAACTCTTTTCCAACCTTTTGGAGTTAGTTAGACCAAAAAATATGAAAAAAGAAAAAAATATTATTGGGGGTTTTCGGGCTCCCTGAAAGTAATACCCGGGTATTAGGTTATGGGGCTATGGTAAGGTTTAACGTTTTGGCGTTAGGTTTAAAATCACTGTCCAAAACCTTTGTAGGAACTCTTTAACAACCTTTTGGAGTTAGTTCGACCAAAAAAAAATGAAAAATTAAAAAAAATATATTTGGGGTGTTCAGGCTTCCTAAAAGTAATACCCGGGTATTAGGTTATGGGGCTATGGTAAGGTTTAAGTTTTTTGGCGTTAGGGTTAAAATCACTGTCCAAAACCTTTGTAGGAACTCTTTTCCAACCTTTTGGAGTTAGTTAGACCAAAAAAATATGAAAAAAGAAAAAAATATTATTGGGGGTTTTCGGGCTCCTGAAAGTAATACCCGGGTATTAGGTTTTGGGGCTATGGTAAGGTTTAAGTTTTTTGGCGTTAGGGTTAAAATCACTGTCCAAAACCTTTGTAGGAACTCTTTTCCAACCTTTTGGAGTTAGTTAGACCAAAAAATATGAAAAAAGAAAAAAATATTATTGGGGGTTTTCGGGCTCCCTGAAAGTAATACCCGGGTATTAGGTTTTGGGGCTATGGTAAGGTTTAAGGTTTTTGGCGTTAGGGTTAAAATCACTGTCCAAAACCTTTGTAGGAACTCTTTTCCAACCTTTTGGAGTTAGTTAGACCAAAAAAAAATGAAAAATGAAAAAAAAATATTTGGGGTTTACGGGCTTCCTGAATGTAATACCCGGGTATTAGATTTTAAGGCTAGGGTAAGGTTTAAGTTTTTTGGCATTAGGGTTAAAATCACTGTCCAAAACCTTTGTAGGAACACTTTTCCAACCTTTTGGAGTTGGTTAGACCAAAAAGTATGAAAAAAGAAAAAAATATTATTGGGGGTTTTCGGGCTCCCTGAAAGTAATACCCGGGTATTAGGTTTTGGGGCTATGGTAAGGTTTAAGTTTTTTGGCGTTAGGGTTAAAATCACTGTCCAAAACCTTTGTAGGAACTCTTTTCCAACCTTTTGGAGTTAGTTAGACCAAAAAGTATGAAAAAAGAAAAAAATAATATTGGGGGTTTTCGGGCTCCCTGAAAGTAATACCCGGGTATTAGGTTTTGGGGCTATGGTAAGGTTTAAGTTTTTTGGCGTTAGGGTTAAAATCACTGTCCAAAACCTTTGTAGGAACTCTTTTCCAACCTTTTGGAGTTAGTTAGACCAAAAAATATGAAAAAAGAAAAAAATATTATTGGGGGTTTTCGGGCTCCCTGAAAGTAATACCCGTGTATTAGGTTTTGGGACTAGGGAAAGGTTTAAGTTTTTTGGCGTTAGGGTTAAAATCACTGTCCAAAACCTTTGTAGCAACTCTTTTCCAACCTTTTGGAGTTAGTTAGACCAAAAAATAATGAAAAATTAAAAAAAATATATTTGGGGTGTTCAGGCTTCCTAAAAGTAGTACCCGGGTATTAGGTTATGGGGCTATGGTAAGGTTTAAGGTTTTTGGCGTTAGGGTTAAAATCACTGTCCAAAACCTTTGTAGGAACTCTTTTTCCAACCTTTTGGAGTTAGTTAGACCAAAAAAAAATGAAAAATGAAAAAAAAAATATTTGGGGTTTACGGGCTTCCTGAATGTAATACCCGGGTATTAGATTTTAAGGCTAGGGAAAGGTTTAAGTTTTTTGGCGTTAGGGTTAAAATCACTGTCCAAAACCTTTGTAGGAACTCTTTTCCAACCTTTTGGAGTTAGTTAGACCAAAAAATATGAAAAAAGAAAAAAATATTATTGGGGGTTTTCGGGCTCCCTGAAAGTAATACCCGGGTATTAGGTTTTGGGGCTATGGTAAGGTTTAAGGTTTTTGGCGTTAGGGTTAAAATCACTGTCCAAAACCTTTGTAGGAACTCTTTTTCCAACCTTTTGGAGTTAGTTAGACCAAAAAAAAATGAAAAATGAAAAAAAAATATTTGGGGTTTACGGGCTTCCTGAATGTAATACCCGGGTATTAGATTTTAAGGCCAGGGTAAGGTTTAAGTTTTTTGGCATTAGGGTTAAAATCACTGTCCAAAACCTTTGTAGGAACTCTTTTCCAACCTTTTGGAGTTAGTTAGACCAAAAAATATGAAAAAAGAAAAAAATATTATTGGGGGTTTTCGGGCTCCTGAAAGTAATACCCGGGTATTAGGTTTTGGGGCTATGGTAAGGTTTAAGTTTTTTGGCGTTAGGGTTAAAATCACTGTCCAAAACCTTTGTAGGAACTCTTTTCCAACCTTTTGGAGTTAGTTAGACCAAAAATATGAAAAAAGAAAAAAATAATATTGGGGGTTTTCGGGCTCCCTGAAAGTAATACCCGGGTATTAGGTTTTGGGGCTATGGTAAGGTTTAAGTTTTTTGGCGTTAGGGTTAAAATCACTGTCCAAAACCTTTGTAGGAACTCTTTTCCAACCTTTTGGAGTTAGTTAGACCAAAAAAAAATGAAAAAAGAAAAAAATATTATTGGGGGTTTTCGGGCTCCCTGAAAGTAATACCCGTGTATTAGGTTTTGGGACTAGGGAAAGGTTTAAGGGTTTTGGCGTTAGGGTTAAAATCACTGTCCAAAACCTTTGTAGGAACTCTTTTCCAACCTTTTGGAGTTAGTTAGACCAAAAAATAATGAAAAATTAAAAAATATATATTTGGGGTGTTCAGGCTTCCTAAAAGTAGTACCCGGGTATTAGGTTATGGGGCTATGGTAAGGTTTAAGGTTTTTGGCGTTAGGTTTAAAATCACTGTCCAAAACCTTTGTAGGAACTCTTTTTCAACCTTTTAGAGTTAGTTAGACCAAAAAAAAATGAAAAATGAAAAAAAAATATTTGGGGTTTACGGGCTTCCTGAATGTAATACCCGGGTATTAGATTTTAAGGCCAGGGAAAGGTTTAAGTTTTTTGGCGTTAGGGTTAAAATCACTGTCCAAAACCTTTGTAGGAACTCTTTTCCAACCTTTTGGAGTTAGTTAGACCAAAAAAGTATGAAAAAAGAAAAAAATATTATTGGGGGTTTTCGGGCTCCTGAAAGTAATACCCGGGTATTAGGTTTTGGGGCTATGGTAAGGTTTAAGTTTTTTGGCGTTAGGGTTAAAATCACTGTCCAAAACCTTTGTAGGAACTCTTTTCCAACCTTTTGGAGTTAGTTAGACCAAAAAATATGAAAAAAGAAAAAAATATTATTGGGGGTTTTCGGGCTCCCTGAAAGTAATACCCGGGTATTAGGTTTTGGGGCTATGGTAAGGTTTAAGGTTTTTGGCGTTAGGGTTGAAATCACTGTCCAAAACCTTTGTAGGAACTCTTTTTCAACCTTTTGGAGTTAGTTAGACCAAAAAAAAATGAAAAATGAAAAAAAAAATATTTGGGGTTTACGGGCTTCCTGAATGTAATACCCGGGTATTAGATTTTAAGGCCAGGGTAAGGTTTAAGTTTTTTGGCATTAGGGTTAAAATCACTGTCCAAAACCTTTGTAGGAACACTTTTCCAACCTTTTGGAGTTGGTTAGACCAAAAAAAAAAGAAAAATGAAAAAAAAATATTTGGGGTGTTCAGGCCTCCTAAAAGTAATACCCAGGTATTAGGTTATGGGGCTATGGTAAGGTTTAAGTTTTTTGGCGTTAGGGTTAAAATCACTGTCCAAAACCTTTGTAGGAACTCTTTTCCAACCTTTTGGAGTTAGTTAGACCAAAAAATATGAAAAAAGAAAAAAATATTATTGGGGGTTTTCGGGCTCCCTGAAAGTAATACCCGGGTATTAGGTTTTGGGGCTATGGTAAGGTTTAAGTTTTTTGGCGTTAGGGTTAAAATCACTGTCCAAAACCTTTGTAGGAACTCTTTTCCAACCTTTTGGAGTTAGTTAGACCAAAAAAAAATGAAAAATGAAAAAACAATATTTGGGGTTTTCGGGGTTCCGGAATGTAATACCCGGGTATTAGATTTTAAGGCTAGGGTAAGGTTTAAGTTTTTTGGCATTAGGGTTAAAATCACTGTCCAAAACCTTTGTAGGAACTCTTTTCCAACCTTTTGGAGTTGGTTACACCAAAAAAAATGTAAAATGAAAAAAAAAAATATTTGGGGTTTTCGGGCTTCCTGAATGTAATACCCGGGTATTAGATTTTAAGGCCAGGGTAAGGTTTAAGTTTTTTGGCATTAGGGTTAAAATCACTGTCCAAAACCTTTGTAGGAACTCTTTTCCAACCTTTTGGAGTTAGTTAGACCAAAAAAAAAAGAAAAATGAAAAAAAAATATTTGGGGTGTTCAGGCTTCCTAAAAGTAATACCCAGGTATTAGGGTTATTGGGCTATGGTAAGGTTTAAGTTTTTTGGCGTTAGGGTTAAAATCACTGTCCAAAACCTTTGTGGGAACTCTTTTCCAACCTTTTGGAGTTAGTTAGACCAAAAAAAATGAAAAATTAAAAAACAATATTTGGGGTTTTCGGGGTTCCTGAATGTAATACCCGGGTATTAGATTTTGAGGCTAGGGTAAGGTTTAAGTTTTTTGGCATTAGGGTTAAAATCACTGTCCAAAACCTTTGTAGGAACTCTTTTCCAACCTTTTGGAGTTAGTTAGAACAAAAATGTAAAATGAAGAAAAAAATATTTGGGGTTTTCAGGCTTCCTGAAGGTAATACCCGGGTATTAGATTTCAAGGCTAGGGTAAGGTTTAAGGTTTTTGGCGTTAGGGTTAAAATCACTGTCCAAAACCTTTGTAGGAACTCTTTTCCAACCTTTTGGAGTTAGTTAGACCAAAAAATCTGAAAAAAGAAAAAAATATTTTGGGGGTTTTCGGGCTCCCTGAAAGTAATACCCGTGTATTAGTTTTTGGGCTAGGGAAAGGTTTAAGTTTTTGGCGTTAGGGTTAAAATCACTGTCCAAAACCTTTGTAGGAACTCTTTTCCAACCTTTTGGAGTTAGTTAGACCAAAAAAAAAAGAAAAATGAAAAAAAAATATTTGGGGTGTTCAGGCTTCCTAAAAGTAATACCCGGGTATTAGGTTATGGGGCTATGGTAAGGTTTAAGGTTTTTGGCGTTAGGGTTAAAATCACTGTCCAAAACCTTTGTAGGAACTCTTTTCCAACCTTTTGGAGTTAGTTAGACCAAAAAAAAATGAAAAATTAAAAAAAATATATTTGGGGTGTTCAGGCTTCCTAAAAGTAATACCCGGGTATTAGGTTATGGGGCTATGGTAAGGTTTAAGTTTTTTGGCGTTAGGGTTAAAATCACTGTCCAAAACCTTTGTAGGAACTCTTTTCCAACCTTTTGGAGTTGGTTACACCAAAAAAAATGTAAAATGAAGAAAAAAATATTTGGGGTGTTCAGGCTTCCTAAAAGTAATACCCGGGTATTAGGTTATGGGGCTATGGTAAGGTTTAACGTTTTGGCGTTAGGTTTAAAATCACTGTCCAAAACCTTTGTAGGAACTCTTTTCCAACCTTTTGGAGTTGGTTACACCAACAAAAATGTAAAATGAAGAAAAAATATTTGGGGTGTTCAGGCTTCCTAAAAGTAATACCTGGGTATTAGGTTATGGGGCTATGGTAAGGTTTAAGGTTTTTGGCGTTAGGGTTAAAATCACTGTCCAAAACCTTTGTAGGAACTCTTTTCCAACCTTTTGGAGTTAGTTAGACCAAAAAAAAAATGAAAAATGAAAAAAAAATATTTGGGGTTCACGGGCTTCTTGAATGTAATACCCGGGTATTAGATTTTAAGGCCAGGGAAAGGTTTAAGTTTTTTGGCGTTAGGGTTAAAATCACTGTCCAAAACCTTTGTAGGAACTCTTTTCCAACCTTTTGGAGTTAGTTAGACCAAAAAGTATGAAAAAAGAAAAAAATATTATTGGGGGTTTTCGGGCTCCCTGAAAGTAATACCCGGGTATTAGGTTTTGGGGCTATGGTAAGGTTTAAGTTTTTTGGCGTTAGGGTTAAAATCACTGTCCAAAACCTTTGTAGGAACTCTTTTTCAACCTTTTGGAGTTAGTTAGATTTAAAAATATGAAAAAAGAAAAAAATATTATTGGGGGTTTTCGGGCTCCCTGAAAGTAATACCCGGGTATTAGGTTTTGGGGCTATGGTAAGGTTTAAGTTTTTTGGCGTTAGGGTTAAAATCACTGTCCAAAACCTTTGTAGGAACTCTTTTCCAACCTTTTGGAGTTAGTTAGACCAAAAAATATGAAAAAAGAAAAAAAATATTATTGGGGGTTTTCGGGCTCCCTGAAAGTAATACCCGGGTATTAGGTTTTGGGGCTATGGTAAGGTTTAAGTTTTTTGGCGTTAGGGTTAAAATCACTGTCCAAAACCTTTGTAGGAACTCTTTTCCAACCTTTTGGAGTTAGTTAGACCAAAAAAAAAAAAGAAAAATGAAAAAAAAATATTTGGGGTTTTCGGGGTTCCGGAATGTAATACCCGGGTATTAGATTTTAAGGCTAGGGTAAGGTTTAAGTTTTTTGGCGTTAGGGTTAAAATCACTGTCCAAAACCTTTGTAGGAACTCTTTTCCAACCTTTTGGAGTTAGTTAGACCAACAAAAATGTAAAATGAAGAAAAAAATATTTGGGGTTTTCGGGGTTCCTGAATGTAATACCCGGGTATTAGATTTTAAGGCTAGGGTAAGGTTTAAGTTTTTTGGCGTTAGGGTTAAAATCACTGTCCAAAACCTTTGTAGGAACTCTTTTCCAACCTTTTGGAGTTAGTTAGACCAAAAAAAATGTAAAATGAAAAAAAAAAATATTTGGGGTTTTCGGGCTTCCTGAATGTAATACCCGGGTATTAGATTTTAAGGCTAGGGTAAGGTTTAAGGTTTTTGGCATTAGGGTTAAAATCACTGTCCAAAACCTTTGTAGGAACACTTTTCCAACCTTTTGGAGTTGGTTAGACCAAAAAAAAAAAGAAAAATGAAAAAAAAATATTTGGGGTGTTCAGGCTTCCTAAAAGTAATACCCAGGTATTAGGTTATGGGGCTATGGTAAGGTTTAAGTTTTTTGGCATTAGGGTTAAAATCACTGTCCAAAACCTTTGTAGGAACTCTTTTCCAACCTTTTGGAGTTAGTTAGACCAAAAAAAATGAAAAATTAAAAAAAAATATTTGGGGTTTTCGGGGTTCCTGAATGTAATACCCGGGTATTAGATTTTGAGGCTAGGGTAAGGTTTAAGTTTTTTGGCATTAGGGTTAAAATCACTGTCCAAAACCTTTGTAGGAACTCTTTTCCAACCTTTTGGAGTTAGTTACACCAACAAAAATGTAAAATGAAGAAAAAAATATTTGGGGTTTTCAGGCTTCCTGAAGGTAATACCCGGGTATTAGATTTCAAGGCTAGGGTAAGGTTTAAGGTTTTTGGCGTTAGGGTTAAAATCACTGTCCAAAACCTTTGTAGGAACTCTTTTCCAACCTTTTGGAGTTAGTTAGACCAAAAAATCTGAAAAAAGAAAAAAATATTATTGGGGGTTTTCGGGCTCCCTGAAAGTAATACCCGTGTATTAGGTTTTGGGACTAGGGAAAGGTTTAAGGGTTTTGGCGTTAGGGTTAAAATCACTGTCCAAAACCTTTGTAGGAACTCTTTTCCAACCTTTTGGAGTTAGTTAGACCAAAAAAAAAGGAAAAATGAAAAAAAAATATTTGGGGTGTTCAGGCTTCCTAAAAGTAATACCCGGGTATTAGGTTATGGGGCTATGGTAAGGTTTAAGTTTTTGGCGTTAGGGTTAAAATCACTGTCCAAAACCTTTGTAGGAACTCTTTTCCAACCTTTTGGAGTTAGTTAGACCAAAAAAAAATGAAAAATTAAAAAAATATATTTGGGGTGTTCAGGCTTCCTAAAAGTAATACCCGGGTATTAGGTTATGGGGCTATGGTAAGGTTTAAGTTTTTTGGCGTTAGGGTTAAAATCACTGTCCAAAACCTTTGTAGGAACTCTTTTCCAACCTTTTGGAGTTGGTTACACCAACAAAAATGTAAAATGAAGAAAAAAATATTTGGGGTGTTCAGGCTTCCTGAAGGTAATACCCGGGTATTAGGTTTTGGGGCTATGGTAAGGTTTAAGTTTTTTGGCGTTAGGGTTAAAATCACTGTCCAAAACCTTTGTAGGAACTCTTTTCCAACCTTTTGGAGTTAGTTAGACCAAAAAAAAAAGAAAAATGAAAAAAAAATATTTGGGGTGTTCAGGCTTCCTAAAAGTAATACCCGGGTATTAGGTTATGGGGCTATGGTAAGGTTTAACGTTTTGGCGTTAGGTTTGAAATCACTGTCCAAAACCTTTGTAGGAACTCTTGAACAACCTTTTGGATTTAGTAAGACCAAAAAAAAATGAAAAATTAAAAAAAATATATTTGGGGTGTTCAGGCTTCCTAAAAGTAATACCCGGGTATTAGGTTATGGGGCTATGGTAAGGTTTAAGGTTTTTGGCGTTAGGGTTAAAATCACTGTCCAAAACCTTTGTAGGAACTCTTTTTCAACCTTTTGGAGTTAGTTAGACCAAAAAAAAATGAAAAATGAAAAAAATATTTGGGGTTCACGGGCTTCCTGAATGTAATACCCGGGTATTAGATTTTAAGGCCAGGGAAAGGTTTAAGTTTTTTGGCGTTAGGGTTAAAATCACTGTCCAAAACCTTTGTAGGAACTCTTTTCCAACCTTTTGGAGTTAGTTAGACCAAAAAGTATGAAAAAAGAAAAAAATATTAATGGGGGTTTTCGGGCTCCCTGAAAGTAATACCCGGGTATTAGGTTTTGGGGCTATGGTAAGGTTTAAACGTTTTGGCGTTAGGGTTAAAATCACTGTCCAAAACCTTTGTAGGAACTCTTTTCCAACCTTTTGGAGTTAGTTAGACCAAAAAAAATGAAAAAAGAAAAAAATATTATTGGGGGTTTTCGGGCTCCCTGAAAGTAATACCCGGGTATTAGGTTTTGGGGCTATGGTAAGGTTTAAGTTTTTTGGCATTAGGGTTAAAATCACTGTCCAAAACCTTTGTAGGAACTCTTTTCCAACCTTTTGGAGTTAGTTAGACCAAAAAAAAAAAGAAAAATGAAAAAAAAATATTTGGGGTTTTCGGGGTTCCTGAATGTAATACCCGGGTATTAGATTTTAAGGCTAGGGTAAGGTTTAAGTTTTTTGGCATTAGGGTTAAAATCACTGTCCAAAACCTTTGTAGGAACTCTTTTCCAACCTTTTGGAGTTGGTTACACCAACAAAAATGTAAAATGAAGAAAAAAATATTTGGGGTGTTCAGGCTTCCTGAAGGTAATACCCGGGTATTAGATTTTAAGGCTAGGGTAAGGTTTAAGGTTTTTGGCGTTAGGGTTAAAATCACTGTCCAAAACCTTTGTAGGAACTCTTTTTCAACCTTTTGGAGTTAGTTAGACCAAAAAAAAAATGAAAAATGAAAAAAAAAATATTTGGGGTTCACGGGCTTCTTGAATGTAATACCCGGGTATTAGATTTTAAGGCTAGGGAAAGGTTTAAGTTTTTTGGCGTTAGGGTTAAAATCACTGTCCAAAACCTTTGTAGGAACTCTTTTCCAACCTTTTGGAGTTAGTTAGACCAAAAAGTATGAAAAAAGAAAAAAATATTAATGGGGGTTTTCGGGCTCCCTGAAAGTAATACCCGGGTATTAGGTTTTGGGGCTATGGTAAGGTTTAAGTTTTTTGGCGTTAGGGTTAAAATCACTGTCCAAAACCTTTGTAGGAACTCTTTTCCAACCTTTTGGAGTTAGTTAGACCAAAAAATATGAAAAAAAAAAAAAATATTATTGGGGGTTTTCGGGCTCCTGAAAGTAATACCCGGGTATTAGGTTTTGGGGCTATGGTAAGGTTTAAGTTTTTTGGCGTTAGGGTTAAAATCACTGTCCAAAACCTTTGTAGGAACTCTTTTCCAACCTTTTGGAGTTAGTTAGACCAAAAAATATGAAAAAAGAAAAAAATATTATTGGGGGTTTTCGGGCTCCCTGAAAGTAATACCCGGGTATTAGGTTTTGGGGCTATGGTAAGGTTTAAGTTTTTTGGCGTTAGGGTTAAAATCACTGTCCAAAACCTTTGTAGGAACTCTTTTCCAACCTTTTGGAGTTAGTTAGACCAAAAAAAAAAAGAAAAATGAAAAAAAAATATTTGGGGTTTTCGGGGTTCCGGAATGTAATACCCGGGTATTAGATTTTAAGGCTAGGGTAAGGTTTAAGTTTTTTGGCATTAGGGTTAAAATCACTGTCCAAAACCTTTGTAGGAACTCTTTTCCAACCTTTTGGAGTTGGTTACACCAACAAAAATGTAAAATGAAGAAAAAAATATTTGGGGTTTTCGGGGTTCCGGAATGTAATACCCGGGTATTAGATTTTAAGGCTAGGGTAAGGTTTAAGTTTTTTGGCATTAGGGTTAAAATCACTGTCCAAAACCTTTGTAGGAACTCTTTTCCAACCTTTTGGAGTTGGTTACACCAAAAAAAATGTAAAATGAAAAAAAAAAATATTTGGGGTTTTCGGGCTTCCTGAATGTAATACCCGGGTATTAGATTTTAAGGCTAGGGTAAGGTTTAAGGTTTTTGGCGTTAGGGTTAAAATCACTGTCCAAAACCTTTGTAGGAACACTTTTCCAACCTTTTGGAGTTGGTTAGACCAAAAAAAAAAGAAAAATGAAAAAAAAATATTTGGGGTGTTCAGGCCTCCTAAAAGTAATACCCAGGTATTAGGTTTTGGGGCTATGGTAAGGTTTAAGTTTTTTGGCGTTAGGGTTAAAATCACTGTCCAAAACCTTTGTAGGAACTCTTTTCCAACCTTTTGGAGTTAGTTAGACCAAAAAAAATGAAAAATTAAAAAACAATATTTGGGGTTTTCGGGGTTCCTGAATGTAATACCCGGGTATTAGATTTTGAGGCTAGGGTAAGGTTTAAGTTTTTTGGCATTAGGGTTAAAATCACTGTCCAAAACCTTTGTAGGAACTCTTTTCCAACCTTTTGGAGTTAGTTACACCAACAAAAATGTAAAATGAAGAAAAAAATATTTGGGGTTTTCAGGCTTCCTGAAGGTAATACCCGGGTATTAGATTTCAAGGCTAGGGTAAGGTTTAAGGTTTTTGGCGTTAGGGTTAAAATCACTGTCCAAAACCTTTGTAGGAACTCTTTTCCAACCTTTTGGAGTTAGTTAGACCAAAAAATCTGAAAAAAGAAAAAAATATTATTGGGGGTTTTCGGGCTCCCTGAAAGTAATACCCGTGTATTAGGTTTTGGGACTAGGGAAAGGTTTAAGGTTTTTGGCGTTAGGGTTAAAATCACTGTCCAAAACCTTTGTAGGAACTCTTTTCCAACCTTTTGGAGTTAGTTAGACCAAAAAAAAAAGAAAAATGAAAAAAAAATATTTGGGGTGTTCAGGCTTCCTAAAAGTAATACCCGGGTATTAGGTTATGGGGCTATGGTAAGGTTTAACGTTTTGGCGTTAGGTTTAAAATCACTGTCCAAAACCTTTGTAGGAACTCTTTAACAACCTTTTGGAGTTAGTTCGACCAAAAAAAAATGAAAAATTAAAAAAAATATATTTGGGGTGTTCAGGCTTCCTAAAAGTAATACCCGGGTATTAGGTTATGGGGCTATGGTAAGGTTTAAGTTTTTTGGCGTTAGGGTTAAAATCACTGTCCAAAACCTTTGTAGGAACTCTTTTCCAACCTTTTGGAGTTGGTTACACCAACAAAAATGTAAAATGAAGAAAAAAATATTTGGGGTGTTCAGGCTTCAGGAAGGTAATACCCGGGTATTAGGTTTTGGGGCTATGGTAAGGTTTAAGTTTTTTGGCGTTAGGGTTAAAATCACTGTCCAAAACCTTTGTAGGAACTCTTTTCCAACCTTTTGGAGTTAGTTAGACCAAAAAAAAAAAGAAAAATGAAAAAAAAATATTTGGGGTGTTCAGGCTTCCTAAAAGTAATACCCGGGTATCAGGTTATGGGGCTATGGTAAGGTTTAACGTTTTGGCGTTAGGTTTGAAATCACTGTCCAAAACCTTTGTAGGAACTCTTTTCCAACCTTTTGGATTTAGTAAGACCAAAAAAAAATGAAAAATTAAAAAATATATATTTGGGGTGTTCAGGCTTCCTAAAAGTAATACCCGGGTATCAGGTTATGGGGCTATGGTAAGGTTTAAGGTTTTTGGCGTTAGGGTTAAAATCACTGTCCAAAACCTTTGTAGGAACTCTTTTTCAACCTTTTGGAGTTAGTTAGACCAAAAAAAAAATGAAAAATGAAAAAAAAAATATTTGGGGTTCACGGGCTTCTTGAATGTAATACCCGGGTATTAGATTTTAAGGCCAGGGAAAGGTTTAAGTTTTTTGGCGTTAGGGTTAAAATCACTGTCCAAAACCTTTGTAGGAACTCTTTTCGAACCTTTTGGAGTTAGTTAGACCAAAAAGTATGAAAAAAGAAAAAAATATTAATGGGGGTTTTCGGGCTCCCTGAAAGTAATACCCGGGTATTAGGTTTTGGGGCTATGGTAAGGTTTAAGTTTTTTGGCGTTAGGGTTAAAATCACTGTCCAAAACCTTTGTAGGAACTCTTTTCCAACCTTTTGGAGTTAGTTAGATTTAAAAATATGAAAAAAGAAAAAAATATTATTGGGGGTTTTCGGGCTCCCTGAAAGTAATACCCGGGTATTAGGTTTTGGGGCTATGGTAAGGTTTAAGTTTTTTGGCATTAGGGTTAAAATCACTGTCCAAAACCTTTGTAGGAACTCTTTTCCAACCTTTTGGAGTTAGTTAGACCAAAAAAAAAAAGAAAAATGAAAAAAAAATATTTGGGGTTTTCGGGGTTCCGGAATGTAATACCCGGGTATTAGATTTTAAGGCTAGGGTAAGGTTTAAGTTTTTTGGCATTAGGGTTAAAATCACTGTCCAAAACCTTTGTAGGAACTCTTTTCCAACCTTTTGGAGTTGGTTACACCAAAAAAAATGTAAAATGAAGAAAAAAATATTTGGGGTGTTCAGGCTTCCTGAAGGTAATACCCGGGTATTAGATTTTAAGGCTAGGGTAAGGTTTAAGGTTTTTGGCGTTAGGGTTAAAATCACTGTCCAAAACCTTTGTAGGAACTCTTTTCCAACCTTTTGGAGTTAGTTAGACCAAAAAATATGAAAAAAAAAAATATATTATTGGGGGTTTTCGGGCTCCCTGAAGGTAATACCCAGGTATTAGGTTTTGGGACTGGGGAAAGGTTTAAGGTTTTTGGCGTCAGGGTTAAAATCACTGTCCAAAACCTTTGTAGGAACTCTTTTCCAACCTTTTGGAGTTAGTTTGACCAAAAAAAAAAGAAAAATGAAAAAAAAATATTTGGGGAGTTCAGGCTTCCTAAAAGTAATACCCAGGTATTAGGTTTTGTGGCTAGGGTAAGGTTTAAGTTTTTTGGCATAAGGGTTAAAATCCCTGTCCAAAACCTTTGTAGGAACACTTTTCCAACCTTTTGGAATTAGATAAACCAAAAAAAAATGAAAAATGAAAAAATATATATTTGGGGTTTTCGGGCTTCCTGAATGTAATACCCGGGTATTAGATTTTAAGGCTAGGGTAAGGTTTAAGTTTTTTGGCGTTAGGGTTAAAATCACTGTCCAAAACCTTTGTAGGAACTCTTTTCCAACCTTTTGGAGTTGGTTACACCAACAAAAATGTAAAATGAACAAAAAAATATTTGGGGTGTTCGGGCTTCCTGAAGGTAATACCCCGGTATTAGATTTTAAGGCTAGGGTAAGGTTTAAGGTTTTTGGCGTTAGGGTTAAAATCACTGTCCAAAACCTTTGTAGGAACTCTTTTCCAACCTTTTGGAGCTGGTTACACCAAAAAAAATGAAAAAAGAAAAAAAAATTATTGGGGGTTTTCGGGCTCCCTGAAAGTAATACCCGGGTATTAGGTTTTGGGACTAGGGAAAGGTTTAAGGTTTTTGGCGTTAGGGTTAAAATCACTGTCCAAAACCTTTGTAGGAACTCTTTTCCAACCTTTTGGAGTTGGTTACAACAACAAAAAAGTAAAATGAAAAAAAAATATTTGGGGTGTTCGGGCTTCCTGAAGGTAATACCCGGGTATTAGATTTTAAGGCTAGGGTAAGGTTTAAGTTTTTTGGCGTTAGGGTTAAAATCACTGTCCAAAACCTTTGTAGGAACTCTTTTCCAACCTTTTGGAGTTGGTTACACCAACAAAAATGTAAAATGAAAAAAATATATATTTGGGGTGTTCAGGCTTCCTAAAAGTAATACCCGGGTATTAGGTTATGGGGCCATGGTAAGGTTTAAGGTTTTTGGCGTTAGGGTTAAAATCACTGTCCAAAACCTTTGTAGGAACTCTTTTCCAACCTTTTGGAGTTGGTTACACCAACAAAAATGTAAAATGAAAAAAATATATATTTGGGGTGTTCAGGCTTCCTAAAAGTAATACCCGGGTATTAGGTTATGGGGCTATGGTAAGGTTTAAGTTTTGGCGTTAGGTTTAAAATCACTGTCAAAAACCTTTGTAGGAACTCTTTTCCAACCTTTTGGAGTAAGTTAGACCAAAAAAAGAATGAAAAATGAAAACAAAAATATTTGGGGTTTCCGGGCTTCCTGAATGCAATACCCGGGTATTAGATTTTAAAGCCAGGGTAAGGTTTAAGTTTTTTGGCGTTAGGGTTAAAATCACTGTCCAAAACCTTTGTAGGAACTCTTTTTCAACCTTTTGGAGTTAGTTAGACCACAAAAAAAAGAAAAATGAAAAAAATATATTTTGGGTGTTCAGGCTTCCTCAAAGTAATACCCGGGTATTAGGTTATGGGGCTATGGTAAGTATTAGGGTTTTTGGCATTAGGGTTAAAATCACTGTCCAAAACCTTTGTAAGAACTCTTTTCCAACCTTTTGGAGTTAGTTAGACCAAAAAAAAATTAAAACTGAAAAAAAAAATATTTGGGGTTTTCGGGCTTCCTGAATGTAATACCCGGGTATTAGATTTTAAGGCTAGGGTAAGGTTTAAGTTTTTTGGCGTTAGGGTTAGAATCACTGTCCAAAACCTTTGTAGGAACTCTTTTCCAACCTTTTGGAGTTAGTTTGACCAAAAAAAAAAGAAAAATGAAAAAAAAATATTTGGGGTGTTCAGGCTTCCTAAAAGTAATACCCGGGTATTAGGTTATGGGGCTATGGTAAGGTTAAAGGTTTTTGGCGTTAGGGTTAAAATCACTGTCAAAAACCTTTGTAGGAACTCTTTTCCAACCTTTTGGAGTTGGTTACACCAACAAAAATGTAAAATGAAAAAAAAATATTTGGGGTGTTCGAGCTTCCTGAAGGTAATACCCGGGTATTAGGTTATGGGGCTATGGTAAGGTTTTATTGTTTGGCGTTAGGTTTAAAGTCAAAAAAACAAACAAACAAACAAAAAAAAAATCTCAAACCAAAAGTTCAAACAAGACACAAACTCAAGATCAAAAAACACCACAAACTCAAGTTCAACCAACACCCAAATCTCAAGTTTAACAATTGCCACAACCTCTAGTTCAAAAACAACACAAACTCAAGTTCAAACACGACACAAACTCAGGTGCAAAAACACCACAAACTCAAGTTCAACAATTGCCACCAACTAAAGTTCAGAGAAAAATACAGACTCAAGTTCAACAATTGCCACAAACTCAAGTTCAACAAACACCACAATCTTAAGTTCAACAAATTCCAAAATTTCAAGTTCAACAAATGACCTAAACTCACATTTAACAATTGCCAAAAACTTAAAAGTTAAAAAAGTGCCACAAACTGAAGTTCAAAAACACCACAAACTGAAGTGTGTGAGGACATGCAAACCACCAGACTGCACCTGTCTCAGCAATGGGCTGAAGTGCACAAACCTGTGCAAATTACAAACTTGTGCCAACCAGTACAGTGAGGAAGAGCCCCTTGCACACCGGCAGATTCAGATGTAGAAGAAGATACAGATACTGATGTCGATTACTGATGTTGATTAATAAGTGATGACCAAAGGGAGCTATGTTAGCAGACCCACTGTGACTCAGTGACAGAATTATGTGCTAAGCCAAAACTTGACAGTCATATTTGCCGTCACTGTTCCTTATGGAAAGAATAGGACTTTGAATAGGAATTGGAGTTTTTCTCAGATGATTGTATAGAGTGTATACATCAGTAGATCTTATTTTGTTGCTAATGTCTTCTTGCCCTGCACCAGCCAGGATGATTGTATATTGAGTGCCTACATTTAAAATATGTCAGTGTCATATTAAAGTTGTGTTATTATAATGCTATTAGTCTGCATTTATTTTATTTCTACTTCTAAGTCAAAAAATATCCTTAATTTAGACCTTGATTTAGACCTGACAATTAGCTAATTGAAGCTTATATATACACACCTGTATTAGATAAATTACTTGAAATACTACTTAGGGGGTTAATACAAGTCTCTATGGCTAGCCAATAGTTCAAACACACCTAAATGAGAGGTTAAAATGAAAGAAAGCTCATTTTGAAGGAAGGCGATTTTTCGTTTTTGAACAGCTGCACTCTATTACTTCAATGAGTAATAACTACAATAAAGCTACCAGTTACCAAGGTCTATCAAATAAAAACTTATTGTAGGGATGTATAAAAAAATCACAACTAGAATTTGCCCACCTAGGTGGTACCGATATGTGAAATTTTGGTTCTTGGCTCAAGGACTAAAACTCAAGTTCAACAAACACAACAAGTCAAGTTCAAGCAACACCCGATCCTCAAGTTCAACAATTTCCACAAACTTAAGTTAAAAAACACCAGAACCTCTAGTTCAAAAAACATGATAAACTCAAGTTCAAATATGCCACAAACTCAAGTTCAATGAACACCACAAACTCAAGTTCAACCACCACCCGATTCTCAAGTTTAACAATTGCCACAACCTCAAGGTTAAAAAAAACACAAACTCAAGTTCAAACACTTCACAAACTCAAGTTCAAAAACACCACACAAACTCAAGTTCAACAAACACCACAAACTCAAGTTAAACAAACACAACAAGTCAAGTTCAAGCAACACCCGATCCTCAAGTTCAACAATTTCCACAAACTTAAGTTAGAAAACACCAGAACCTCAAGTTCAAAAAACATAATAAACTCAAGTTCAAATATGCCACAAACTCAAGTTCAATGAACACCACAAACTCAAGTTCAACGAACGCCACAAACAAAAGTTCAACAATTGCCACCAACTAAAGTTCACTAAAAACCATAGACTCAAGTTCAACAATTGCCAAAAAATCAAGCCAAACAAACTCAAGTTCATAAGTTGCCACAAACTTCAAACACGACACAAACTCAAGTTCAAAAACACCACAAACTCAAGTTCAAAAACGACACAAACTCAAGTTCAACAAACAAAACTAACTATTTAGAGTAATTTTGAGGTGTTTGAGAGGTTTTTTGTAGACTTACCCTAGTGGTCCTAAGTTGTTGTTGATGTGAGGGGTTTCTTTTCCAGTAGTCTAAAATCTGTTGGAGGGGGGAAAAGTCCGGGGTCCTCGGCGGGGGAAAGAAGATCAGCGCTCCGCGGGAAGGTTTGCTGGGACTCGGTGCTGTCGGCGGGTCGAAGCTCGGTGGTGGGCGGCTTGGAGTGATGGAGGTGCGGCGTCTTCTTTCAGTTGGCGGCGCGGCGTCTTCCTCGATGGTGGTCCGTCTTCTTGGTCCAGAGGTCAGTGCTTTGTCTCAATAACTGGAACAGGAATTGCTCTTTAGTGCACGGCACTTGAATGTGCTTTTCACACGAGAAGACAACCCCAGAGTTGGGCTCGAGTCATGGTTTGTGCTGTTCCTCTCAGACATGGTTGTGTTCTCTTCACGATGTTTGTATTCCAGAATGGATGTCTCTTGGTTGTATTTTAAACCTTCAAGTTGTTTTAAGTTAATTTTAATGTAGTTTATTGTTTTAAATTGAGTTTTGCTACATTCAATTTGTATGCAATCGCAAGGGATTGTGGGTATTTTAGTTCTGAGGGATGAGAGCCTAAGGAATCAATCTTCCTGTTACAGCAAAGGATTGTGGGTAAAACCGTGAGGGAGTGAGGTACTTCCTTTCTGGCATGAGAGCCTTGGGAATCAATCTCCCTGTTGCAGCAAAGGATTGTGGGTAAAACCGTGAGTGAGGGAGGTACATTTTTCCTGGCATGAGAACCTCAGGAGTCAGTCCTTCCTAAGAAAAAAGAGGGGAGGGGGAAGAAAAACAAAAGCACAGGAACCCTAAAATAAAATAAAATAATATAAAACAATGAAAAAATAAAAGAAGAACAAAAGTGGATTGAAAAGGGAAAGGGGAAGAAAAAAGGAAAAAAAGAAATGTCAAGAGCAAATAGCAAAAATCAGAAGTGAGCTTAAAAACAGAGAACAGTTCCCTAAAAGAAAGACAGAAATGTAAATCTGATCAATGTCCTAAGGGAAAATCTGTACGTGTGTGTGTGTGTTCTTTTTTGCTAACTTAGTCTGGTGTCACTGATGGTCAGTTATTGATAAGTATTTATTATTTAAATTTTTGATGAAGTTGTTTGTAGTGGGGTTAGCTGGCTAATTTTAGAGTGTTAAAAAAGATGTTAGAGGGGGAGGATTTAGGGGGCACGGCGGTTCCCCTTCAGGTCTCTCTTAATCCTCCATATAGGTGACCCAACAGGGGTTACCCCCCGGCCGGGGTAGGCCGAGGCTGAAGATCACCTATTTGTCCTCTGTGAAGGTGAAAATAAAGGGGCAGGGGAGGGAATAAGAAAGGGGGGGTGTTAGAGAGAGGGGGAGAGATGAGGGAGAGAGATGAGGGAGAGAGAGAGAGAGAGAGAGAGAGAGAGAGAGAGAGAGAGAGAGAGAGAGAGAGGTGTGTGTGTGTGTGTGTGTGTGTGTGAGAGAGAGAGAGAGAGAGAGAGAGAGAGAAGGGAAGAGGGAGAGGGGGGTTTAAGGGAGAGGTGGAGATGGTGGAAAATAAAGATTGGTGAGGGGGATGTTGACATATCACATGTTCCCAGTCAAGTCTCCAAGCTCAATCTGTGTGTAAAAATTATGTGTTGGTAGGAAGTTTAATGACTCCACTCAATTGGTATGCCATGCTGTCTATCTTTTAGACTATGGGGTGTTCAGGCTTCCTAAAAGTAATACCCAGGTATTAGGTTATGGGGCTATGGTAAGGTTTAAGGTTTTTGGCGTTAGGGTTAAAATCACTGTCCAAAACCTTTTTAGGAACATGTTTCAGAACTTTTGGAGTTAGATAGACCAAAAAAAAAAGAAAAAAAAAAAAAAAGTATTTTGGGTGTTAAGGCCTCCTGAAGGTTATACAGGTATAATATTAGGTTATGGGGCTTGGGTAAGGTTTAAAGTTTTTGGCGTTAGGGTTAAAATCACTGTCCAAAACCTTTGTAGGAACTCTTTTCCAACCTTTTGGAGTTAGCTAGACCAAAAAAAAAAAAAAAAGAAAAATGAAAAAAAAAAAGTTTGGGGTGTGAAGGCTTCCTTAAGTTAATACCCATGTGTTAGGTTCGGGAATAGGGTAAGGTTGAAGGTTTTTGGCGTTAGGGTTAAAATCACTGTCCAAAACCTTTTTAGGAACATGTTTCAGACCTTTTGGAGATGGTTACACCAAAAAAAATGTAAAATGAAAAAAAAAATTTGGGGGGTTTTCGGGCTTCCTGAAGGTAATACCCAGGTATTAGGTTATGGGGCTATGGTAAGGTTTAAGGTTTTTGGCGTTAGGGTTAAAATCACTGTCCAAAACCTTTTTAGGAACATGTTTCAGACCTTTTGGAGTTAGTTAGACCAAAAAAAAAAAAGAAAAAAAAAAAAGTATTTTGGGTGTTCAGGACTCCTGAAGGTTATACAGGTATTATATTAGGTTATGGGGCTTGGGTAAGGTTTAAGGTTTTTGGCGTTAGGGTTAAAATCACTGTCCAAAACCTTTGTAGGAACTCTTTTCCAACCTTTTGGAGTTAGTTAGACCAAAAAAATAAAGAAAAATGAAAAAAATATATTTGGGGTTTTCGGGCTTCCTGAAGGTAATACCCGGGTATTAGGTTTTGTGGCTAGGGAAAGGTTTAAGGTTTTTGGCATTAGGGTTAAAATCACTGTCCAAAACCTTTGTAGGAACTCTTTTCCAACCTTTTGGAGTTAGTTAGACCAAAAAAAAATGAAAAATGAAAAAAAACATATTTGGGGTGTTCAGGCTTCCTAAAAGTAATACCCCGGTATTAGGTTATAGGGCTATGGTAAGGTTTAAGGTTTTTGGCGTTAGTGTTAAAATCACTGTCCAAAACCTTTGTAGGAACTCTTTTCCAACCTTTTGGAGTTAGCTAGACCAAAAAATTATATGAAAAAGGAAAAAAATATATTTGGGGTTTTCGGGCTTCCTGAAGGTAATACCCGGGTATTAGGTTTTGGGGCTAGGGTAAGGTTTAAGGTTTTTGGCGTTAGGGTTAAAATCACTGTCCAAAACCTTAGTAGGAACTCTTTTCCAACCTTTTGGAGTTAGTTACACCAACAAAAATGTAAAATGAAAAAAAAATATTTGGGGTTTTCGGGCTTCCTGAATGTAATACCCGGGTATTAGATTTTAAGGCCAGGGAAAGGTTTAAGTTTTTTGGCGTTAGGGTTAAAATCACTGTCCAAAACCTTTGTAGGAACTCTTTTCCAACCTTTTGGAGTTAGTTAGACCAAAAAAAAAAACGAAATATGAAAAAAAAATATTTGGGGTGTTCAGGCTTCCTAAAAGTAATACCCGGGTATTAGGTTATGGGGCTATGGTAAGGTTTAAGGTTTATGGCGTTAGGGTTAAAATCACTGTCCAAAACCTTTATAGGAACTATTTTCCAACCTTTTGGAGTTAGTTAGACCAAAAAAAATGAAAAATGAAAAAAAAAATATTGGTGTTTTCGGGCTTCCTGAAGGTAATACCCGGGTATTAGGTTATGGGGCTATGGTAAGGTTTAAGCTTAATGGCATTAGGTTTAAAATCACTGTCCAAAACCTTTGTAGGAACTCTTTTCCAACCTTTTGGAGTTAGTTAGACCAAAAAAAAAAAATGAAAAATGAAAAAAAATATATTTGGGGTGTTCAGGCTTCCTAAAAGTAATACCCGGGTATTAGGTTATGGGGCTATGGTAAGGTTTAAAGTTTTTGGCATTAGGTTTAAAATCACTGTCCAAAACCTTTTTAGGAACTCTTTCCCAACCTTTTGGAGTTAGTTAGACCACAAAAAAATGAAAAATGAAAAAAAAATGTTTGGGGTTTTCGGGCTTCCTGAATGTAATACCCGGGTATTAGATTTTAAGGCTAGGGTTAGGTTTAAGTTTTTTGGCATTAGGGTTAAAATCACTGTCCAAAACCTTTGTAGGAACTCTTTTCCAACCTTTTGGAGTTGGTTACACCAAAAAAAAAATGAAAAATGAAAAAAAAATATTTGGGGTGTTCAGGCTTCCTAAAAGTAATACCCCGGTATTAGGTTATGGGGCTATGGTAAGGTTTAAGGTTTTTGGCGTTAGGGTTAAAATCACTGTCCAAAACCTTTGTAGGAACTCTTTTCCAACCTTTTGGAGTTAGTTAGACCAAAAAAAAAAACGAAAAATGAAAAAAAAATATTTGGGGTGTTCAGGCTTCCTAAAAGTAATACCCGGGTATTAGGTTATGGGGCTATGGTAAGGTTTAAGGTTTATGGCGTTAGGGTTAAAATCACTGTCCAAAACCTTTATAGGAACTATTTTCCAACCTTTTGGAGTTAGTTAGACCAAAAAAAAAAGAAAAATGAAAAAAAAATATTTGGGGTGTTCAGGCTTCCTAAATGTAATACCCAGGTATTAGGTTATGGGGCTATGGTAAGGTTTAAGGTTTTTTGCATTAGGGTTAAAGTCACTGTCCAAAACCTTTGTAAGAACTCTTTTCCAACCTTTTGGAGTTAGTTAGACCAAAAAATATGAAAAAGGAAAAAAAAATATTTGGGGTGTTCGGGCTTCCTGAAGGTAATACCCAGGTAATTAGGTTATGGGGCTATGGTAAGGTTTAAAGTTTTTGGCATTAGGTTTAAAATCACTGTCCAAAACCTTTGTAGGAACTCATTTCCAATTTTTTGGAGCTAGTTAGACCAAAAAAAAAAGAAAAATGAAAAAAAAAATATTTGGTGTTTTCGGGCTTCCTGAAGGTAATACCCGGGTATTAGGTTATGGGGCTATGGTAAGGTTTAAGCTTAATGGCATTAGGTTTAAAATCACTGTCCAAAACCTTTGTAGGAACTCTTTTCCAACCTTTTGGAGTTAGTTAGACCAAAAAAAAAAACGAAAAATGAAAAAAAAAATATTTGGTGTTTTCGGGCTTCCTGAAGGTAATACCCCGGTATTAGGTTATGGGGCTATGGTAAGGTTTAAGGTTTTTGGCGTTAGGGTTAAAATCACTGTCCAAAACCTTTGTAGGAACTCTTTTCCAACCTTTTGGAGTTAGTTAGACCAAAAAAATATGAAAAAAGAAAAAAAAATATTTGGGGTGTTCGGGCTTCCTGTGGTAATACACGGGTATTAGATTTAAAGGCTAGGGTAAGGTTTAAGCTTAATGGCGTTAGGGTTAAAATCACTGTCCAAAACCTTTGTAGGAACTCTTTTCCAACCTTTTGGAGTTACTTAGACCAAAAAAAAAACGAAAAATGAAAAAAAAATATTTGGGGTGTTCAGGCTTCCTAAAAGTAATACCCGGGTATTAGGTTATGGGGCTATGGTAAGGTTTAAGGTTTTTGGCGTTAGGGTTAAAATCACTGTCCAAAACCTTTGTAGGAACTCTTTCCCAACCTTTTGGAGTTAGTTAGACCAAAAAAAAAAATGAAAAAAAAAAATTTGGGGTGTTCAGGCTTCCTAAAAGTAATACCCGGGTATTAGGTTATGGGGCTATGGTAAGGTTTAAAGTTTTTGGCATTAGGGTTAAAATCACTGTCCAAAACCTTTGTAGGAACTCTTTCCCAACCTTTTGGAGTTAGTTAGACCAAAAAAAAATGTAAAATGAAAAAAAAATGTTTGGGGTTTTCGGGCTTCCTGAAGGTAATACCCGGGTATTAGGTTATGGGGCTATGGTATGGTTTAAGGTTTTTGGCATTAGGTTTAAAATCACTGTCCAAAACCTTTGTAGGAACTCTTTTCCAACCTTTTGGAGTTAGACCAAAAAAAGAATGAAAAATGAAAAAAAAAATATTTGGGGTTTTCGGGCTTCCTGAATGTAATACCCGGGTATTAGATTTTAAGGCCAGGGTAAGGTTTAAGTTTTTGGCGTTAGGGTTAAAATCACTGTCCAAAACCTTTGTAGGAACTCTTTTCCAACCTTTTGGATTTGGTTGGACCAAAAAAAAAAGAAAAATGAAAGAAAAATATTTGGGGTGTTCAGGCTTCCTAAAAGTAATACCCGGGTATTAGGTTTTGGGGCTAGGGTAAGGTTTAAGGTTTTTGGCTTAGGGTTAAAATCACTGTCCAAAACCTTTGTAGGAACTCTTTCCAACCTTTTGGAGTTAGTTAGACAAAAAAAAAGAAAAATGAAAAAAAATATTTGGGGTGTTCAGGCTTCCTAAAAATAATACCCGAGTATTAGGTTATGGGGCTATGGTAAGGTTTAACGTTTTGGCGTTAGGTTTAAAATCACTGTCCAAAACCTTTGTAGGAACTCTTTTCTAACCTTTTGGATTTAGTCTGACCAAAAAAAGAATGAAAAATGAAAAAAAATATATTTGGGGTGTTCGGGCTTCCTGAAGGTAATACCCGGGTATTAGATTTTAAGGCTAGGGTAAGGTTTAAGGTTTTTGGCGTTAGGGTTAAAGTCACTGTCCAAAACCTTTGTAGGAACTCTTTTCCAACCTTTTGGAGTTAGTTAGACCAAAAAAAAAAATGAAAAATGAAAAAAAAATGTTTGGGGTTTTCGGGCTTCCTGAATGTAATACCCGGGTATTAGATTTTAAGGCTAGGGTAAGGTTTAAGTTTTATGGCGTTAGGGTTAAAATCACTGTCCAAAACCTTTGTAGGAACTCTTTTCGAACCTTTTGGAGTTACTTAGACCAAAAAAAAATGAAAAATGAAAAAAAAATATTTGGGGTGTTCAGGCTTCCTAAAAGTAATACCCCGGTATTAGGTTATGGGGCTATGGTAAGGTTTAAGGTTTTTGGCGTTAGGGTTAAAATCACTGTCCAAAACCTTTGTAGGAACTCTTTTCCAACCTTTTGGAGTTACTTAGACCAAAAAAAAATGAAAAATGAAAAAAAAATATTTGGGGTTTACGGGCTTCCTGAATGTAATACCCGGGTATTAGATTTAAAGGCCAGGGTAAGGTTTAAGGTTTTTGGCGTTAGGGTTAAAATCACTGTCCAAAACCTTTGTAGGAACTCTTTTCCAACCTTTTGGAGTTAGTTAGACCAAAAAAAAAAGAAAAATGAAAAAATATATATTTGGGGTGTTCAGGCTTCCTAAAAGTAATACCCGGGAATTAGGTTATGGGGCTATGGTAAGGTTTAAGGTTTTTGGCGTTAGGGTTAAAATCACTGTCCAAAACCTTTGTAGGAACTCTTTTTCAACCTTTTGGAGTTAGTTAGACCAAAAAAAAAAAGAAAAATGAAAAAAAATATATTTGGGGTTTACGGGCTTCCTGAATGTAATACCCGGGTATTAGATTTTAAGGCCAGGGAAAGGTTTAAGTTTTTTGGCGTTAGGGTTAAAATCACTGTCCAAAACCTTTGTAGGAACTCTTTTCCAACCTTTTGGAGTTAGTTAGACCAAAAAATATGAAAAAAGAAAAAAATATTATTGGGGGTATTATTAGGTTTTGGGGCTATGGTAAGGTTTAAGTTTTTTGGCGTTAGGGTTAAAATCACTGTCCAAAACCTTTGTAGGAACTCTTTTCCAACCTTTTGGAGTTAGTTAGACCAAAAAAAAATGTAAAATGAAGAAAAAAATATTTGGGGTGTTCAGGCTTCCTGAAGGTAATACCCGGGTATTAGATTTCAAGGCTAGGGTAAGGTTTAAGTTTTTTGGCGTTAGGGTTAAAATCACTGTCCAAAACCTTTGTAGGAACTCTTTTCCAACCTTTTGGAGTTAGTTAGACCAAAAAATATGAAAAAAGAAAAAAATATTATTGGGGGTTTTCGGGCTCCCTGAAAGTAATACCCGTGTATTAGGTTTTGGGACTAGGGAAAGGTTTAAGGGTTTTGGCGTTAGGGTTAAAATCACTGTCCAAAACCTTTGTAGGAACTCTTTTCCAACCTTTTGGAGTTAGTTAGACCAAAAAATATGAAAAAAGAAAAAAATATTATTGGGGGTTTTCGGGCTCCCTGAAAGTAATACCCGTGTATTAGGTTTTGGGACTAGGGAAAGGTTTAAGGGTTTTGGCGTTAGGGTTAAAATCACTGTCCAAAACCTTTGTAGGAACTCTTTTCCAACCTTTTGGAGTTAGTTAGACCAAAAAAAAAAGAAAAATGAAAAAAAAATATTTGGGGTGTTCAGGCTTCCTAAAAGTAATACCCGGGTATTAGGTTATGGGGCTATGGTAAGGTTTAAGTTTTTTGGCGTTAGGGTTAAAATCACTGTCCAAAACCTTTGTAGGAACTCTTTTCCAACCTTTTGGAGTTAGTTAGACCAAAAAAAAATGAAAAATGAAAAAAAATATATTTGGGGTGTTCAGGCTTCCTGAAAGTAATACCCGGGTATTAGGTTATGGGGCTATGGTAAGGTTTAAGGTTTTTGGCGTTAGGGTTAAAATCACTGTCCAAAACCTTTGTAGGAACTCTTTTCCAACCTTTTGGAGTTAGTTAGACCAAAAAAAAATGAAAAATGAAAAAAAATATATTTGGGGTTTCGGGCTTCCTGAATGTAATACCCGGGTATCAGATTTTAAGGCCAGGGAAAGGTTTAAGGTTTTTGGCGTTAGGGTTAAAATCACTGTCCAAAACCTTTGTAGGAACTCTTTTCCAACCTTTTGGAGTTAGTTAGACCAAAAAATATGAAAAAAGAAAAAAATATTATTGGGGGTATTATTAGGTTTTGGGGCTATGGTAAGGTTTAAGTTTTTTGGCGTTAGGGTTAAAATCACTGTCCAAAACCTTTGTAGGAACTCTTTTCCAACCTTTTGGAGTTAGTTAGACCAAAAAAAAATATGAAAAAAGAAAAAAATATTTGGGGTTTTCGGGCTTCCTGAAGTAATACCCGGGTATTAGGTTTTGGGGCTAGGTAAGGTTTAAGTTTTTGGCGTTAGGGTTAAAATCACTGTCCAAAACCTTTGTAGGAACTCTTTTCCAACCTTTTGGAGTTAGTTAGACCAAAAAAAATGAAAAAAGAAAAAAATATTATTGGGGGTATTATTAGGTTTTGGGGCTATGGTAAGGTTTAAGTTTTTTGGCATTAGGGTTAAAATCACTGTCCAAAACCTTTGTAGGAACTCTTTTCCAACCTTTTGGAGTTAGTTAGACCAAAAAATATGAAAAAAGAAAAAAATATTATTGGGGGTTTTCGGGCTCCATGAAAGTAATACCCGGGTATTAGGTTTTGGGGCTATAGTAAGGTTTAAGTTTTTTGGCGTTAGGGTTAAAATCACTGTCCAAAACCTTTGTAGGAACTCTTTTCCAACCTTTTGGAGTTAGTTAGACCAAAAAAAAAAGAAAAATGAAAAAAAAATATTTGGGGTGTTCAGGCTTCCTAAAAGTAATACCCGGGTATTAGGTTATGGGGCTATGGTAAGGTTTAAGGTTTTTGGCGTTAGGGTTAAAATCACTGTCCAAAACCTTTGTAGGAACTCTTTTCCAACCTTTTGGAGTTAGTGAGACCAAAAAAAAATGAAAAATGAAAAAAAAAATATTTGGGGTTTTCGGGCTTCCTGAATGTAATACCCGCGTATTAGATTTTAAGGCTAGGGAAAGGTTTAAGTTTTTTGGCGTTAGGGTTAAAATCACTGTCCAAAACCTTTGTAGGAACTCTTTTCCAACCTTTTGGAGTTAGTTAGACCAAAACATATGAAAAAAGAAAAAAATATTATTGGGGGTTTTCGGGCTCCCTGAAAGTAATACCCGGGTATTAGGTTATGGGGCTATGGTAAGGTTTAAGGTTTTTGGCGTTAGGGTTAAAATCACTGTCCAAAACCTTTGTAGGAACTCTTTTCCAACCTTTTGGAGTTAGTTAGACCAAAAAATATGAAAAAAGAAAAAAATATTATTGGGGGTTTTCGGGCTCCCTGAAAGTAATACCCAGGTATTAGGTTTTGGGGCTATGGTAAGGTTTAAGTTTTTTGGCGTTAGGGTTAAAATCACTGTCCAAAACCTTTGTAGGAACTCTTTTCCAACCTTTTGGAGTTAGTTAGACCAAAAAAAAATGAAAAATTAAAAAACAATATTTGGGGTTTCTGGGTTCCTGAATGTAATACCCGGGTATTAGATTTTGAGGCTAGGGTAAGGTTTAAGTTTTTTGGCATTAGGGTTAAAATCACTGTCCAAAACCTTTGTAGGAACTCTTTTCCAACCTTTTGGAGTTAGTTAGACCAAAAAAAAAAAAAAATGAAAAAAAAAATATTTGGGGTGTTCAGGCTTCCTGAAGGTAATACCCGGGTATTAGGTTATGGGGCTATGGTAAGGTTTAAGGTTTTTGGCGTTAGGGTTAAAATCACTGTCCAAAACCTTTGTAGGAACTCTTTTCCAACCTTTTGGAGTTAGTTAGACCAAAAAAAAAAGAAAAATGAAAAAAAAATATTTGGGGTGTTCAGGCTTCCTAAAAGTAATACCCGGGTATTAGGTTATGGGGCTATGGTAAGGTTTAAGGTTTTTGGCGTTAGGGTTAAAATCACTGTCCAAAACCTTTGTAGGAACTCTTTTCCAACCTTTTGGAGTTAGTTAAACCAAAAAAAAATGAAAAATGAAAAAAAAAATATTTGGGGTTTTCGGGCTTCCTGAATGTAATACCCGGGTATTAGATTTTGAGGCTAGGGTAAGGTTTAAGTTTTTTGGCATTAGGGTTAAAATCACTGTCCAAAACCTTTGTAGGAACTCTTTTCCAACCTTTTGGAGTTGGTTACACCAACAAAAATGTAATACAGGTATTAGATTTTAAGGCTAGGGTAAGGTTTAAGTTTTTTGGCGTTAGGGTTAAAATCACTGTCCAAAACCTTTGTAGGAACTCTTTTCCAACCTTTTGGAGTTAGTTAGACCAAAACATATGAAAAAAGAAAAAAATATTATTGGGGGTTTTCGGGCTCCCTGAAAGTAATACCCGGGTATTAGGTTTTGGGGCTATGGTAAGGTTTAAGGTTTTTGGCGTTAGGGTTAAAATCACTGTCCAAAACCTTTGTAGGAACTCTTTTCCAACCTTTTGGAGTTAGTTAGACCAAAAAAAAATGAAAAATGAAAAAAAAAATATTTGGGGTTTTCGGGGTTCCTGAATGTAATACCCGGGTATTAGATTTTGAGGCTAGGGTAAGGTTTAAGTTTTTTGGCATTAGGGTTAAAATCACTGTCCAAAACCTTTGTAGGAACTCTTTTCCAACCTTTTGGAGTTAGTTACACCAAAAAAAATGTAAAATGAAGAAAAAAATATTTGGGGTGTTCAGGCTTCCTGAAGGTAATACCCGGGTATTAGATTTCAAGGCTAGGGTAAGGTTTAAGGTTTTTGGCGTTAGGGTTAAAATCACTGTCCAAAACCTTTGTAGGAACTCTTTTCCAACCTTTTGGAGTTAGTTAGACAAAAAAAAAAGAAAAATGAAAAAAATATTATTGGGGGTTTTCGGGCTCCCTGAAAGTAATACCCTTGTATTAGGTTTTGGGACTAGGGAAAGGTTTAAGGTTTTTGGCGTTAGGGTTAAAATCACTGTCCAAAACCTTTGTAGGAACTCTTTTCCAACCTTTTGGAGTTAGTTAGACCAAAAAAAAAAAAAGAAAATGAAAAAAAAATATTTGGGGTGTTCAGGCTTCCTAAAAGTAATACCCGGGTATTAGGTTATGGGGCTATGGTAAGGTTTAAGGTTTTTGGCGTTAGGGTTAAAATCACTGTCCAAAACCTTTGTAGGAACTCTTTTTCAACCTTTTGGAGTTAGTTAGACCAAAAAAAAATGAAAAATTAAAAAATATATATTTGGGGTGTTCAGGCTTCCTAAAAGTAATACCCGGGTATTAGGTTTTGGGGCTATGGTAAGGTTTAAGTTTTTTGGCGTTAGGGTTAAAATCACTGTCCAAAACCTTTGTAGGAACTCTTTTCCAACCTTTTGGAGTTAGTTAGACCAAAAAAAAATGAAAAATGAAAAAACAATATTTGGGGTTTTCGGGGTTCCTGAATGTAATACCCGGGTATTAGATTTTGAGGCTAGGGTAAGGTTTAAGTTTTTTGGCATTAGGGTTAAAATCACTGTCCAAAACCTTTGTAGGAACTCTTTTCCAACCTTTTGGAGTTAGTTAGACCAAAAAATATGAAAAAAGAAAAAAATATTATTGGGGGTTTTCGGGCTCCCTGAAAGTAATACCCGGGTATTAGATTTTGGGGCTAGGGTAAGGTTTAAGGTTTTTGGCGTTAGGGTTAAAATCACTGTCCAAAACCTTTGTAGGAACTCTTTTCCAACCTTTTGGAGTTAGTTAGACCAAAAAAATGAAAAAAGAAAAAATTTTGGGGGTTTTCGGGCTTCCTGAAAGTAATACCCGGGTATTAGGTTTTGGGGCTAGGGAAAGGTTTAAGGGTTTTGGCGTTAGGGTTAAAATCACTGTCCAAAACCTTTGTAGGAACTCTTTTCCAACCTTTTGGAGTTAGTTAGACCAAAAAAAAAAAAGAAAATGAAAAAAAAATATTTGGGGTGTTCAGGCTTCCTAAAAGTAATACCCGGGTATTAGGTTATTGGGCTATGGTAAGGTTTAACGTTTTGGCGTTAGGTTTAAAATCACTGTCCAAAACCTTTGTAGGAACTCTTTTCCAACCTTTTGGATTTAGTTAGACCAAAAAAAAAAGAAAAATGAAAAAAAAAATATTTGGGGTGTTCAGGCTTCCTAAAAGTAATACCCGGGTATTAGGTTATGGGGCTATGGTAAGGTTTAAGGTTTTTGGCGTTAGGGTTAAAATCACTGTCCAAAACCTTTGTAGGAACTCTTTTTCAACCTTTTGGAGTTAGTTAGACCAAAAAAAAAATGAAAAATGAAAAAAAAATATTTGGGGTTTACGGGCTTCCTAAAAGTAATACCCGGGTATTAGGTTATGGGGCTATGGTAAGGTTTAAGGTTTTTGGCGTTAGGGTTAAAATCACTGTCCAAAACCTTTGTAGGAACTCTTTTCCAACCTTTTGGAGTTAGTTAGACCAAAAAATATGAAAAAAGAAAAAAATATTATTGGGGGTTTTCGGGCTCCCTGAAAGTAATACCCGGGTATTAGGTTTTGGGGCTATAGTAAGGTTTAAGTTTTTTGGCGTTAGGGTTAAAATCACTGTCCAAAACCTTTGTAGGAACTCTTTTCCAACCTTTTGGAGTTAGTTAGACCAAAAAAAAAAAAAGAAAAATGAAAAAAAAAGTATTTGGGGTGTTCAGGCTTCCTAAAAGTAATACCCGGGTATTAGGTTATGGGGCTATGGTAAGGTTTAAGGTTTTTGGCATTAGGGTTAAAATCACTGTCCAAAACCTTTGTAGGAACTCTTTTCCAACCTTTTGGAGTTAGTTAGACCAAAAAAAAATGAAAAATGAAAAAAAATATATTTGGGGTGTTCAGGCTTCCTAAAAGTAATACCCGGGTATTAGGTTATGGGGCTATGGTAAGGTTTAAGGTTTTTGGCGTTAGGGTTAAAATCACTGTCCAAAACCTTTGTAGGAACTCTTTTCCAACCTTTTGGAGTTAGTTAGACCAAAAAAAAAAAGAAAAATGAAAAAAAAAATATTTGGGGTGTTCAGGCTTCCTAAAAGTAATACCCGGGTATTAGGTTATGGGGCTATGGTAAGGTTTAAGGTTTTTGGCGTTAGGGTTAAAATCACTGTCCAAAACCTTTGTAGGAACTCTTTTCCAACCTTTTGGAGTTGGTTACACCAAAAAAAATGTAAAATGAAAAAAAAAAAATATTTGGGGTGTTCGGGCTTCCTGAATGTAATACCCGGGTATTAGATTTTAAGGCCAGGGTAAGGTTTAAGTTTTTTGGCATTAGGGTTAAAATCACTGTCCAAAACCTTTGTAGGAACACTTTTCCAACCTTTTGGAGTTGGTTAGACCAAAAAAAAAAAGAAAAATGAAAAAAAAATATTTGGGGTGTTCAGGCTTCCTAAAAGTAATACCCGGGTATTAGGTTATGGGGCTATGGTAAGGTTTAAGGTTTTTGGCATTAGGGTTAAAATCACTGTCCAAAACCTTTGTAGGAACTCTTTTCCAACCTTTTGGAGTTAGTTACACCAAAAAAAATGTAAAATGAAGAAAAAAATATTTGGGGTGTTCAGGCTTCCTGAAGGTAATACCCGGGTATTAGATTTCAAGGCTAGGGTAAGGTTTAAGGTTTTTGGCGTTAGGGTTAAAATCACTGTCCAAAACCTTTGTAGGAACTCTTTTCCAACCTTTTGGAGTTAGTTAGACCAAAAAATATGAAAAAAGAAAAAAATATTATTGGGGGTTTTCGGGCTCCCTGAAAGTAATACCCGTGTATTAGGTTTTGGGACTAGGGAAAGGTTTAAGGGTTTTGGCGTTAGGGTTAAAATCACTGTCCAAAACCTTTGTAGGAACTCTTTTCCAACCTTTTGGAGTTAGTTAGACCAAAAAAAAAGAAAAATGAAAAAAAAATATTTGGGGTGTTCAGGCTTCCTAAAAGTAATACCCGGGTATTAGGTTATGGGGCTATGGTAAGGTTTAAGGTTTTGGCGTTAGGGTTAAAATCACTGTCCAAAACCTTTGTAGGAACTCTTTTCCAACCTTTTGGAGTTAGTTAGACCAAAAAAAATGAAAAATGAAAAAAAATATATTTGGGGTGTTCGGGCTTCCTAAAAGTAATACCCGGGTATTAGGTTATGGGGCTATGGTAAGGTTTAAGGTTTTTGGCGTTAGGGTTAAAATCACTGTCCAAAACCTTTGTAGGAACTCTTTTCCAACCTTTTGGAGTTAGTTAGACCAAAAAAAAATGAAAAATGAAAAAAAATATATTTGGGGTTTACGGGCTTCCTGAATGTAATACCCGGGTATTAGATTTTAAGGCCAGGGAAAGGTTTAAGTTTTTTGGCGTTAGGGTTAAAATCACTGTCCAAAACCTTTGTAGGAACTCTTTTCCAACCTTTTGGAGTTAGTTAGACCAAAAAATATGAAAAAAGAAAAAAATATTATTGGGGGTATTATTAGGTTTTGGGGCTATGGTAAGGTTTAAGTTTTTTGGCGTTAGGGTTAAAATCACTGTCCAAAACCTTTGTAGGAACTCTTTTCCAACCTTTTGGAGTTAGTTAGACAAAAAAAAAAAGGAAAATGAAAAAAAAATATTTGGGGTGTTCAGGCTTCCTAAAAGTAATACCCGGGTATTAGGTTATGGGGCTATGGTAAGGTTTAAGGTTTTTGGCGTTAGGGTTAAAATCACTGTCCAAAACCTTTGTAGGAACTCTTTTCCAACCTTTTGGAGTTAGTTAGACCAAAAAAAAATGAAAAATTAAAAAAAATATATTTGGGGTGTTCAGGCTTCCTAAAAGTAATACCCGGGTATTAGGTTATGGGGCTATGGTAAGGTTTAAGGTTTTTGGCGTTAGGGTTAAAATCACTGTCCAAAACCTTTGTAGGAACTCTTTTCCAACCTTTTGGAGTTAGTTAGACCAAAAAAAAAATGAAAAATGAAAAAAATATATTTGGGGTTTTCGGGCTTCCTGAATGTAATACCCGGGTATTAGTTTTAAGGCTAGGGTAAGGTTTAAGTTTTTTGGCGTTAGGGTTAAAATCACTGTCCAAAACCTTTGTAGGAACTCTTTTCCAACCTTTTGGAGTTAGTTAGACCAAAAAATATGAAAAAAGAAAAAAATATTATTGGGGGTATTATTAGGTTTTGGGGCTATGGTAAGGTTTAAGTTTTTTGGCGTTAGGGTTAAAATCACTGTCCAAAACCTTTGTAGGAACTCTTTTCCAACCTTTTGGAGTTAGTTAGACCAAAAAATATGAAAAAAGAAAAAAATATTATTGGGGGTTTTCGGGCTCCCTGAAAGTAATACCCGGGTATTAGGTTTTGGGGCTATAGTTAAGGTTTAAGTTTTTTGGCGTTAGGGTTAAAATCACTGTCCAAAACCTTTGTAGGAACTCTTTTCCAACCTTTTGGAGTTAGTTAGACCAAAAAAAAAAGAAAAATGAAAAAAAAATATTTGGGGTGTTCAGGCTTCCTAAAAGTAATACCCGGGTATTAGATTTTAAGGCTAGGGTAAGGTTTAAGGTTTTTGGCGTTAGGGTTAAAATCACTGTCCAAAACCTTTGTAGGAACTCTTTTCCAACCTTTTGGAGTTAGTTAGACCAAAAAATATGAAAAAAGAAAAAAATATTATTGGGGGTTTTCGGGCTTCCTGAAAGTAATACCCAGGTATTAGGTTTTGGGGCTATGGTAAGGTTTAAGTTTTTTGGCGTTAGGGTTAAAATCACTGTCCAAAACCTTTGTAGGAACTCTTTTCCAACCTTTTGGAGTTAGTTAGACCAAAAAAAAATGAAAAATTAAAAAAAATATTTGGGGTTTTCGGGGTTCCTGAATGTAATACCCGGGTATTAGATTTTGAGGCTAGGGTAAGGTTTAAGTTTTTTGGCATTAGGGTTAAAATCACTGTCCAAAACCTTTGTAGGAACTCTTTTCCAACCTTTTGGAGTTGGTTACACCAACAAAAATGTAAAATGAAGAAAAAAATATTTTGGGTGTTCAGGCTTCCTGAAGGTAATACCCGGGTATTAGATTTCAAGGCTAGGGTAAGGTTTAAGGTTTTTGGCGTTAGGGTTAAAATCACTGTCCAAAACCTTTGTAGGAACTCTTTTCCAACCTTTTGGAGTTAGTTAGACCAAAAAATATGAAAAAAGAAAAAAATATTATTGGGGGTTTTCGGGCTCCTGAAAGTAATACCCGGGTATTAGGTTTTGGGACTAGGGAAAGGTTTAAGGGTTTTGGCGTTAGGGTTAAAATCACTGTCCAAAACCTTTGTAGGAACTCTTTTCCAACCTTTTGGAGTTAGTTAGACCAAAAAAAAAAAGAAAAATGAAAAAAAAATATTTGGGGTGTTCAGGCTTCCTGAAAGTAATACCCGGGTATTAGGTTATGGGGCTATGGTAAGGTTTAAGGTTTTTGGCGTTAGGGTTAAAATCACTGTCCAAAACCTTTGTAGGAACTCTTTTCCAACCTTTTGGAGTTAGTTAGACCAAAAAATATGAAAAAAGAAAAAAATATTGTTGGGGGTTTTCGGGCTTCCTGAAAGTAATACCCGGGTATTAGGTTTTGGGCTAGGGAAAGGTTTAACGTTTTGGCGTTAGGGTTAAAATCACTGTCCAAAACCTTTGTAGGAACTCTTTTCCAACCTTTTGGAGTTAGTTAGACCAAAAAATATGAAAAAAGAAAAAAATATTATTGGGGGTTTTCGGGCTTCCTGAAAGTAATACCCGGGTATTAGGTTTTGGGACTAGGGAAAGGTTTAAGGGTTTTGGCGTTAGGGTTAAAATCACTGTCCAAAACCTTTGTAGGAACTCTTTTTCAACCTTTTGGAGTTAGTTAGACCAAAAAAAAAAGAAAAATGAAAAAAAAAAATATTTGGGGTTTCGGGCTTCCTGAAAGTAATACCCGGGTATTAGGTTTTGGGGCTATGGTAAGGTTTAAGTTTTTGGCGTTAGGGTTAAAATCACTGTCCAAAACCTTTGTAGGAACTCTTTTCCAACCTTTTGGAGTTAGTTAGACCAAAAAAAAATGAAAAATTAAAAAAAATATATTTGGGGTGTTCAGGCTTCCTAAAAGTAATACCCGGGAATTAGGTTATGGGGCTATGGTAAGGTTTAAGGTTTTTGGCGTTAGGGTTAAAATCACTGTCCAAAACCTTTGTAGGAACTCTTTTTCAACCTTTTGGAGTTAGTTAGACCAAAATAAAAATGAAAAATGAAAAAAAATATATTTGGGGTTTACGGGCTTCCTGAATGTAATACCCGGGTATTAGATTTTAAGGCCAGGGAAAGGTTTAAGTTTTTTGGCGTTAGGGTTAAAATCACTGTCCAAAACCTTTGTAGGAACTCTTTTCCAACCTTTTGGAGTTAGTTAGACCAAAAAATATGAAAAAAGAAAAAAATATTATTGGGGGTATTATTAGGTTTTGGGGCTATGGTAAGGTTTAAGTTTTTTGGCGTTAGGGTTAAAATCACTGTCCAAAACCTTTGTAGGAACTCTTTTCCAACCTTTTGGAGTTAGTTAGACAAAAAAAAAAAGGAAAATGAAAAAAAAATATTTGGGGTGTTCAGGCTTCCTAAAAGTAATACCCGGGTATTAGGTTATGGGGCTATGGTAAGGTTTAACGTTTTGGCGTTAGGTTTAAAATCACTGTCCAAAACCTTTGTAGGAACTCTTTTCCAACCTTTTGGAGTTAGTTAGACCAAAAAAAAAAGGAAAAATTAAAAAAAATATATTTGGGGTGTTCAGGCTTCCTAAAAGTAATACCCGGGTATTAGGTTATGGGGCTATGGTAAGGTTTAAGGTTTTTGGCGTTAGGGTTAAAATCACTGTCCAAAACCTTTGTAGGAACTCTTTTCAACCTTTTGGAATTAGTTAAACCAAAAAAAAAATGAAAAATGAAAAAAAATATATTTGGGGTTTACGGGCTTCCTGAATGTAATACCCGGGTATTAGATTTTAAGGCCAGGGAAAGGTTTAAGGTTTTTGGCGTTAGGGTTAAAATCACTGTCCAAAACCTTTGTAGGAACTCTTTTCCAACCTTTTGGAGTTAGTTAGACCAAAAAAAATGAAAAATGAAAAAAATATATTTGGGGTTTTCGGGCTTCCTGAAAGTAATACCCGGGTATTAGGTTTTGGGGCTATGGTAAGGTTTAAGTTTTTTGGCGTTAGGGTTAAAATCACTGTCCAAAACCTTTGTAGGAACTCTTTTCCAACCTTTTGGAGTTAGTTAGACCAAAAAAAAATGAAAAATGAAAAAAAAATATATTTGGGGTGTTCAGGCTTCCTAAAAGTAATACCCGGGAATTAGGTTATGGGGCTATGGTAAGGTTTAAGGTTTTTGGCGTTAGGGTTAAAATCACTGTCCAAAACCTTTGTAGGAACTCTTTTCCAACCTTTTGGAGTTAGTTAGACCAAAAAAAAATGAAAAATGAAAAAAAATATATTTGGGGTTTTCGGGCTTCCTGAATGTAATACCCGGGTATTAGATTTTAAGGCCTAGGGAAAGGTTTAAGTTTTTTGGCGTTAGGGTTAAAATCACTGTCCAAAACCTTTGTAGGAACTCTTTTCCAACCTTTTGGAGTTAGTTAGACCAAAAAATATGAAAAAAGAAAAAAATATTATTGGGGGTATTATTAGGTTTTGGGGCTATGGTAAGGTTTAAGTTTTTTGGCGTTAGGGTTAAAATCACTGTCCAAAACCTTTGTAGGAACTCTTTTCCAACCTTTTGGAGTTAGTTAGACCAAAAAATATGAAAAAAGAAAAAAATATTATTGGGGGTTTTCGGGCTCCCTGAAAGTAATACCCGGGTATTAGGTTTTGGGGCTATAGTAAGGTTTAAGTTTTTTGGCGTTAGGGTTAAAATCACTGTCCAAAACCTTTGTAGGAACTCTTTTCCAACCTTTTGGAGTTAGTTAGACCAAAAAAAAAAGAAAAATGAAAAAAAAAGTATTTGGGGTGTTCAGGCTTCCTAAAAGTAATACCCGGGTATTAGGTTATGGGGCTATGGTAAGGTTTAAGGTTTTTGGCGTTAGGGTTAAAATCACTGTCCAAAACCTTTGTAGGAACTCTTTTCCAACCTTTTGGAGTTAGTTAGACCAAAAAAAATGAAAAAAAAAAAAATATATTTGGGGTTTCGGGCTTCCTGAAAGTAATACCCGGGTATTAGGTTTTGGGGCTATGGTAAGGTTTAAGGTTTTTGGCGTTAGGGTTAAAATCACTGTCCAAAACCTTTGTAGGAACTCTTTTCCAACCTTTTGGAGTTAGTTAGACCAAAAAATATGAAAAAAGAAAAAAATATTATTGGGGGTTTTCGGGCTCCCTGAAAGTAATACCCGGGTATTAGGTTTTGGGGCTATGGTAAGGTTTAAGTTTTTGGCGTTAGGGTTAAAATCACTGTCCAAAACCTTTGTAGGAACTCTTTTCCAACCTTTTGGAGTTAGTTAGACCAAAAAAAAATGAAAAATAAAAAAAAATATTTGGGGTTTTCGGGCTTCCTGAATGTAATACCCGGGTATTAGATTTTGAGGCTAGGGTAAGGTTTAAGTTTTTTGGCGTTAGGGTTAAAATCACTGTCCAAAACCTTTGTAGGAACTCTTTTCCAACCTTTTGGAGTTGGTTAGACCAAAAAAAATGTAAAATGAAGAAAAAAATATTTGGGGTGTTCAGGCTTCCTGAAGGTAATACCCGGGTATTAGATTTCAAGGCTAGGGTAAGGTTTAAGGTTTTTGGCGTTAGGGTTAAAATCACTGTCCAAAACCTTTGTAGGAACTCTTTTCCAACCTTTTGGAGTTAGTTAGACCAAAAAATATGAAAAAAAGAAAAAAATATTATTGGGGGTTTTGGGGCTTCCTGAAAGTAATACCCGTGTATTAGGTTTTGGGACTAGGGAAAGGTTTAAGGGTTTTTGGCGTTAGGGTTAAAATCACTGTCCAAAACCTTTGTAGGAACTCTTTTCCAACCTTTTGGAGTTAGTTAGACCAAAAAAAAAAGAAAAATGAAAAAAAAATATTTGGGGTGTTCAGGCTTCCTAAAAGTAATACCCGGGTATTAGGTTATGGGGCTATGGTAAGGTTTAACGTTTTGGCGTTAGGGTTAAAATCACTGTCCAAAACCTTTGTAGGAACTCTTTAACAACCTTTTGGATTTAGTTAGACCAAAAAAAAATGAAAAATTAAAAAAAATATATTTGGGGTGTTCAGGCTTCCTAAAAGTAATACCCGGGAATTAGGTTATGGGGCTATGGTAAGGTTTAAGGTTTTTGGCGTTAGGGTTAAAATCACTGTCCAAAACCTTTGTAGGAACTCTTTTTCAACCTTTTGGAGTTAGTTAGACCAAAAAAAAATGAAAAATGAAAAAAAATATATTTGGGGTTTACGGGCTTCCTGAATGTAATACCCGGGTATTAGATTTTAAGGCCAGGGAAAGGTTTAAGTTTTTTGGCGTTAGGGTTAAAATCACTGTCCAAAACCTTTGTAGGAACTCTTTTCCAACCTTTTGGAGTTAGTTAGACCAAAAAATATGAAAAAAGAAAAAAAATATTATTGGGGTTTTCGGGCTCCTGAAAGTAATACCCGGGTATTAGGTTTTGGGGCTATGGTAAGGTTTAAGTTTTTTGGCGTTAGGTTTAAAATCACTGTCCAAAACCTTTGTAGGAACTCTTTCACAACCTTTTGGATTTAGTTAGACCAAAAAAAAATGAAAAATTAAAAAAAATATATTTGGGGTGTTCAGGCTTCCTAAAAGTAATACCCGGGAATTAGGTTATGGGGCTATGGTAAGGTTTAAGGTTTTTGGCGTTAGGGTTAAAATCACTGTCCAAAACCTTTTTAGGAACTCTTTTTCAACCTTTTGGAGTTAGTTAGACCAAAAAAAAATGAAAAATGAAAAAAATATATTTGGGGTTTACGGGCTTCCTGAATGTAATACCCGGGTATTAGATTTTAAGGCCAGGGAAAGGTTTAAGTTTTTTGGCGTTAGGGTTAAAATCACTGTCCAAAACCTTTGTAGGAACTCTTTTCCAACCTTTTGGAGTTAGTTAGACCAAAAAATATGAAAAAAGAAAAAAATATTATTGGGGGTTTTCGGGCTCCCTGAAAGTAATACCCGGGTATTAGGTTTTGGGGCTATAGTAAGGTTTAAGTTTTTTGGCGTTAGGTTTAAAATCACTGTCCAAAACCTTTGTAGGAACTCTTTAACAACCTTTTGGATTTAGTTAGACCAAAAAAAAATGAAAAATAAAAAAAAATATATTTGGGGTGTTCAGGCTTCCTAAAAGTAATACCCGGGAATTAGGTTATGGGGCTATGGTAAGGTTTAAGGTTTTTGGCGTTAGGGTTAAAATCACTGTCCAAAACCTTTTTAGGAACTCTTTTTCAACCTTTTGGAGTTAGTTAGACCAAAAAAAAATGAAAAATGAAAAAAATATATTTGGGGTTTACGGGCTTCCTGAATGTAATACCCGGGTATTAGATTTTAAGGCCAGGGAAAGGTTTAAGTTTTTTGGCGTTAGGGTTAAAATCACTGTCCAAAACCTTTGTAGGAACTCTTTTCCAACCTTTTGGAGTTAGTTAGACCAAAAAATATGAAAAAAGAAAAAAATATTATTGGGGGTTTTCGGGCTCCATGAAAGTAATACCCGGGTATTAGGTTTTGGGGCTATAGTAAGGTTTAAGTTTTTTGGCGTTAGGTTTAAAATCACTGTCCAAAACCTTTGTAGGAACTCTTTAACAACCTTTTGGATTTAGTTAGACCAAAAAAAAATGAAAAATAAAAAAAAATATATTTGGGGTGTTCAGGCTTCCTAAAAGTAATACCCGGGAATTAGGTTATGGGGCTATGGTAAGGTTTAAGGTTTTTGGCGTTAGGGTTAAAATCACTGTCCAAAACCTTTTTAGGAACTCTTTTTCAACCTTTTGGAGTTAGTTAGACCAAAAAAAAATGAAAAATGAAAAAAAATATATTTGGGGTTTACGGGCTTCCTTAATGTAATACCCGGGTATTAGATTTTAAGGCCAGGGAAAGGTTTAAGTTTTTTGGCGTTAGGGTTAAAATCACTGTCCAAAACCTTTGTAGGAACTCTTTTCCAACCTTTTGGAGTTAGTTAGACCAAAAAATATGAAAAAAGAAAAAAATATTATTGGGGGTATTATTAGGTTTTGGGGCTATGGTAAGGTTTAAGTTTTTTGGCGTTAGGGTTAAAATCACTGTCCAAAACCTTTGTAGGAACTCTTTTCCAACCTTTTGGAGTTAGTTAGACCAAAAAATATGAAAAAAGAAAAAAATATTATTGGGGGTTTTCGGGCTCCATGAAAGTAATACCCGGGTATTAGGTTTTGGGGCTATAGTAAGGTTTAAGTTTTTTGGCGTTAGGGTTAAAATCACTGTCCAAAACCTTTGTAGGAACTCTTTTACAACCTTTTGGAGTTAGTTAGACCAAAAAAAAAAGAAAAATGAAAAAAAAAGTATTTGGGGTGTTCAGGCTTCCTAAAAGTAATACCCGGGTATTAGGTTATGGGGCTATGGTAAGGTTTAAGGTTTTTGGCGTTAGGGTTAAAATCACTGTCCAAAACCTTTGTAGGAACTCTTTTCCAACCTTTTGGAGTTAGTTAGACCAAAAAATATGAAAAAAGAAAAAAATATTATTGGGGGTTTTCGGGCTCCCTGAAAGTAATACCCGGGTATTAGGTTATGGGGCTATGGTAAGGTTTAAGGTTTTTGGCGTTAGGGTTAAAATCACTGTCCAAAACCTTTGTAGGAACTCTTTTCCAACCTTTTGGAGTTAGTTAGACCAAAAAATATGAAAAAAGAAAAAAATATTATTGGGGGTTTTCGGGCTCCCTGAAAGTAATACCCGGGTATTAGGTTTTGGGGCTATGGTAAGGTTTAAGTTTTTTGGCGTTAGGGTTAAAATCACTGTCCAAAACCTTTGTAGGAACTCTTTTCCAACCTTTTGGAGTTAGTTAGACCAAAAAAAAAATGAAAAATGGAAAAACAATATTTGGGGTTTTCGGGCTCCATGAAAGTAATACCCGGGTATTAGATTTTGAGTCTAGGGTAAGGTTTAAGTTTTTTGGCATTAGGGTTAAAATCACTGTCCAAAACCTTTGTAGGAACTCTTTTCCAACCTTTTGGAGTTGGTTACACCAACAAAAATGTAAAATGAAGAAAAAAATATTTGGGGTGTTCAGGCTTCCTGAAGGTAATACCCGGGTATTAGATTTCAAGGCTAGGGTAAGGTTTAAGGTTTTTGGCGTTAGGGTTAAAATCACTGTCCAAAACCTTTGTAGGAACTCTTTTCCAACCTTTTGGAGTTAGTTAGACCAAAAAATATGAAAAAAGAAAAAAATATTATTGGGGGTTTTTGGGGCTCCCTGAAAGTAATACCCGTGTATTAGGTTTTGGGACTAGGGAAAGGTTTAAGGGTTTTTGCGTTAGGGTTAAAATCACTGTCCAAAACCTTTGTAGGAACTCTTTTCCAACCTTTTGGAGTTAGTTAGACCAAAAAAAAAAGAAAAATGAAAAAAAAAATATTTGGGGTGTTCAGGCTTCCTAAAAGTAATACCCGGGTATTAGGTTATGGGGCTATGGTAAGGTTTAACGTTTTGGCGTTAGGGTTAAAATCACTGTCCAAAACCTTTGTAGGAACTCTTTAACAACCTTTTGGATTTAGTTAGACCAAAAAAAATGAAAAATTAAAAAAAATATATTTGGGGTGTTCAGGCTTCCTAAAAGTAATACCCGGGAATTAGGTTATGGGGCTATGGTAAGGTTTAAGGTTTTTGGCGTTAGGGTTAAAATCACTGTCCAAAACCTTTGTAGGAACTCTTTTTCAACCTTTTGGAGTTAGTTAGACCAAAAAAAAATGAAAAATGAAAAAAAATATATTTGGGGTTTACGGGCTTCCTGAATGTAATACCCGGGTATTAGATTTTAAGGCCAGGGAAAGGTTTAAGTTTTTTGGCGTTAGGGTTAAAATCACTGTCCAAAACCTTTGTAGGAACTCTTTTCCAACCTTTTGGAGTTAGTTAGACCAAAAAATATGAAAAAAGAAAAAAATATTATTGGGGGTTTTCGGGCTCCATGAAAGTAATACCCGGGTATTAGGTTTTGGGGCTATAGTAAGGTTTAAGTTTTTTGGCGTTAGGTTTAAAATCACTGTCCAAAACCTTTGTAGGAACTCTTTAACAACCTTTTGGATTTAGTTAGACCAAAAAAAAATGAAAAATTAAAAAAAATATATTTGGGGTGTTCAGGCTTCCTAAAAGTAATACCCGGGAATTAGGTTATGGGGCTATGGTAAGGTTTAAGGTTTTTGGCGTTAGGGTTAAAATCACTGTCCAAAACCTTTTTAGGAACTCTTTTTCAACCTTTTGGAGTTAGTTAGACCAAAAAAAAATGAAAAATGAAAAAAATATATTTGGGGTTTACGGGCTTCCTGAATGTAATACCCGGGTATTAGATTTTAAGGCCAGGGAAAGGTTTAAGTTTTTTGGCGCTAGGGTTAAAATCACTGTCCAAAACCTTTGTAGGAACTCTTTTCCAACCTTTTGGAGTTAGTTAGACCAAAAAAAATGAAAAATTAAAAAAAATATTTGGGGTTTTCGGGCTTCCTGAATGTAATACCCGGGTATTAGGTTTTGGGGCTAGGATTAGGTTTAAGGTTTTTGGCGTTAGGGTTAAAATCACTGTCCAAAATTTTTTAAGGAACATGTTTCAGACCTTTTGGAGTTAGTTAGACCAAAAAAAAAGAAAAAAGAAAAAAAAATATTTGGGGTGTTCGGGCTTCCTGAAGGTATTAGGTTTTGGGGCTAGGGTAAGGTTTAAGGTTTTTGGCGTAAGGGTTAAAATCACTGTCCAAAACTGTTTAAGGAACAAGATTCAGACCTTTTGGAGTTGGTTACATCAAAAAAAATGTAAAATGAAAAAAATATATTTGGGGTTTTTGGGCTTCCTGAAGGTAATACCCAGGTATTAGTTTATGGGGCTATAGTAAGGTTTAAGGTTTTTGGCGTTAGGGTTAAAATCACTGTCCAAAACCTTTGTAGAAACTCTTTTCCAACCTTTTGGAGTTAGACCAAAAAAAAACTAAAAATGAAAAAAAAAATATTTGGGGTTTTCGGGCTTCCTGAAGGTAATACCCGGGTATTAGGTTATGGGGCTAGGGTAAGGTTTAAGGTTTTTGGCGTTAGGGTTAAAATCACTGTCCAAAACCTTTGTAGAAACTCTTTTCCAACCTTTTGGAGTTAGACCAAAAAAAAACTAAAAATGAAAAAAAAAATATTTGGGGTTTTCGGGCTTCCTGAAGGTAATACCCGGGTATTAGGTTATGGGGCTAGGGTAAGGTTTAAGGTTTTTGGCGTGAGGGTTAAAATCACTGTCCAAAACCTTTGTAGGAAGTCTTTTCCAACCTTTTGGAGTTAGTAAGACCAATAAAAAAATGAAAAATGAAAAAAAAAAATTTGGGGTTTTTGGGCTCCCTGAAGGTAATACCCGGGTATTAGGTTATGGGGCTAGGGTAAGGTTTAAGGTTTTTGGCGTGAGGGTTAAAATCACTGTCCAAAACCTTTGTAGGAAGTCTTTTCCAACCTTTTGGAGTTAGTTAGACCAATAAAAAATGAAAAATGAAAAAAAAAAATTTGGGGTGTTCGGGCTTCCTGAAGGTAATACCCGGGTATTAGGTTTTGGGGCTAGGATTAGGTTTAAGGTTTTTGGTGTTAGGGTTAAAATCACTGTCCAATATTTTTTAAGGAACTTGTTTCAGACCTTTTGGAGTTAGTTAGACCAAAAAAAAAGAAAAAAGAAAAAAAAAATATTTGGGGTGTTCGGTCTTCCTGAAGGTATTAGGTTTTGGGGCTAGGGTAAGGTTTAAGGTTTTTGGCGTTAGGGTTAAAATCACTGTCCAAAACCTTTTAAGGAACAAGATTCAGACCTTTTGGAGTTGGTTACACCAAAAAAAATGTAAAATGAAAAAAAATATATTTAGGGTGTTCGGGCTTCCTGAAGGTTACTTAAACCCTTCAGGTTTAAGTATTAGGTTATAGGGCTAGGATTAGGTTTAAGTTTTTTGGCGCAAGGGTTAAAATCACTGTCCAATATTTTTTAAGGAACATGTTTCAGACCTTTGGGAGTTAGTTAGACAAAAAAAAAGAAAAAGAAAAAAAAAATTTGGGGTGTTCGGGCTTCCTGAAGGTAATACCCGGGTATTAGGTTATGGGGCTAGGGTAAGGTTTAAGGTTTTTGGCGTTAGAGTTAAAATCAGTGTCCAAAACCTTTTTAGGAACATGTTTCAGACCTTTTGGAGTTGGTTACACCAAAAAAAAAAGTAAAATGAAAAAAATATATTTGGGGTTTTTGGGCTTCCTTTGTATTAGGTTATGGGGCTATAGTAAGGTTTAAGGTTTTTTGTGTGAGGGTTAAAATCACTGTCCAAAACCTTTTTAGGGACATGTTTCAGACCTTTTGGAGTTGGTCACACCAAAAAAAAATGTAAAATGTAAAAAAAAAATATTTGGGGTGTTCGGGCTACCGGAAGGTAATATCCGGGTATTAGGTTATGGGGCTGGGGTAAGGTTTAAGGTTTTTGGCGTTAGGGTTAAAATCACTGTTCAAAACCTTTGTAGGAACTCTTTTCCAACGTTTTGGAGTTAGTTAGAGCAAAAAAAAAAAACGAAAAATGAAAAAAAGATATTTGGGGTGTTCGGACTTCCTGAAGGTAATACCCTGGTAATAGGTTATCGGGCTAGGGTAAGTTTTAAGGTTTTTGGCGTTAGGGTTAAAATCACTGTCCAAAACCTTTGTAGGAACTCTTTTCCAACCTTTTGGAGTTAGTTAGACCAAAAAAAAATTAAAAATGAAAAAAAAATATTTGGGGTGTTCGGGCTTCCTGAAGGTAATACCCGGGTATTAGGTTTTGGGGCTAGGGTAAGGTTTAAGGTTTTTGGTGTTAGGGTTAAAATCACTGTCCAAATCCTTTGTAGGAACTCTTTTCCAACCTTTTGGAGTTAGTCAGACCAAAAAAACTAGGGCCCCGTTGGGGCACTGGCGGGACCGAGCCGCGTCGCGTCGCCCTCAGCGCGACCGCCTCCCCCTCGCGATTGCGTCACACTCAAGGTCCAAAGATGGTGTGCGCACCTGTCTTTGGTCTTTTACCATTATAATGAATGGGAGGCGCAGTTTCTACCAAAACACTCGCTGCAGACAAACTACATGTCCTATATGAAAAAAGTCTGGACCATGAGTGAGGGCACAAACACAGCTAGGATATATCCAAATGGCAAGTTGCTCCTCCTTACGGTGTTGCCGGGAGAGCGATGCGTTTCAGCCATTGAGCAACACGCAAGAAAAATAAAATTTCTCCTGCCATGGGGGGTAAGGAAAATGACCAATTCTTTTTTATCAAACATTATAAAAACTGGTTATCTCTTGCAGGGCATCAAAGTCTTGAATATGTGAGAGATAAGTAATATGATTGACTTTGATGCCTTTTAACTTTTTCTGTAGCATCAGATTTAATAGACAACTCCCTTTGGCGCCCCTCCGTGGCCATAACTACTTTGTCTGCTGTTAATAGACAGCTCCCTTTGGCGCCACTCAGTGGCCAAAATTACTTTGTCTGCTGTAAAATCATATTGGATTAATATTTTTTCCAGATTTTTTTTTGTACATCTCTTATTTTACTTCTGCCCTGTTCAAAACTAGCAAATGTTTCATTGAAAATAATTTTTTGTAACCCTTTAAGAGCCCATTTAAGACATAAAGTCACTAATATAGCAAAAATGTGAGCCTTTTAACTTTTTCTGTAGCATCAGATTTAATAGACAACTCCCTTTGGCGCCCCTCAGTGGCCATATCTACTTTGTCTGCTGTTAATAGACAGCTCCCTTTGGCGCCACTCAGTGGCCAAAATTACTTTGTCTGCTGTAAAATCATATTGGATTAATATTTTTTCCAGATTTTTTTTTGTACATCTCTTATTTTACTTCTGCCCTGTTCAAAACTAGCAAATGTTTCATTGAAAATAATTTTTTGTAACCCTTTAAGAGTCCATTTAAGACATAAAGTCACTAATATAGCAAAAATGTGAGCCTTTTAACTTTTTCTGTAGCATCAGATTTAATAGACAACTCCCTTTGGCGCCCCTCAGTGGCCATATCTACTTTGTCTGCTGTTAATAGACAACTCCCTTTGGCGCCACTCAGTGGGCCAAAAGGACTTTTAAGAATGTGGATTTTTGGGTCATCTTTGGCGCCCCCTAGAACGTAAACCGTGGGATGCAGCGTCATGATTTTTACAACTTTGAATGGCCATGGGGTGTAGATTGGCCTGAGCAAATTTGGTGTCGGTGGGACGAAAGCCTTAGGAGGAGTTAGTCACATTCCAATGTGTGCGAATCGGCAAAAAATGCGAAATAGCCCTTTAACCGTACATTTTACAGACACGTGCCCATTGACTTTTTCATAGATCTTATTGAGATACACGTGATTGTCAAATTTTGTGTCAATATGACAAAGCGTATAGGCGTGACACTCAACAATGTGTATTTTCACCTTAGGGGACAAGAAAAAATTGAATTTTTTCTCCTGCAATGGGGGGGCGCTCTTTTGGGGAGTAAAAATTCCTTCACAAATGTGTTGATGGCTGGACATTGCATCATCCTAGAAAATTCAAAGATCACAAAACAGCACAATCTCAAGTTCAAACACGACACAAACTCAGGTTCAACAAACACACAAACTCAAGTTTAACCAATACCCAATTCTCACGTTTAACAATTTCCACAACCTCAAGTTCAAACACGACACAAACTCAAGTTCAAACACGACACAAACTCAAGTTCAAACACGACACAAACTCAAGTTCAAACAACACCCAAATATCAAGTTTAACATCTGCCAAAACCTCAAGTTCAAAAACACCACAAACTCAAGTTCTAAATGACAAAAACTCAAGTTCAACAAACACACGAACTCAAGTTCAACCAATGCCCACTTCGCAAGTTTAACAATTTCCACAACCTCAAGTTAAAAAAAAAACAAAAACTCAAGTTCAGACACACCACAAACTCAAGTTAGAAAAACACACAGACTCAAGTTCAACCAACACCTAAGTCACAAGTTTAACAATTGCCACAAACTTCAGTTCAAAAAACACAAAAGCTCAAGATCAAAAACACCACAAACTCAAGTTCAAACACGATTCACAAACTCAAGTTCAACCAAATCCCAAATCTCAAGTTTAACAATTTCCACAACCTCAAGTTCAAAACCAACAGAAACTCAAGTTCAAACACGCCACAAACTCAAGTACAACAAACGCCACAAACTCAAGTTCAACAATTGCCACCAAGTAAAGTTCAGAGAAAAATACAGACTCAAGGTTAACAATTGCCACAAACTCAAGTTCATCAAACACCACAAGCTTAAGTTCAAAAAATGACAAAATTTCAAATTCAACAAATGACCTATATTCACATTAAACAATTGCCAAAAACTCAAGTTCAACAAACTCAAGTTCAAAAATTGCAACAAACTCAGGTTCAAAAAATACACAAATTCAAGTTCAAAAACACCACAAACTCAAGTTCAAAAATGCGGAAACTTAATTTCAACCAACACCCAACTCTCAAGTTTAACAATTGCCACAACCTTTTGTCCAAAAACAACAGAAACTAAAATTCAAAAACACCAAAAACTCAAGTTAAAAAAACCCCACACAAATTCAAGATCACAAAACAGCACAATCTCAAGTTCAAACAAGACACAAACTCAGGTTCAACAAACACCACAAACTCAAGTTCAAACACGCCACAAACTCAAGTTCAACAAACGCCACAAACTCAACTTCAAAAACACCACACAAACTGAAGTTCTAAAACGACACAAACTCAAGTTCAACAAACACAACAAGTCAAGTTCAAGCAACACCCGATTCTCAAGTTTAACAATTTCCACAACCTCAAATTCAAAAAACACACAAACTCAAGTTCAAAAACACCAGAACCTCAAGTTCAAAAAACATAATAAACTCAAGTTCAAATATTCCACAAACTCAAGTTCAATGAACACCACAAACTCAAGTTCAACCAACACCCGATTCTCAAGTTTAACAATTGCCAAAACCTCAAGTTAAAAAAAACACAAACTCAAGTTCAAACACTTCACAAACTCAAGTTCAAACACTTCACAAACTCAAGTTCAACAAACGCCACAAGCTCAAGTTCAACAAACGCCACAAACTCAAGTTCAACAATTGCCACCAACTAAAGTTCACTAAAAACCAAAGACTCAAGTTCAACAATTGCCAAAAAATCAAGCGAAACAAACTCAAGTTCATAAGTTGTCACAAACTTCAAACACGACACAAACTCAAGTTCAAAAACACCACAAACTCAAGTTCAAACACGACACAAACTCAAGTTCAAAAACACCACAAACTCAAGTTCAAAAAGACACAAACTCAAGTTCAACAAACAAAACTAACTATTTAGAGTAATTTTGAGGTGTTTGAGAGGTTTTTTGTAGACTTACCCTAGTGGTCCTATGTTGTTGTTGATGTGAGGCGTTTCTTTTCCAGTAGTCTAAAATCTGTTGGAGGGGGGAAAAGGTTCCAGCTGTCCAGCCGCGGCGGCAGCGGTGTGTCTGAAGTCCGGGGTCCTCGGCGGGGGAAAGAAGATTGGCGCTCCGCGGCAAGGTTTGCTGGGACTCGGTGCCGTCGGCGGGTCGAAGCTCGGTGGTGGGCGGCTTGGAGTGATGGAGGTGTCTTCTTTCAGGTGGCGGCGCGGCGTCTTCCTCGAGGCGTTGGTCGGTCTTCTAGGTCCAGTGGTCAGTGCTTTGTCTCAATAACAGGAACAGGAATTGCTCATTAGTGCACAGCACTTAAATGTGCTTTTGACAGGAGAAGACATCCCCAGAGTTGGGCTCGAGTCATGGTTTGTGCTGTTCCTCTCAGACATGGTTGTGTTCTCTTCTCGATGTTTGTATTCCAGAATGGATGTCTCTTGGTTGTATTTTAAACTTTCAAGTTGTTTTAAGTTAATTTTAATGTAGTTTATTTGTTTTAAATTTAGTTTTGCTACATTAAATTTGTATGCAATCGTAAGGGATTGTGGGTATTTTAGTTCTGAGGGATGAGAGCCTAAGGAATCGATCTTCCTGTTACAGCAAAGGATTGTGGGTAAAACCGTGAGTGAGTGAGGTACTTCCTTTCTGCCATGAGAGCCTTGGGAATCAATCTCCCTGTTGCAGCAAAGGATTGTGGGTAAAACCGTGAGTGAGGGAGGTACATTTTTCCTGGCATGAGAACCTCAGGAGTCAGTCCTTCCTAAGAAAAAAGAGGGGAGGGGGGAAGACAAACAAAAGCACAGGAACCCTAAAATGAAATAAAATAAAATAAAATAAAATAATATAAAACAATGAAAAAATAAAAAATAAAAAAGAAGAACAAAAGTGGATTGCAAAAGGGAAAGGAGAAGAAAAAAGGAAAAAAAGAAGTGTCAAGAGCAAATAGCAAAAAACAGAAGTGAGCTTAAAAACAGAGAACAGTTCCCTAAAAGACAGAAATGTAAATTTGATCAATGTCCTAAGGGAAAATCTGCACGTGTATGTGTTTTCTTTTTTACTAGCTTAGTCTGGTGTCACTGATGGTCAGTTATCAATAAGTATTTATTATTTAAATTTTTGATGAAGTTGTTTGTAGTGGGGTTAGCTGGCTAATTTTAGTGTGTTAAAAAAGATGTTAGAGGGGGAGGATTTAGGTGGCATGGCGGTTCCCCTTCAGGTCTCTCTTAATCCTCAATATAGGTGACCCAACAGGGGTTACCCCCCGGCCGGGGTAGGCCGAGGCTGAAGATCACCTATTTGTCCTCTGTGAAGGTGAAAATAAAGGGGCAGGGGAGGGAATAAGAAAGAGGGGGGGTGTTAGAGAGAGGGGGAGAGATGAGGGAGAGAGATGAGGGAGAGAGAGAGGGGGGGGGGGGGGGGTGAGAGTGAGAGAGAGAGAAGGGAAGAGGGAGAGGGGGGTTTAAGGGAGAGGTGGAGATGGTGGAAAATAAAGATTGGTGAGGGGGATTTGGTGGCGGATGAAACATCCCATAGCTCCCCAGCTCTCACCATCCATGTGAGGAGAGTGAGCAAGGGACATAGTCACCCGACCCGACTAGGTCTAGGCTCTGCTCTCCTCACGGTCCTCACAAGATACAAAGAGATATGTAAACGTGGAAGTGAGAGTTCTCTAGGCAGAGTTTTGGGTTTGGTTTGAGCTGAGTTGGTCAGTTGATTATTGATTACTATTTTAAGTTCTAAAAGTGGATAGAGTCAAAAAGTCACAGAGGATTGTGGTGGGAGCAGGTGGTCCATCTGGCACCATTCTGCTCATGCAGGGATTCGAGTGATAGAAAGAGAATAGATCTTGCCACCGTGACTCGCCATTGAGACTCTCCTCACCTGCTGGTTTTCATCCTCTGATAGGAGAGAGAGGTACAGATCAGGAGAGAGGGAGAAAAGGAGGGAGGCAGGGTGGGGTCAGGAGTTAATTTGTCTTGAAAAGTATTTATCTTTTCGTCATTGCTGTTAGGGTTTAGATGTTTTTTGTTTAGTTTTCTGAGGAATGTAGTGTTAGTATAGGTTCCAAGGTGGAGGATTCTTTGGAATTCACTCTCACCCTTGAAACTGGAAGATCTTAGATTCTATAAAGGGGGGGGGGGGGTGAGAGGTTGTGTGCACAGAAGGAGCATGGGCTCAGACTATTCTCGGAATGATATTGTGACAAGTCTGTCCGAAGGTAAGTGGCTGGTTAGGTGTGGGAAAGAGATAGAGTGATAGCCCCCGCTTTCGTCAGTTGACTTGGCGGTTTGAGGTAGGCTGATCAAGGGCTTGCACTGGCCGGCGCATGTCGACCTGTCACATGTTCCAGTCGAGTCTCCGAGCTCAATCTGTGTGTAAAAATTATGTGTTGGTAGAAAGTTTAATGACTCAGCTCAGTTGGTATGCTATGCTGTCTATCTTTTAGACTATGTGTTTGTAGAGCAATATTATGTATATATTATGTTACAGGGCTAGGAAAAGGTTAAAGGTTTTTGACGTTAGGGTTAAAATCACTGTCCAAAACCTTTGTAGGAACTCTTTTCCAACCTTTTGGAGGGAGCTAGACTAGAAAAAAAAGAAAAAAGAAAAAAAAAAATTTGGGGTGTTCGGGCTTCCTGAAGGTAATACCTGGGTATTAGGTTATGGGGCTAGGGTAAGGTTTAAGGCTTTTGGCGTGAGGGTTAAAATCACTGTCCAAAACCTTTGTAGGAAGTCTTTTCCAACCTTTTGGAGTTAGTTAGACCAATAAAAAAATGAAAAATAAAAAAAAAATATTTGGGGTGTTCGGTCTTCCTGAAGGTAATACCCGGTTATTAGGTTTTGGGGCTAGGATTAGGTTTAAGGTTTTTGGCGTTAGGGTTAAAATCACTGTCCAATATTTTTTAAGGAACATGTTTCAGACCTTTTGGAGTCAGTTAGACCAAAAAAAAAGAAAAAAGAAAAAAAAATATTTGGGGTTTTCGGGCTTCCTGAAGGTATTAGGTTATGGGGCTAGGGTAAGGTTTAAGGTTTTTGGCGTAAGGGTTAAAATCACTGTCCAAAACCTTTTAAGGAACAAGATTCAGACCTTTTGGAGTTGGTGACACCAAAAAAAGATGTAAAATGAAAAAAAAAATATTTGGGGTGTTCGGGCTTCCTGAAGGTAATACCCTTCAGGGGTATTAGGTTATGGGGCTAGGATTAGGTTTAATGTTTTTGGCGTTAGGGTTAAAATCACTGTCCAATATTTTTAAGGAACATGTTTCAGACCTTTTGGAGCTAGTTTGATCAAAAAAAAAGAAAAATAAAAAATATATATTTGGGGTGTTCGGGCTTCCTGAAGGTAATACCCGGGTATTAGGTTATGGGGCTAGGGTAAGGTTTAAGGTTTTTGGCGTAAGGGTTAAAATCACTGTCCAAAACCTTTGTAGGAAGTTTTTCCAACCTTTTGGAGTTAGTTAGAAAAAAAAAAGATAAATGAAAAAAATATTTGGGGTGTTCGGGCTTCCTGAAGGTAATACCCGGGTATTAGGTTATGGGGCTATGGTAAGGTTTAACGTTTTGGCGTTAGGGTTAAAATCACTGTCCAAAACCTTTGTAGGAACTCTTTAACAACCTTTTGGAGTTAGTTAGACCAAAAAAAAATGAAAAATTAAAAAAAATATTTGGGGTGTTCAGGCTTCCTAAAAGTAATACCCGGGTATTAGGTTATGGGGCTATGGTAAGGTTTAAGGTTTTTGGCGTTAGGGTTAAAATCACTGTCCAAAACCTTTGTAGGAACTCTTTTTCAACCTTTTGGAGTTAGTTAGACCAAAAAAAAAATGAAAAATGAAAAAAAAATATTTGGGGTGTTCGGGCTTCCTGAAGGTAATACCCGGGTATTAGGTTATGGGGCTAGGGTAAGGTTTAAGGTTTTTGGCGTTAGGGTTAAAATCACTGTCCAAAACCTTTGTAGGAACTCTTTTCCAACCTTTTGGAGTTAGTTAGACCAAAAAAAATGAAAAAAAAAAAAAAAAATATTTGGGGTTTTCGGGCTTCCTGAAAGTAATACCCGGGTATTAGGTTATGGGGCTATGGTAAGGTTTAAGGTTTTGGCGTTAGGGTTAAAATCACTGTCCAAAACCTTTGTAGGAACTCTTTTCCAACCTTTTGGAGTTAGTTAGACCAAAAAAAAATGAAAAATAAAAAAAAATATTTGGGGTGTTCAGGCTTCCTAAAAGTAATACCCGGGTATTAGGTTATGGGGCTATGGTAAGGTTTAAGGTTTTTGGCGTTAGGGTTAAAATCACTGTCCAAAACCTTTGTAGGAACTCTTTTCCAACCTTTTGGAGTTAGTTAGACCAAAAAAAAATGAAAAATGAAAAAAAAATATTTGGGGTGTTCGGGCTTCCTGAAGGTAATACCCGGGTATTAGGTTTTGGGGCTAGGGTAAGGTTTAAGGTTTTTGGCGTTAGGGTTAAAATCACTGTCCAAAACCTTTGTAGGAACTCTTTTCCAACCTTTTGGAGTTAGTTAGACCAAAAAAAAATGAAAAATGAAAAAAAAAATATTTGGGGTTTTCAGGCTTCCTGAAGGTAATTCCCGGGTATTAGTTTTGGGGCTAGGGTAAGGTTTAAGGTTTTTGGCGTTAGGGTTAAAATCACTGTCCAAAACCTTTGTAGGAACTCTTTTCCAACCTTTTGGAGTTAGTTAGACCAAAAAAAAAAAGAAAAATGAAAAAAAAATATTTGGGGTTTTCGGGCTTCCTAAAGTAATAAGTATTAGGTTATGGGGCTATGGTAAGGTTTAAGTTTTTGGCGTTAGGGTTAAAATCACTGTCCAAAACCTTTGTAGGAACTCTTTCCAACCTTTTGGAGTTAGTTAGACCAAAAAAAAATGAAAAATAAAAAAAAATATTTGGGGTGTTCAGGCTTCCTAAAAGTAATACCCGGGTATTAGGTTATGGGGCTATGGTAAGGTTTAAGGTTTTTGGCGTTAGGGTTAAAATCACTGTCCAAAACCTTTGTAGGAACTCTTTTCCAACCTTTTGGAGTTAGTTAGACCAAAAAAAAAAGAAAAATGGACAAAAAAATATTTGGGGTTTACGGGCTTCCTGAATGTAATACCCGGGTATTAGATTTTAAGGCCAGGGAAAGGTTTAAGTTTTTGGCGTTAGGGTTAAAATCACTGTCCAAAACCTTTGTAGGAACTCTTTTCCAACCTTTTGGAGTTAGTTAGACCAAAAAATATGAAAAAAGAAAAAAATATTTGGGGTTTTCGGGCTTCCTGAAAGTAATACCCGGGTATTAGGTTTTGGGGCTAGGGTAAGGTTTAAGGTTTTTGGCGTTAGGGTTAAAATCACTGTCCAAAACCTTTGTAGGAACTCTTTTCCAACCTTTTGGAGTTAGTTAGACCAAAAAAAAAAGAAAAATGAAAAAAAAATATTTGGGGTGTTCGGGCTTCCTAAGTAATACCCGGGTATTAGGTTATGGGGCTATGGTAAGGTTTAAGGTTTTGGCGTTAGGGTTAAAATCACTGTCCAAAACCTTTGTAGGAACTCTTTTCAACCTTTTGGAGTTAGTTAGACCAAAAAAAAATGAAAAATAAAAAAATATATTTGGGGTGTTCAGGCTTCCTGAAAGTAATACCTGGGTATTAGGTTATGGGGCTATGGTAAGGTTTAAGGTTTTTGGCGTTAGGGTTAAAATCACTGTCCAAAACCTTTGTAGAAACTCTTTTCCAACCTTTTGGAGTTAGACCAAAAAAAAACTAAAAATGAAAAAAAAAATATTTGGGGTTTTCGGGCTTCCTGAAGGTAATACCCGGGTATTAGGTTTTGGGGCTAGGGTAAGGTTTAAGGTTTTTGGCGTAGGGTTAAAATCACTGTCCAAAACCTTTGTAGGAACTCTTTTCCAACCTTTTGGAGTTAGTTAGACCAAAAAAAATGAAAAAAGAAAAAAATATATTTGGGGTTTTCGGGCTTCCTGAAGGTAATACCCGGGTATTAGGTTTTGGGGCTATGGTAAGGTTTAAGGTTTTTGGCGTTAGGGTTAAAATCACTGTCCAAAACCTTTGTAGGAACTCTTTTCCAACCTTTTGGAGTTAGTTAGAAAAAAAAAAAATGAAAAAGAAAAAAAATATTTGGGGTCTTCGGGCTTCCTGAAGGTAATACCCGGGTATTAGGTTATGGGGCTAGGGTAAGGTTTAAGGTTTTTGGCGTTAGGGTTAAAATCACTGTCCAAAACCTTTTTAGGAACATGTTTCAGACCTTTTGGAGTTAGTTAGACCAAAAAAAAAAAGATAAATGAAAAAAAAATATTTGGGGTGTTCGGGCTTCCTGAAGGTAATACCCGGGTATTAGGTTATGGGGCTAGGGTAAGGTTTAAGGTTTTTGGCGTTAGGGTTAAAATCACTGTCCAAAACCTTTGTAGGAACTCTTTTCCAACCTTTTGGAGTTAGTTAGACCAAAAAAAAAAGAAAAATGAAAAAAATATATATTTGGGGTGTTCGGGCTTCCTGAAGGTAATACCCGGGTATTAGGTTATGGGGCTAGGGTAAGGTTTAAGGTTTTTGGCGTAGGGTTAAAATCACTGTCCAAAACCTTTGTAGGAACTTTTCAACCTTTTGGAGTTGGTTACACCAAAAAAAATGTAAAATGAAAAAAAATATATTTGGGGTGTTCGGGCTTCCTGAAGGTAATACCCGGTATTAGGTTTGGGGCTAGGGTAAGGTTTAAGGTTTTTGGCGTTAGGGTTAAAATCACTGTCCAAAACCTTTGTAGGAACTCTTTTCCAACCTTTTGGAGTTAGTTAGACCAAAAAAAAATGAAAAATGAAAAAAAAAATATTTGGGGTGTTCGGGCTTCCTGAAGGTAATACCCGGGTATTAGGTTATGGGGCTAGGGTAAGGTTTAAGGTTTTTGGCGTTAGGGTTAAAATCACTGTCCAAAACCTTTGTAGGAACAATTTTCCAACCTTTTGGAGTTAGTTAGACCAAAAAAAATGAAAAATGAAAAAAAAAATATTTGGGGTTTTCGGGCTTCCTGAAGGTAATACCCGGGTATTAGGTTATGGGGCTAGGGTAAGGTTTAAGGTTTTTGGCGTTAGGGTTAAAATCACTGTCCAAAACCTTTGTAGGAACTCTTTTCCAACCTTTTGGAGTTAGTTAGACCAAAAAAAAAGATAAATGAAAAAAAAATATTTGGGGTGTTCGGGCTTCCTGAAGGTAATACCCGGGTATTAGGTTATGGGGCTAGGGTAAGGTTTAAGGTTTTTGGCGTAAGGGTTAAAATCACTGTCCAAAACCTTTTAGGAACATGTTTCAGACCTTTTGGAGTTGGTTACACCAAAAAAAATGTAAAATGAAAAAAAAATATTTGGGGTGTTCGGGCTTCCTGAAGGTAATATTAGGTTTGGGGCTAGGGTAAGGTTTAAGGTTTTTGGCGTTAGGGTTAAAATCACTGTCCAAAACCTTTGTAGGAACTCTTTTCCAACCTTTGGAGCAAGTTAGACCAAAAAAAAAGAAAAAAAAAAAATATATTTGGGGTGTTCGGGCTTCCTGAAGGTAATACCCGGGTATTAGGTTTTGGGGCTAGGGTAAGGTTTAAGGTTTTTGGCGTTAGGGTTAAAATCACTGTCCAAAACCTTTGTAGGAACTCTTTTCCAACCTTTTGGAGTTAGTTAGACCAAAAAAAATGTAAAATGAAAAAAAAAAAATATTTGGGGTGTTCGGGCTTCCTGAAGGTAATACCCGGGTATTAGGTTATGGGGCTAGGGTAAGGTTTAAGGTTTTTGGCGTTAGGGTTAAAATCACTGTCCAAAACCTTTGTAGGAACTCTTTTCCAACCTTTTGGAGTTAGTTAGACCAAAAAAAAAATGAAAAATGAAAAAATATATATTTGGGGTGTTCGGGCTTCCTGAAGGTAATACCCGGGTATTAGGTTTTGGGGCTAGGGTAAGGTTTAAGGTTTTTGGCGTTAGGGTTAAAATCATCTGTCCAATATTTTTTAAGGAACATGTTTCAGACCTTTTGGGAGTTAGTTAGACAAAAAAAAAAAAAAAAGAAAAAAAAATATTTGGGGTGTTCGGGCTTCCTGAAGGTAATACCCGGGTATTAGGTTTTGGGGCTAGGGTAAGGTTTAAGGTTTTTGGCGTTAGGGTTAAAATCACTGTCCAAAACCTTTTTAGGAACATGTTTCAGACCTTTTGGAGTTGGTAACACCAAAAAAAAATGTAAAATGAAAAAAAAATATTTGGGGTGTTCGGCTTCCTGAAGGTAATACCCGGGTATTAGGTTTTGGGGCTAGGGTAAGGTTTAAGGTTTTTGGCGTTAGGGTTAAAATCACTGTCCAAAACCTTTGTAGGAACACTTTTCCAACCTTTTGGAGTTAGTTAGACCAAAAAAAAAAGAAAAATGAAAAAAAAAATATTTGGGGTGTTCGGGCTTCCTGAAGGTAATACCCGGGTATTAGGTTATGGGGCTAGGGTAAGGTTTAAGGTTTTTGGCGTTAGGGTTAAAATCACTGTCCAAAACCTTTGTAGGAACTCTTTTCCAACCTTTTGGAGTTAGTTAGACCACAAAAAATGAAAAATGAAAAAAAAAATATATTTGGGGTGTTCGGGCTTCCTGAAGGTAATACCGGGGTATTAGGTTTTGGGGCTAGGGTAAGGTTTAAGGTTTTTGGCGTAAGGGTTAAAATCAGTGTCCAAAACCTTTTTAGGAACATGTTTCAGACCTTTTGGAGATGGTTACACCAAAAAAAATGTAAAATGAAAAAAAAAATATTTGGGGTGTTTGGGCTTCCTGAAGGTAATACCCGGGTATTAGGTTATGGGGCTAGGGTAAGGTTTAAGGTTTTTGGCGTGAGGGTTAAAATCACTGTCCAAAACCTTTGTAGGAAAGTCTTTTCCAACCTTTTGGAGTTAGTTAGACCAATAAAAAAATGAAAATTAAAAAAAAATATTTGGGGTGTTCGGGCTTCCTGAAGGTAATACCCGGGTATTAGGTTATGGGGCTAGGGTAAGGTTTAAGGTTTTTGGCGTTAGGGTTAAAATCACTGTCCAAAACCTTTGTAGGAAGTCTTTTCCAACCTTTTGGAGTTAGTTAGACCAAAAAAAAATGAAAAATGAAAAAAAAAAATATTTGGGGTGTTCGGGCTTCCTGAAGGTAATACCCGGGTATTAGGTTTTGGGGCTAGGGTAAGGTTTAAGGTTTTTGGCGTTAGGGTTAAAATCACTGTCCAAAACCTTTTAAGGAAAAAGATTCAGACCTTTTGGAGTTGGTAACACCAAAGAAAAATGTAAAATGAAAAAGAAAATATTTGGGGTGTTCAAGCTTCCTGAAGGTAATACCCGGGTATTAGGTTTTGGGGCTAGGGTAAGGTTTAAGGTTTTTGGCGTAAGGGTTAAAATCACTGTCCAAAACCTTTTTAGGAATGTATTTCAGGCCTTTTGGAGTTGGTTACACCAAAAAAAATGTAAAATGAAAAAAAATTTTTTGGGGTGTTCGGGCTTCCTGAAGGTAATACCCTTCAGGTTTAAGTATTAGGTTATGGGGCTAGGATTAGGTTTAAGGTTTTTGGCGTAAGGGTTAAAATCACTGTCCAATATTTTTTAAGGAACATGTTTCAGACCTTTTGGAGCTAGTTTGACCAAAAAAAAAAGAAAAAGAAAAAATATATATTTGGGGTGTTCGGGCTTCCTGAAGGTAATACCCGGGTATTAGGTTATGGGGCTAGGGTAAGGTTTAAGGTTTTTGGCGTGAGGGTTAAAATCACTGTCCAAAACCTTTGTAGGAAGTCTTTTCCAACCTTTTGGAGTTAGACAAAAAAAAAAAGATAAATGAAAAAAAAATATTTGGGGTGTTCGGGCTTCCTGAAGGTAAAACCCGGGTATTAGGTTATGGGGCTAGGGTAAGGTTTAAGGTTTTTGGCGTAAGGGTTAAAATCAGTGTCCAAAACCTTTTTAGGAACATGTTTCAGACCTTTTGGAGTTGGTTACACAAAAAAAAATGTAAAATGAAAAAAAATTTTTTTTGGGTGTTCGGGCTTCCTGAAGGTAATACTAGGTTTCTGGGCTAGGGTAATGTTTAAGGTTTTTGGCGTAAGGGTTAAAATCAATGTCCAAAACCTTTGTAGGAACTCTTTTCCAACCTTTGAGAGCAAGTTAGACCAAAAAAAAATGAAAAAGAAAAAATATATATTTGGGGTGTTCGGGCTTCCTGAAGGTAATACCCGGGTATTAGGTTATGGGGCTAGGGTAAGGTTTAAGGTTTTTGGCGTGAGGGTTAAAATCACTGTCCAAAACCTTTGTAGGAAGTCTTTTCCAACCTTTTGGAGTTAGACAAAAAAAAAAGATAAATGAAAAAAAAATATTTGGGGTGTTCGGGCTTCCTGAAGGTAATACCCGGGTATTAGGTTATGGGGCTAGGGTAAGGTTTAAGGTTTTTGGCGTAAGGGTTAAAATCACTGTCCAAAACCTTTTTAGGAACATGTTTCAGACCTTTTGGAGTTGGTTACACAAAAAAAAATGTAAAATGAAAAAAATTTTTTGGGGTGTTCGGGCTTCCTGAAGGTAATACCGGGTATTAGGTTTGGGGCTAGGGTAAGTTTAAGGTTTTTGGCGTAGGGTTAAAATCACTGTCCAAAACCTTTGTAGGAACTTTTCCAACCTTTTGGAGAGTTAGACCAAAAAAAATGAAAAAAAAAAAAAATATTTGGGGTGTTCGGGCTTCCTGAAGGTAATACCCGGGTATTAGGTTATGGGGCTAGGGTAAGGTTTAAGGTTTTTGGCGTTAGGGTTAAAATCACTGTCCAAAACCTTTGTAGGAAGTCTTTTCCAACCTTTTGGAGTTAGTTAGACCAAAAAAAAAGGAAAATGAAAAAATATATATTTGGGGTGTTCGGGCTTCCTGAAGGTAATACCCGGGTATTAGGTTTTGGGGCTAGGGTAAGGTTTAAGGTTTTTGGCGTATAGGGTTAAAATCACTGTCCAAAACCTTTGTAGGAATCTTTTCCAACCTTTTGGAGTTAGTTAGACCAAAAAAAATGAAAATGAAAAAAAAATATTTGGGGTGTTCGGGCTTCCTGAAGGTAATACCCGGGTATTAGGTTATGGGGCTAGGATTAGGTTTAAGGTTTTTGGCGTAAGGGTTAAAATCACTGTCCAATATTTTTTAAGGAACATGTTTCAGACCTTTTGGAGTTAGTTAGACCAAAAAAAAAAGAAAAAGAAAAAATATATATTTGGGGTGTTCGGGCTTCCTGAAGGTAATACCCGGGTATTAGGTTTTGGGGCTAGGGTAAGGTTTAAGGTTTTTGGCGTGAGGGTTAAAATCACTGTCCAAAACCTTTGTAGGAAGTCTTTTCCAACCTTTTGGAGTTAGACAAAAAAAAAAAGATAAATGAAAAAAAAATATTTGGGGTGTTCGGGCTTCCTGAAGGTAATACCCGGGTATTAGGTTATGGGGCTAGGGTAAGGTTTAAGGTTTTTGGCGTTAGGGTTAAAATCACTGTCCAAAACCTTTTTAGGAACTCTTTTCCAACCTTTTGGAGTTAGTTAGACCAAAAAAAATGTAAAATGAAAAAAATATATATTTGGGGTGTTCGGGCTTCCTGAAGGTAATACCCGGGTATTAGGTTATGGGGCTAGGGTAAGGTTTAAGGTTTTTGGCGTTAGGGTTAAAATCACTGTCCAAAACCTTTGTAGGAACTCTTTTCCAACCTTTTGGAGTTAGTTAGACCAAAAAAAAAAGAAAAATGAAAAAAAAATATATTTGGGGTGTTCGGGCTTCCTGAAGGTAATACCCGGGTATTAGGTTATGGGGCTAGGGTAAGGTTTAAGGTTTTTGGCGTTAGGGTTAAAATCACTGTCCAAAACCTTTTTAGGAACATGTTTCAGACCTTTTGGAGTTAGTTAGAAAAAAAAAAAAAAAATGAAAAAAAAATATTTGGGGTGTTCGGGCTTCCTGAAGGTAATACCCGGGTATTAGGTTATGGGGCTAGGGTAAGGTTTAAGGTTTTTGGCGTAAGGGTTAAAATCACTGTCCAAAACCTTTTTAGGAACATGTTTCAGACCTTTTGGAGTTAGTTAGACCAAAAAAAAAAGTAAAATAAAAAAAAATTATTTGGGGTGTTCGGGCTTCCTGAAGGTAATACCCGGGTATTTTTGGGGCTAGGGTAATGTTTAAGGTTTTTGGCGATAGGGTTAAAATCACTGTCCAAAACCTTTGTAGGAACTCTTTTCCAACCTTTTGGAGTTAGTTAGACCACAAAAAATGAAAAATAAAAAAAAAAATATTTGGGGTGTTCGGGCTTCCTGAAGGTAATACCCGGGTATTAGGTTATGGGGCTAGGGTAAGGTTTAAGGTTTTTGGCGTAAGGGTTAAAATCACTGTCCAAAACCTTTTTAGGAACATGTTTCAGACCTTTTGGAGTTGGTTACACCAAAAAAAAAAAAATGTAAAATGAAAAAAAAATATTTGGGGTGTTCGGGCTTCCTGAAGGTAATACCCGGGTATTAGGTTATGGGGCTAGGGTAAGGTTTAAGGTTTTTGGCGTGAGGGTTAAAATCACTGTCCAAAACCTTTGTAGGAAGTCTTTTCAACCTTTTGGAGTTAGTTAGACAAAAAAAAAAAAATGAAAAAAAAAAAAAATATTTGGGGTGTTCGGGCTTCCTGAAGGTAATACCCGGGTATTAGGTTATGGGGCTAGGGTAAGGTTTAAGGTTTTTGGCGTAAGGGTTAAAATCACTGTCCAAAACTTTTTAGGAACATGTTTCAGACCTTTTGGAGTTAGTTTGACCAAAAAAAAAAGAAAAATGAAAAAAATATATTTGGGGTGTTCGGGCTTCCTGAAGGTAATACCCGGGTATTAGGTTATGGGGCTAGGGTAAGGTTTAAGGTTTTTGGCGTGAGGGTTAAAATCACTGTCCAAAACCTTTGTAGGAACTCTTTTCCAACCTTTTGAGAGAGTTAGACAAAAAAAAAAAGAAAAATGAAAAAAATATTTGGGGTGTTCGGGCTTCCTGAAGGTAATACCCGGGTATTAGGTTATGGGGCTAGGGTAAGGTTTAAGGTTTTTGGCGTTAGGGTTAAAATCACTGTCCAATACCTTTTTAAGGAACTATGTTTCAGACCTTTTTGAGTTAGTTAGACCAAAAAAAAAGAAAAAAAAAAATATATATTTGGGGTGTTCGAGCTTCCTGAAGGTATTAGGTTATGGGGCTAGGGTAAGGTTTAAGGTTTACGGCGTAAGGGTTAAAATCACTGTCCAAAACCTTTTTAGGAACTCTTTTCCAACCTTTGGTGTTAGTTAGACAAAAAAAAAAAATTGTAAAATGAAAAAAAAATATTTGGGGTGTTCGGGCTTCCTGAAGGTAATACCCGGGTATTAGGTTATGGGGCTAGGGTAAGGTTTAAGGTTTTTGGCGTTAGGGTTAAAATCACTGTCCAAAACCTTTGTAGGAACATGTTTCAGACCTTTGGGAGTTAGTTAGACCAAAAAAAAAAAAAAATGAAAAAAAAATATTTGGGGTGTTCGGGCTTCCTGAAGGTAATACCCGGGTATTAGGTTATGGGGCTAGGGTAAGGTTTAAGGTTTTTGGCGTTAGGGTTAAAATCACTGTCCAAAACCTTTGTAGGAACTCTTTTCCAACCTTTTGGAGTTAGTTAGACCAAAAAAAAATGAAAAATGAAAAAAAAATTATTTGGGGTGTTCGGGCTTCCTGAAGGTAATACCCGGGTATTAGGTTATGGGGCTAGGGTAAGGTTTAAGGTTTTTGGCGTTAGGGTTAAAATCACTGTCCAAAACCTTTTTAGGAACATGTTTCAGACCTTTTGGAGTTAGTTAGACCAAAAAAAATGAAAAATAAAAAAAAAATATTTGGGGTGTTCGGGCTTCCTGAAGGTAATACCCGGGTATTAGGTTATGGGGCTAGGGTAAGGTTTAAGGTTTTTGGCGTTAGGGTTAAAATCACTGTCCAATATTTTTTAAGGAACATGTTTCAGACATTTTGGAGCTAGTTATCCAAAAAAAAAAAGAAAAAGAAAAAATATATATTTGGGGTGTTCGGGCTTCCTGAAGGTAATACCCGGGTATTAGGTTATGGGGCTAGGGTAAGGTTTAAGGTTTTTGGCGTTAGGGTTAAAATCACTGTCCAAAACCTTTGTAGGAACTCTTTTCCAACCTTTTGGAGTTAGTTAGACCAAAAAAAAATTGAAAATGAAAAAAAAATATTTGGGGTGTTCGGGCTTCCTGAAGGTAATACCCGGGTATTAGGTTTTGGGGCTAGGGTAAGGTTTAAGGTTTTTGGCGTTAGGGTTAAAATCACTGTCCAAAACCTTTTAGGAACAAGTTTCAGACCTTTTGGAGTTGGTTACACCAAAAAAAATGTAAAATGAAAAAAAAAAATCTTTGGGGTGTTCGGGCTTCCTGAAGGTAATACCCTTCAGGTTTAAGTATTAGGTTATGGGGCTAGGTAAGGTTTAAGGTTTTTGGCGTTAGGGTTAAAATCACTGTCCAAAATTTTTAAGGAACATGTTTCAGACCTTTTGGAGCTAGTTTGACCAAAAAAAAAAAGAAAAATAAAAAATATATATTTGGGGTGTTCGGGCTTCCTGAAGGTAATACCCGGGTATTAGGTAATGGGGCTAGGGTAAGGTTTAAGGTTTTTGGCGTTAGGGTTAAAATCACTGTCCAAAACCTTTTTAGGAACATGTTTCAGACCTTTTGGAGTTAGTTAGACCAAAAAAAAAGAAAAAAGAAAAAAAAATATTTGGGGTGTTCGGGCTTCCTGAAGGTAATACCCGGGTATTAGGTTATGGGGCTAGGGTAAGGTTTAAGGTTTTTGGCGTTAGGGTTAAAATCCCTGTCCAAAACCTTTGTAGGAACATGTTTCAGACCTTTTGGAGTTAGTTAGACCAAAAAAAAAAAAAAAAAAAAAATGAAAAAAATATATTTGGGGTGTTCGGGCTTCCTGAAGGTAATACCCAGGTATTAGGTTATGGGGCTAGGGAAGGTTTAATGTTTTTGGCGTTAGGGTTAAAATCACTGTCCAAAACCTTTTTAGGAACATGTTTCAGACCTTATGGAGTTAGTTACACAAAAAAAAAAATTGTAAAATTAAAAAGAAATATTTGGGGTGTTCGGGCTTCCTGAAGGTAATACCCGGGTATTAGGTTATGGGGCTAGGGTAAGGTTTAAGGTTTTTGGCATTAGGGTTAAAATCACTGTCCAAAACCTTTTTAGGAACTCTTTTCCAACCTTTTGGAGTTAGTTAGACCAAAAAAAAAAGAAAAATGAAAAAAAAATATTTGGGGTGTTCGGGCTTCCTGAAGGTAATACCCGGGTATTAGGTTATGGGGCTAGGGTAAGGTTTAAGGTTTTTGGCGTAAGGGTTAAAATCACTGTCCAAAACCTTTGTAGGAACTCTTTTCCAACCTTTTGGAGTTAGTTAGACCAAAAAAAAAAAAATGAAAAAAAAATGTTTGGGGTGTTCGGGCTTCCTGAAGGTAATACCCGGGTATTAGGTTATGGGGCTTTGGTAAGGTTTAAGGTTTTTGGCGTTAGGGTTAAAATCCCTGTCCAAAACCTTTGTAGGAACTCTTTTCCAACCTTTTGGTGTTAGTTAGACCTAAAAAAAAACGAAAAATGAAAAAAAAATGTTTGGGGTGTTCGGGCTTTCTGAAGGTTATACCCAGGTATTAGGTTATGGGGCTAGGGAAAGGTTTAATGTTTTTGGCGTTAGGGTTAAAATCACTGTCCAAAACCTTTTTAGGAACTCTTTTCCAACCTTTTGGAGTTAGTTACACAAAAAAAAAATTTGTAAAATTAAAAAGAAATATTTGAGGTGTTCGGGCTTCCTGAAGGTAATACCCAGGTATTAGGTTATGGGGCTTTGGTAAGGTTTAAGGTTTTTGGCATTAGGGTTAAAATCACTGTCCAAAACCTTTTAGGAACTCTTTTCCAACCTTTTGGAGTTAGTTAGTTAGACCTAAAAAAAACGAAAAATGAAAAAAAAATATTTGGGGTGTTCGGGCTTCCTGAAGGTAATACCCGGGTATTAGGTTATGGGGCTAGGGTAAGGTTTAAGGTTTTTGGCGTTAGGGTTAAAATCACTGTCCAAAACCTTTGTAGGAACATGTTTCAGACCTTATGGAGTTAGTTACACAAAAAAAAAAAATTGTAAAATTAAAAAAAAAATATTTGGGGTGTTCGGGCTTCCTGAAGGTAATACCCGGGTATTAGGTTATGGGGCTTTGGTAAGGTTTAAGGTTTTTGGCATTAGGGTTAAAATAACTGTCCAAAACCTTTTTAGGAACTCTTTTCCAACCTTTTGGAGTTAGTTAGTTAGACCTAAAAAAAAAGAAAAATGAAAAAAAAATGTTTGGGGTGTTGGGGCTTCCTGAAGGTAATTAAGTTATGGGGCTTTGGTAAGGTTTAAGGTTTTTGGCATTAGGGTTAAAATCACTGTCCAAAACCTTTGTAGGAACTCTTTTCCAACCTTTTGGAGTTAGTTAGACCAAAAAAAAAAGAAAAATGAAAAAAAAATATTTGGGGTGTTCGGGCTTCCTGAAGGTAATACCCGGGTATTAGGTTATGGGGCTAGGGTAAGGTTTAAGGTTTTTGGCATTAGGGTTAAAATCACTGTCCAAAACCTTTGTAGGAACTCTTTCCCAACCTTTTGGAGTTGGTTCCACCAAAAAAAAAAATTGTAAAATGAAAAAGAAATATTTGGGGTGTTCGGGCTTCCTGAAGGTAATACCCGGGTATTAGGTTATGGGGCTAGGGAAAGGTTTAAGGTTTTTGGCAATAGGGTTAAAATCCCTGTCCAAAACCTTTGTAGGAACATGTTTCAGACCTTTTGAGTTGGTTATACCAAAAAAAAAAAATGTAAAATGAAAAAAAAAGAATTGGGGTGTTTTGGCCTCCTGAAGGTAATACCCGTGTATTAGGTTATGGGGCTAGGGAAAGGTTTAATGTTTTTGGCGTTAGGGTTAAAATCACTGTCCAAAACCTTTTTAGGAACATGTTTAAGACCTTATGGAGTTAGTTACACCAAAAAAAAAATTGTAAAATGAAAAAGAAATATTTGGGGTGTTCGGGCTTCCTGAAGGTAATACCCGGGTATTAGGTTATGGGGCTTTGGTAAGGTTTAAGGTTTTTGGCGTTAGGGTTAAAATCACTGTCCAAAACCTTTGTAGGAACTCTTTTCCAACCTTTTGGAGTTAGTTAGACCAAAAAAAAAATGAAAAATGAAAAAAAAAATATTTGGGGTTTTCGGGCTTCCTGAAGGTAATACCCGGGTATTAGGTTATGGGGCTAGGGTAAGGTTTAAGGTTTTTGGTGTTAGGGTTAAAATCACTGTCCAAAACCTTTGTAGGAACTCTTTTCCAACCTTTTGGAGTTAGTTCCACCTAAAAAAAAAAAAAATGTAAAATGAAAAAAAAATATTTAGGGTGTTCGGGCAACCTGAAGGTAATACCCGGGTATTAGGTTATGGGGCTTTGGTAAGGTTTAAGGTTTTTATGCATTAGGGTTAAAATCACTGTCCAAAACCTTTGTAGGAACTCTTTTCCAAACTTTTGGAGTTAGTTAGACCTTAAAAAAAAACGAAAAATGAAAAAAAAATGTTTGGGGTGTTCGGGCTTCCTGAAGGTAATACCCGGGTATTAGGTTATGGGGCTAGGGTAAGGTTTAAGGTTTTTGGCGTTAGGGTTAAAATCACTGTCCAAAACCTTTGTAGGAACTCTTTTTCAACCTTTTGGAGTTAGTTAGACCAAAAAAAAAATGAAAAATGAAAAAAAAATATTTGGGGTGTTCGGGCTTCCTGAAGGTAATACCCGGGTATTAGGTTATGGGGCTAGGGTAAGGTTTAAGGTTTTTGGCGTTAGGGTTAAAATCACTGTCCAAAACCTTTGTAGGAACTCTTTTCCAACCTTTTGGAGTTAGTTAGACCAAAAAAAAAAAAAAATGAAAAATGAAAAAAAAATATTTGGGGTGTTCGGGCTTCCTGAAGGTAATACCCGGGTATTAGGTTATGGGGCTAGGGAAAGGTTTAATGTTTTTGGCGTTAGGGTTAAAATCACTGTCCAAAACCTTTTTAGGAACACCTTTTGGAGTTAGTTACAACAACAAAAAATTTTTGTAAAATGAAAAAGAAATATTTGGGGTGTTCGGGCTTCCTGAAGGTAATACCCGGGTATTAGGTTATGGGGCTTTGGTAAGGTTTAAGGTTTTTGGCATTAGGGTTAAAATCACTGTCCAAAACCTTTGTAGGAACTCTTTTCCAACCTTTTGGAGTTAGTTAGACCTAAAAAAAAAAACGAAAAATGAAAAAAAAAATGTTTGGGGTGTTCGGGCTTCCTGAAGGTAATACCCGGGTATTAGGTTATGGGGCTAGGGTAAGGTTTAAGGTTTTTGGCGTTAGGGTTAAAATCACTGTCCAAAACCTTTGTAGGAACTCTTTTTCAACCTTTTGGAGTTAGTTAGACCAAAAAAAAATGAAAAATGAAAAAAAAAATATTTGGGGTTTTCGGGCTTCCTGAAGGTAATACCCGGGTATTAGGTTATGGGGCTAGGGTAAGGTTTAAGGGTTTTGGCGTTAGGGTTAAAATCACTGTCCAAAACCTTTGTAGGAACTCTTTCCAACCTTTTGGAGTTAGTTAGACCCAAAAAAAAAAAATAAATAAAAAAAATATTTGGGGTGTTCGGTCTTCCTGAAGGTAATACCCGGGTATTAGGTTATGGGGCTAGGGTAAGGTTTAAGGTTTTTGGCGTTAGGGTTAAAATCACTGTCCAAAACCTTTTTAGGAACTCTTTTCCAACCTTTTGGAGTTAGTTACAACAAAAAAAAGTAAAATGAAAAAAAAAATATTTGGGGTGTTCGGGCTTCCTGAAGGTAATACCCGGGTATTAGGTTATGGGGCTAGGGAAAGGTTTAAGGTTTTTGGCGTAAGGGTTAAAATCACTGTCCAAAACCTTTGTAGGAACTCTTTTCCAACCTTTTGGAGTTAGTTAAGACCAAAAAAAAATGAAAATAAAAAAAAATATTTGGGGTGTTCGGGCTTCCTGAAGGTAATACCCGGGTATTAGGTTATGGGGCTTTGGTAAGGTTTAAGGTTTTTGGCATTAGGGTTAAAATCACTGTCCAAAACCTTTGTAGGAACATGTTTCAGACCTTTTGGAGTTAGTTAGACCAAAAAAAAAAAATGTAAAATGAAAAAAAAATATTTGGGGTGTTCGGGCTTCCTGAAGGTAATACCCGGGTATTAGGTTATGGGGCTAGGGTAAGGTTTAAGGTTTTTGGCATTAGGGTTAAAATCACTGTCCAAAACCTTTGTAGGAACTCTTTTCCAACCTTTTGGAGTTAGTTAGACCCAAAAAAAATGAAAAATGAAAAAAAAATATTTGGGGTTTTCGGGCTTCCTGAAGGTAATACCCGGGTATTAGGTTATGGGGCTAGGGTAAGGTTTAAGGTTTTTGGAGTTAGGGTTAAAATCACTGTCCTAAACCTTTGTAGGAACTCTTTTCCAACCTTTTGGAGTTAGTTAGACCCAAAAGAAATGAAAAATGAAAAAAAAAATATTTGGGGTGTTCGGGCTTCCTGAAGGTAATACCCGGGTATTAGGTAATGGGGCTAGGGTCAGGTTTAAGGTTTTTGGCATGAGGGTTAAAATCACTGTCCAAAACCTTTGTAGGAACTCTTTTCCAACCTTTTGGAGTTAGTTAGACCAAAAAAAAAAAATGTAAAATGAAAAAAAGATTTTCGGCGTGTTCGGGCTTCCTGAAGGTAATACCCGGGTATTAGGTTATGGGGCTAGGGTAAGGTTTAAGGTTTTTGGCGTTAGGGTTAAAATCACTGTCCAAAACCTTTGTAGGATCTTTTCCAACCTTTTGGAGTTAGTTCCACCAAAAAAAAAAAAAGTAAAATGAAAAGAAATATTTGGGGTGTTCGGGCTTCCTGAAGGTAATACCCGGGTATTAGGTTATGGGGCTAGGGTAAGGTTTAAGGTTTTTGGCGTTAGGGTTAAAATCACTGTCCAAAACCTTTGTAGGAACTCTTTTCAACCTTTTGGAATTAGTTAGACCAAAAGAAATGAAAAATGAAAAAAAAATATTTGGGGTGTTCGGGCTTCCTGAAGGTAATACCCGGGTATTAGGTTATGGGGCTAGGGTAAGGTTTAAGGTTTTTGGCGTTAGGGTTAAAATCACTGTCCAAAACCTTTGTAGGAACTCTTTTCCAACATTTTGTAGTTAGTTAGACCAAAAAATAACGAAAAATGAAAAAAAAAAAATATTTGGGGTGTTCGGGCTTCCTGAAGGTAATACCCGGGTATTAGGTTATGGGGCTAGGGTAAGGTTTAAGGTTTTTGGCGTTAGGGTCAAAATCACTGTCCAAAACCTTTGTAGGAACTCTTTTCCAACCTTTTGGAGTTAGTTAGACCAAAAAAAAATGAAAAATGAAAAAAAAATATTTGGGGTGTTCGGGCTTCCTGAAGGTAATACCCGGGTATTAGGTTATGGGGCTAGGGTAAGGTTTAAGGTTTTTGGCGTTAGGGTTAAAATCACTGTCCAAAACCTTTGTAGGAACTCTTTTCCAACCTTTTGGAGTTAGTTAGACCAAAAAAAATGAAAAATGAAAAAAAAATATTTGGGGTGTTCGGTCTTCCTGAAGGTAATACCCGGGTATTAGGTTATGGGGCTAGGGTCAGGTTTAAGGTTTTTGGCGTTAGGGTTAAAATCACTGTCCAAAACCTTTGTAGGAACTCTTTTCCAACCTTTTGGAGTTAGTTACACCAAAAAAAAATGAAAAATGAAAAAAAAATATTTGGGGTGTTCGGGCTTCCTGAAGGTAATACCCGGGTATTAGGTTATGGGGCTAGGGAAAGGTTTAATGTTTTTGGCGTTAGGGTTAAAATCACTGTCCAAAACCTTTGTAGGAACTCTTTTCCAACCTTTTGGAGTTAGTTAGACCAAAAAAAAAACGAAAAATGAAAAAAAAAAATATTTGGGGTGTTCGGGCTTCCTGAAGGTAATACCCGGGTATTAGGTTATGGGGCTAGGGTAAGGTTTAAGGTTTTTGGCGTTAGGGTTAAAATCACTGTCCAAAACCTTTGTAGGAACTCTTTTCCAACCTTTTGGAGTTAGTTAGACCAAAAAAAAAAGTAAAATGAAAAAAAAATATTTGGGGTGTTCGGGCTTCCTGAAGGTAATACCCGGGTATTAGGTTATGGGGCTAGGGTAAGGTTTAAGGTTTTTGGCGTTAGGGTTAAAATCACTGTCCAAAACCTTTGTAGGAACTCTTTTCCAACCTTTTGGAGTTAGTTAGACCCAAAAGAAATGAAAAATGAAAAAATATATATTTGGGGTTTTCGGGCTTTCTGAAGGTAATACCCGGGTATTAGGTTATGGGGCTAGGGTAAGGTTTAAGGTTTTTGGCGTTAGGGTTAAAATCACTGTCCAAAACCTTAGTAGGAACTCTTTTCCAACCTTTTGGAGTTAGTTAGACCAAAAAAAAAAAAATGAAAATGAAAAAAAATATTTGGGGTGTTCGGGCTTCCTGAAGGTAATACCCGGTATTAGGTTATGGGGCTAGGGTAAGGTTTAAGGTTTTTGGCGTTAGGGTTAAAATCACTGTCCAAAACCTTTGTAGGAACTCTTTTCCAACCTTTTGGAGTTAGTTAGACCAAAAAAAAAAAAAAAAAAAAAAAATATTTGGGGTTTTCGGGCTTCCTGAAGGTAATACCCGGGTATTAGGTTATGGGGCTAGGGTAAGGTTTAAGGTTTTTGGCGTTAGGGTTAAAATCACTGTCCAAAACCTTTGTAGGAACTCTTTTCCAACCTTTTGGAGTTAGTTAGACCACAAAAAAAAAAAAAAAAATATTTGGGGTGTTCGGGCTTCCTGAAGGTAATACCCGGGTATTAGGTTATGGGGCTAGGGTAAGGTTTAAGGTTTTTGGCGTTAGGGTTAAAATCACTGTCCAAAACCTTTGTAGGAACTCTTTTCCAACCTTTTGGAGTTAGTTAGACCCAAAAAAAAAGAAAATGAAAAAAAAAAAATATTTGGGGTGTTCGGGCTTCCTGAAGGTAATACCTGGGTATTAGGTTATGGGGCTAGGGTAAGGTTTAAGGTTTTTGGCATTAGGGTTAAAATCACTGTCCAAAACCTTTGTAGGAACTCTTTTCCAACCTTTTGGAGTTAGTTAGACCAAAAAAAAAACAAAAATGAAAAAAAAAATATTTGGGGTGTTCGGCTTCCTGAAGGTAATACCCGGGTATTAGGTTATGGGGCTAGGGAAGGTTTAAGGTTTTTGGCGTTAGGGTTAAAATCACTGTCCAAAACCTTTGTAGGAACTCTTTTTCAACCTTTGGAGTTAGTTAGACCAAAAAAAAAAAAAATGAAAAAAAAATATTTGGGGTGTTCGGGCTTCCTGAAGGTAATACCCGGGTATTAGGTTATGGGGCTAGGGTAAGGTTTAAGGTTTTTGGCATTAGGGTTAAAATCACTGTCCAAAACCTTTGTAGGAACTCTTTTCCAACCTTTTGGAGTTAGTTAGACCAAAAAAAAAATGAAAAATGAAAAAAAAATATTTGGGGTGTTCGGGCTTCCTGAAGGTAATACCCGGGTATTAGGTTATGGGGCTAGGGTAAGGTTTAAGGTTTTTGGCGTTAGGGTTAAAATCACTGTCCAAAACCTTTGTAGGAACCCTTTTCCAACCTTTTGGAGTCAGTTAGACCCAAAAGAAATGAAAAATGAAAAAAAAAAATATTTGCGGTGTTTGGCTTTCCTGAAGGTAATACCCGGGTATTAGGTTATGGGGCTAGGGTAAGGTTTAAGGTCTTTGGAGTTAGGGTTAAAATCACTGTCCAAAACCTTTGTAGGAACTCTTTCCCAACCTTTTGGAGTTAGTTAGACCCAAAAGAAATCAAAATGAAAAAAAAATATTTGGGGTGTTCGGCTTCCTGAAGGTAATACCCGGGTATTAGGTTATGGGGCTAGGGTAAGGTTTAAGGTTTTTGGCGTTAGGGTTAAAATCACTGTCCAAAACCTTTTAGGAACTGTTTCAACCTTTTGGAGTTAGTTACACCAAAAAAAAAATTAAAATGAAAAAAAAATATTTGGGGTGTTCGGGCTTCCTGAAGGTAATACCCGGGTATTAGGTTATGGGGCTAGGTAAAGGTTTAAGGTTTTTGGCGTTAGGGTTAAAATCACTGTCCAAAACCTTTGTAGGAACTCTTTTCCAACCTTTTGGAGTTAGTTAGACCAAAAAAAAAAAAAAAAAAAAAAAAATATTTGGGGTGTTCGGGCTTCCTGAAGGTAATACCCGGGTATTAGGTTATGGGGCTAGGGTAAGGTTGAAGGTTTTTGGCATTAGGGTTAAAATCACTGTCCAAAACCTTTGTAGGAACTCTGTTTCAACCTTTTGGAGTTAGTTAACCAAAAAAAAAAAAAAAAATGAAAAAAAAATATTTGGGGTGTTCGGGCTTCCTGAAGGTAATACCCGGGTATTAGGTTATGGGGCTAGGGTAAGGTTTAAGGTTTTTGGCGTTAGGGTTAAAATCACTGTCCAAAACCTTTGTAGGAACTCTTTTTCAACCTTTTGGAGTTAGTTAGACCAAAAAAAAAATGAAAAATGAAAAAAAAATATTTGGGGTGTTCAAGCTTCCTGAAGGTAATACCCGGGTATTAGGTTATGGGGCTAGGGTAAGGTTTAAGGTTTTTGGGTTAGGGTTAAAATCACTGTCCAAAACCTTTGTAGGAACTCTTTTCCAACCTTTTGGAGTTAGTTAGACCCAAAAAAAATGAAAAATGAAAAAAAAATATTTGGGGTGTTCGGGCTTCCTGAAGGTAATACCCGGGTATTAGGTTATGGGGCTAGGGTAAGGTTTAAGGTTTTTGGCGTTAGGGTTAAAATCACTGTCCAAAACCTTTGTAGGAACTCTTTCCAACCTTTTGGAGTTAGTTAGACCAAAAAAAATGAAAAATGAAAAAAAATATATTTGGGGTTTCGGGCTTCCTGAAGGTAATACCCGGGTATTAGGTTATGGGGCTAGGGTAAGGTTTAAGGTTTTTGGCGTTAGGGTTAAAATCACTGTCCAAAACCTTTGTAGGAACTCTTTTCCAACCTTTTGGAGTTAGTTCCACCAAAAAAAAAAAAAGTAAAATGAAAAAAAATATTTGGGGTGTTCGGGCTTCCTGAAGGTAATACCCGGGTATTAGGTTATGGGGCTAGGGTAAGGTTTAAGGTTTTTGGCGTTAGGGTTAAAATCACTGTCCAAAACCTTTGTAGGAACTCTTTTCAACCTTTTGGAATTAGTTAGATCCAAAAAAATGAAAAATGAAAAAAAAATATTTGGGGTTTTCGGGCTTCCTGAAGGTAATACCCGGGTATTAGGTTATGGGGCTAGGGTAAGGTTTAAGGTTTTTGAGTTAGGGTTAAACTCACTGTCCAAAACCTTTGTAGGAACTCTTTTCCAACCTTTTGGAGTTAGTTAGACCAAAAAAAAACGAAAAATGAAAAAAAAAATGTTTGGGGTGTTCGGGCTTCCTGAAGGTAATACCCGGGTATTAGGTTATGAGGCTAGGGTAAGGTTTAAGGTTTTTGGCGTTAGGGTTAAAATCACTGTCCAAAACCTTTGTAGGAACTCTTTTCCAACCTTTTGGAGTTAGTTAGACCCAAAAAAAAATTAAAAATTAAAAAACAATATTTGGGGTGTTCGGGCTTCCTGAAGGTAATACCCGGGTATTAGGTTATGGGGCTAGGGTAAGGTTTAAGGTTTTTGGCGTTAGGGTTAAAATCACTGTCCAAAACCTTTGCAGGAACTCTTTTCTAACCTTTTGGAGTTAGTTAGACCAAAAAAAAAAAAAAGAAATGAAAAAAAAATATTTGGGGTGTTCGGTCTTCCTGAAGGTAATACCCGGGTATTAGGTTTTGGGGCTAGGGAAAGGTTTAAGGTTTTTGGCGTTAGGGTTAAAATCACTGTCCAAAACCTTTTTAGGAACTCTTTTCCAACCTTTTGGAGTTAGTTTGACCAAAAAAAAAACAAAAAATGAAAAAAAAAAAAAATATTTGGGGTGTTCGGTCTTCCTGAAGGTAATACCCGGGTATTAGGTTATGGGGCTAGGGAAAGGTTTAAGGTTTTTGGCGTTAGGGTTAAAATCACTGTCCAAAACCTTTGTAGGAACTCTTTTCCAACCTTTTGGAGTTAGTTACCAAAAAAAAAAAAAAAAGATTTGGGGTTTCGGCTTCCTGAAGGTAATACCCGGGTATTAAAAAAGTTTTTGGTTAGGGTTAAAATCATGTCCAAAACCTTTAGGAAAACTTTGGAATGTTTGGGGTGTTCGGGCTTCCTGAAGGTAATACCCGGGTATTAGGTTATGGGGCTAGGGTAAGGTTTAAGGTTTTTGGCGTTAGGGTTAAAATCACTGTCCAAAACCTTTGTAGGAACTCTTTTCCAACCTTTTGGAGTTAGTTAGACCAAAAAAAAAAGAAAAATGAAAAAAAAATATTTGGGGTGTTCGGGCTTCCTGAAGGTAATACCCGGGTATTAGGTTATGGGGCTAGGGTAAGGTTTAAGGTTTTTGGCGTTAGGGTTAAAATCACTGTCCAAAACCTTTTAGGAACTCTTTTCAACCTTTTGGAGTTAGTTAGACCCAAAAAAATGAAAAATGAAAAAATAAATATTTGGGGTGTTCGGGCTTCCTGAAGGTAATACCCGGGTATTAGGTTATGGGGCTAGGGTAAGGTTTAAGGTTTTTGGCGTTAGGGTTAAAATCACTGTCCAAAACCTTTGTAGGAACTCATTTCCAACCTTTTGGAGTTAGTTACACAAAAAAAAAAAAGTAAAATGAAAAAGAAATATTTGGGGTGTTCGGGCTTCCTGAAGGTAATACCCGGGTATTAGGTTATGGGGCTAGGGTAAGGTTTAAGGTTTTTGGCGTAAGGGTTAAAATCACTGTCCAAAACCTTTGTAGGAACTCTTTTCCAACCTTTTGGAGTTAGTTTCACAAAAAAAAAAAAGTAAAATGAAAAAAAAAATATTTGGGGTGTTCGGGCTTCCTGAAGGTAATACCCGGGTATTAGGTTATGGGGCTAGGGTAAGGTTTAAGGTTTTTGGCGTTAGGGTTAAAATCACTGTCCAAAACCTTTGTAGGAACTCTTTTCCAACCTTTTGGAGTTAGTTAGACCTTAAAAAAAAACGAAAAATGAAAAAAAAAAGTTTGGGGTGTTCGGGCTTCCTGAAGGTAATACCCGGGTATTAGGTTATGGGGCTAGGGTAAGGTTTAAGGTTTTTGGCGTTAGGGTTAAAATCACTGTCCAAAACCTTTGTAGGAACTCTTTTCCAACCTTTTGGAGTTAGTTAGACCCAAAAGAAATGAAAAAGGAAAAAAAATATTTGGGGTGTTTGGCTTCCTGAAGGTAATACCCGGGTATTAGGTTATGGGGCTAGGGTAAGGTTTAAGGTTTTTGGCGTTAGGGTTAAAATCACTGTCCAAAACCTTTTTAGGAACTGTTTCAGACCTTTTGGAGTTAGTTACACCAAAAAAAAAAAAAAAAATGAAAAAAAAATATTTGGGGTGTTCGGGCTTCCTGAAGGTAATACCCGGGTATTAGGTTATGGGGCTAGGGTAAGGTTTAAGGTTTTTGGCGTTAGGGTTAAAATCACTGTCCAAAACCTTTTTAGGAACATGTTTCAGACCTTTTGGAGTTAGTTAGACCAAAAAAAAATGTAAAATGAAAAAAAAATATTTGGGGTGTTCGGGCTTCCTGAAGGTAATACCCGGGTATTAGGTTATGGGGCTAGGGTAAGGTTTAAGGTTTTTGGCATTAGGGTTAAAATCACTGTCCAAAACCTTTGTAGGAACTCTTTTCCAACCTTTTGGAGTTAGTTAGACCAAAAAAAAAAACGAAAAATGAAAAAAAAAAATGTTTGGGGTGTTCGGGCTTCCTGAAGGTAATACCCGGGTATTAGGTTATGGGGCTAGGGTAAGGTTTAAGGTTTTTGGCGTTAGGGTTAAAATCACTGTCCAAAACCTTTTTAGGAACTCTTTTCCAACCTTTTGGAGTTAGTTAGACCTTAAAAAAAAAACGAAAAATGAAAAAAAAATGTTTGGGGTGTTCGGGCTTCCTGAAGGTAATACCCGGGTATTAGGTTATGGGGCTAGGGTAAGGTTTAAGGTTTTTGGCGTTAGGGTTAAAATCACTGTCCAAAACCTTTGTAGGAACTCTTTTCAAACCTTTTGGAATTAGTTAGACCCAAAAGAAATGAAAAATGAAAAAAAAATGTTTGGGGTGTTCAGGCTTCCTGAAGGTAATACCCAGGTATTAGGTTATGTGGCTAGGGTAAGGTTTAAGGTTTTTGGCGTTAGGGTTAAAATCACTGTCCAAAACCTTTGTAGGAACTCTTTTCCAACCTTTTGGAGTTAGTTTCACAAAAAAAAAAAAGTAAAATGAAAAAGAAATATTTGGGGTGTTCGGGCTTCCTGACGGTAATACCCCGGTATTAGGTTATGGGGCTAGGGTAAGGTTTAAGGTTTTTGGCGTAAGGGTTAAAATCACTGTCCAAAACCTTAGTAGGAACTCTTTTCCAACATTTTTGGAGTTAATTAGAGCAAAAAAAAGAAAAAAGAAAAAAAAATATTTGGGGTGTTCGGGCTTCCTGAAGGTAATACCCGTGTATTAGGTTATGGTGCTAGGGTAAGGTTTAAGGTTTTTGGCGTTAGGGTTAAAATCACTGTCCAAAACCTTTGTAGGAACTCTTTTCCAACCTTTTGGAGTTAGTTAGACCCAAAAAAAACGAAAAATGAAAAAAAAATGTTTGGGGTGTTTAGGCCTCCTGAAGGTAATACCGGGGTATTAGGTTATGGGGCTAGGGTAAGGTTTAAGGTTTTTGGCGTTAGGGTTAAAATCACTGTCAAAAACCTTTTTAGAAACATGTTTCAGACCTTATGGAGTTAGTTACACCAAAAAAAAAATTGTAAAATGAAAAAGAAATATTTGGGGTGTTCGGGCTTCCTTAAGGTAATACCCGGGTATTAGGTTATGGGGCTAGGGTAAGGTTTAAGGTTTTTGGAGTTAGGGTTAAAATCACTGTCCAAAACCTTTGTAGGAACTCTTTTCCAACCTTTTGGAGTTAGTTAGACCTAAAAAAATGAAAAATGAAAAAAAAATATTTGGGGTGTTCGGGCTTCCTGAAGGTAATACCCGGGTATTAGGTTATGGGGCTAGGGTAAGGTTTAAGGTTTTTGGCGTTAGGGTTAAAATCACTGTCCAAAACCTTTGTAGGAACTCCTTTCCAACCTTTTGGAGTTAGTTAAACCAAAAAAAAACGAAAAATGAAAAAAAAATGTTTGGGGTGTTCGGGCTTCCTGAAGGTAATACCCGGGTATTAGGTTATGGGGCTAGGTAAAGGTTTAAGTTTTTTGGCATTAGGGTTAAAATCACTGTCCAAAACCTTTTTAGGAACTCTTTTCCAACCTTTTGGAGTTAGTTAGACCAAAAAAAAAACGAAAAATGAAAAAAAAATGTTTGGGGTGTTCGGGCTTCCTGAAGGTAATACCCGGGTATTAGGTTATGGGGCTAGGGTAAGGTTTAAGGTTTTTGGCGTTAGGGTTAAAATCACTGTCCAAAACCTTTTTAGGAACTCTTTTCCAACCTTTTGGAGTTAGTTAGTTAGACCTAAAAAAAACGAAAAATGAAAAAAAAATGTTTGGGGTGTTCGGGCTTCCTGAAGGTAATACCCAGGTATTAGGTTATGGGGCTAGGGTAAGGTTTAAGGTTTTTGGCGTTAGGGTTAAAATCACTGTCCAAAACCTTTTTAGGAACTCTTTTCCAACCTTTTGGAGTTAGTTACACAAAAAAAAAAATTTGTAAAATTAAAAAGAAATATTTGAGGTGTTCGGGCTTCCTGAAGGTAATACCCGGGTATTAGGTTATGGGGCTTTGGTAAGGTTTAAGGTTTTTGGCATTAGGGTTAAAATCCCTGTCCAAAACCTTTGTAGGAACATGTTTCAGACCTTATGGAGTTAGTTAGACCTAAAAAAAACGAAAAATGAAAAAAAAAGTTTGGGGTGTTCGGGCTTCCTGAAGGTAATACCCAGGTATTAGGTTATGGGGCTAGGGTAAGGTTTAAGGTTTTTGGCGTTAGGGTTAAAATCACTGTCCAAAACCTTTTTAGGAACATGTTTCAGACCTTTGGAGTTAGTTAGACCAAAAAAAAAAAAAAAATAAAAAAAAATGTTTGGGGTGTTCGGGCTTCCTGAAGGTAATACCCAGGTATTAGGTTATGGGGCTTTGGTAAGGTTTAAGGTTTTTGGCATTAGGGTTAAAATAACTGTCCAAAACCTTTTTAGGAACTCTTTTCCAACCTTTTGGAGTTAGTTAGTTAGACCTAAAAAAAACGAAAAATGAAAAAAAAATATTTGGGGTGTTCGCTTCCTGGGTAATACCTGAAGGTATTAGGTTATGGGGCTTTGGTAAGGTTTAAGGTTTTTGGCGTTAGGGTTAAAATCACTGTCCAAAACCTTTGTAGGAACTCTTTTCCAACCTTTTGGAGTTAGTTAGACCAAAAAAAAAAAAAATGAAAAAAAAATGTTTGGGGTGTTCGGGCTTCCTGAAGGTAATACCCGGGTATTAGGTTATGGGGCTTTGGTAAGGTTTAAGGTTTTTGGCGTTAGGGTTAAACTCACTGTCCTAAACCTTTGTAGGAACTCTTTTCCAACCTTTTGGAGTTAGTTACACCAAAAAAAAAATGAAAAATGAAAAAAAAAATATTTGGGGTGTTCGGGCTTCCTGAAGGTAATACCCGGGTATTAGGTTATGGGGCTAGGGTAAGGTTTAAGGTTTTTGACGTTAGGGTTAAAATCACTGTCCAAAACCTTTGTAGGAACATGTTTCAGACCTTTTGGAGTTAGTTAGACCAAAAAAAAATGAAAAATGAAAAAAAAATATTTGGGGTGTTCGGGCTTCCTGAAGGTAATACCCGGGTATTAGGTTATGGGGCTAGGGAAAGGTTTAATGTTTTTGGCGTTAGGGTTAAAATCACTGTCCAAAACCTTTTTAGGAACATGTTTAAGACCTTATGGAGTTAGTTCCACCAAAAAAAAAAAATGTAAAATGAAAAAGAAATATTTGGGGTGTTAGGGCTTCCTGAAGGTAATATCCGGGTATTAGGTAATGGGGCTAGGGTAAGGTTTAAGGTTTTTGACGTTAGGGTTAAAATCACTGTCCAAATCCTTTGTAGGAACTCTTTTCCAACCTTTTGGAGTTAGTTAGACCAAAAAAAAAAAAATGAAAAATGAAAAAAAAATATTTGGGGTGTTCGGGCTTCCTGAAGGTAATACCCGGGTATTAGGTTATGGGGCTAGGGAAAGGTTTAATGTTTTTGGCGTTAGGGTTAAAATCACTGTCCAAAACCTTTTTAGGAACATGTTTCAGACCTTTTGGAGTTAGTTCACAAAAAAAAAAATGTAAAATGAAAAAAAATATTTGGGGTGTTCGGGCTTCCTGAAGGTAATACCCGGGTATTAGGTTATGGGGCTTGGTAAGGTTTAAGGTTTTTTGTTAGGGTTAAAATCACTGTCCAAAACCTTTGTAGGAAACTCTTTTCCAACCTTTTGGAGTTAGTTAGACCTTAAAAAAAAAAACGAAAAATGAAAAAAAAATGTTTGGGGTGTTCGGGCTTCCTGAAGGTAATACCCGGGTATTAGGTTATGGGGCTAGGGTAAGGTTTAAGGTTTTTGACGTTAGGGTTAAAATCACTGTCCAAAACCTTTGTAGGAACTCTTTTCCAACCTTTTGGAGTTAGTTAGACCCAAAAGAAATGAAAAATGAAAAAAAATTTATTTGGGGTTTTCGGGCTTCCTGAAGGTAATACCCGGGTATTAGGTTATGGGGCTAGGGTAAGGTTTAAGGTTTTTGGTGTTAGGGTTAAAATCACTGTCCAAAACCTTTGTAGGAACTCTTTCCCAACCTTTTGGAGTTGGTTCCACCAAAAAAAAAAAATTGTAAAATGAAAAAGAAATATTTGGGGTGTTCGGGCTTCCTGAAGGTAATACCCGGGTATTAGGTTATGGGGCTAGGGAAAGGTTTAAGGTTTTTGGCAATAGGGTTAAAATCCCTGTCCAAAACCTTTGTAGGAACATGTTTCAGACCTTTTGAGTTGGTTATACCAAAAAAAAAAAAATGTAAAATGAAAAAAAAAGAATTGGGGTGTTTTGGCCTCCTGAAGGTAATACCCGTGTATTAGGTTATGGGGCTAGGGAAAGGTTTAATGTTTTTGGCGTTAGGGTTAAAATCACTGTCCAAAACCTTTTTAGGAACATGTTTAAGACCTTATGGAGTTAGTTACACCAAAAAAAAAATTGTAAAATGAAAAAGAAATATTTGGGGTGTTCGGGCTTCCTGAAGGTAATATCCGGGTATTAGGTTATGGGGCTTTGGTAAGGTTTAAGGTTTTTGGCATGAGGGTTAAAATCACTGTCCAAAACCTTTGTAGGAACTCTTTTCCAACCTTTTGGAGTTAGTTAGACCCAAAAGAAATGAAAAATGAAAAAAAATATATTTGGGGTTTTCGGGCTTCCTGAAGGTAATACCCGGGTATTAGGTTATGGGGCTAGGGTAAGGTTTAAGGTTTTTGGTGTTAGGGTTAAAATCACTGTCCAAAACCTTTGTAGGAACTCTTTTCCAACCTTTTGGAGTTAGTTCCACCTAAAAAAAAAAAAAATGTAAAATGAAAAAGAAATATTTAGGGTGTTCGGGCAACCTGAAGGTAATACCCGGGTATTAGGTTATGGGGCTTTGGTAAGGTTTAAGGTTTTTATGCATTAGGGTTAAAATCACTGTCCAAAACCTTTGTAGGAACTCTTTTCCAAACTTTTGGAGTTAGTTAGACCTTAAAAAAAAACGAAAAATGAAAAAAAAATGTTTGGGGTGTTCGGGCTTCCTGAAGGTAATACCCGGGTATTAGGTTATGGGGCTAGGGTAAGGTTTAAGGTTTTTGGCGTTAGGGTTAAAATCACTGTCCAAAACCTTTGTAGGAACTCTTTTCCAACCTTTTGGAGTTAGTTAGACCCAAAAAAGAAATGAAAAAGGAAAAAAAATATTTGGTGTGTTTGGTCTTCCTGAAGGTAATACCCGGTTATAAGGTAATGGGGCTAGGGTCAGGTTGAAGGTTTTTGGCATGAGGGTTAAAATCCCTGTCCAAAACCTTTGTCGGAACTCTTTTCCAACCTTTTGGAGTTAGTTGGACCAAAAAGAAAACAAAAAATGAAAAAAAAAATATTTGGGGTGTTCGGTCTTCCTGAAGGTAATACCCGGGTATTAGGTTATGGGGCTAGGGAAAGGTTTAATGTTTTTGGCGTTAGGGTTAAAATCACTGTCCAAAACCTTTTTAGGAACATTTTTCAGATCTTATGGAGTTAGTTACACCAAAAAAAAAATTTTTGTAAAATGAAAAAGAAATATTTGGGGTGTTCGGGCTTCCTGAAGGTAATACCCGGGTATTAGGTTATGGGGCTTTGGTAAGGTTTAAGGTTTTTATGCATTAGGGTTAAAATCGCTGTCCAAAACCTTTGTAGGAACTCTTTTCCAACCTTTTGGAGTTAGTTAGACCTAAAAAAAAAAACGAAAAATGAAAAAAAAAATGTTTGGGGTGTTCGGGCTTCCTGAAGGTAATACCCGGGTATTAGGTTATGGGGCTAGGGTAAGGTTTAAGGTTTTTGGCGTTAGGGTTAAAATCACTGTCCAAAACCTTTGTAGGAACTCTTTTCAAACCTTTTGGAATTAGTTAGACCCAAAATAAATGAAAAATGAAAAAAAAATACATGGGGTTTTCAAGCTTTCTGAAGGTAATACCCGGGTATTAGGTTATGGGGCTTGGGTAAGGTTTAAGGTCTTTGGAGTTAGGGTTAAAATCACTGTCCAAAACCTTTGTAGGAACTCTTTCCCAACCTTTTGGAGTTAGTTAGACCCAAAAGAAATCAAAAAGGAAAAAAAATATTTGGGGTGTTTGGTCTTCCTGAAGGTAATACCCGGGTATTAGGTAATGGGGCTAGGGTCAGGTTTAAGGTTTTTGGCATTAGGGTTAAAATCACTGTCCAAAACCTTTGTAGGAACTCTTTTCCAACCTTTTGGAGTTAGTTACACCAAAAAAAAAAAAAATAAAATGACAAATAAATATTTAGGGTGTTCGGGACTCCTGACGGTAATACCCGGGTATTAGGTTATTGGGCTTTGGTAAGGTTTAAGTTTTTTTGGCATTAGGGTTAAAATCACTGTCCAAAACCTTTGTAGGAACTCTTTTCCAACCTTTTGGAGTTAGTTATACCTAAAAAAAAAACGAAAAATGAAAAAAAAATGTTTGGGGTGTTCGGCTTCCTGAAGGTAATACCCGGGTATTAGGTTATGGGGCTAGGGTAAGGTTTAAGGTTTTTGGAGTTAGGGTTAAAATCACTGTCCAAAACCTTTGTAGGAACTCTTTTCCAACCTTTTGGAGTTAGTTAGACCTAAAAGAAACGAAAAATGAAAAAAAAATGTTTGGGGTGTTCAGGCCTCCTGAAGGTAATACCCGGGTATTAGGTTATGGGGCTAGGGTAAGGTTTAAGGTTTTTGGCGTTAGGGTTAAAATCACTGTCAAAAACCTTTTTAGAAACATGTTTCAGACCTTATGGAGTTAGTTACACCAAAAAAAAAAATTTAAAATGAAAAAGAAATATTTGAGGTGTTCGGGCTTCCTTAAGGTAATACCCGGGTATTAGGTTATGGGGCTAGGGAAAGGTTTAAGGTTTTTGGCAATAGGGTTAAAATCCCTGTCCAAAACCTTTGTAGGAACTCTTTTCCAACCTTTTGGAGTTAGTAAGACCAAAAAAAAATGAAAAATAAAAAAAAAGGTATTTGGGGTTTACGGGCTTCCTGAAGGTAATACCCGGGTATTAGGTTATGGGGCTTTGGTAAGGTTTAAGGTTTTTGGCATTAGGGTTAAAATCACTGTCCAAAACCTTTGTAGGAACATGTTTCAGACCTTTTGAGTTGGTTACACCAAAAAAAAAAAAAATGTAAAATGAAAAAAAAAGAATTGGGGTGTTCGGGCTTCCTTAAGGTAATACCCGGGTATTAGGTTATGGGGCTAGGGTAAGGTTTAAGGTTTTTGGCATTAGGGTTAAAATTACTGTCAAAAACCTTTGTAGGAACTCTTTTCAAACCTTTTGGAATTAGTTAGACCCAAAAGAAATGAAAAATGAAAAAAAAATATATGGGGTTTTCAAGCTTCCTGAAGGTAAAACCCGGGTATTAGGTTATGGGGCTAGGGTAAGGTTTAAGGTTTTTGGAGTTAGGGTTAAAATCACTGTCCAAAACCTTTGTAGGAACTCTTTTCCAACCTTTTGGAGTTAGTTAGACCCAAAAGAAATGAAAAATGAAAAAAAAAATATTTGGGGTATTCGGGCAACCTGAAGGTAATACCCGGGTATTAGGTAATGGGGCTAGGGTCAGGTTTAAGGTTTTTGGCATGAGGGTTAAAATCACTGTCCAAAACCTTTGTAGGAACTCTTTCCCAACCTTTTGGAGTTAGTTAGACCCAAAAGAAATGAAAAATGAAAAAAAATATATTTGGGGTTTCCGGGCTTACTGAAGGTAATACCCGGGTATTAGGTTATGGGGCTAGGGTAAGGTTTAAGGTTTTTGGTGTTAGGGTTAAAATCACTGTCCAAAACCTTTGTAGGAACTCTTTTCCAACCTTTTGGAGTTAGTTCCACCAAAAAAAAAAAAAATGTAAAATGAAAAGAAATATTTGGGGTGTTCGGGCTTCCTGAAGGTAATACCCGGGTATTAGGTTATGGGGCTAGGGTAAGGTTTAAGGTTTTTGGCGTTAGGGTTAAAATCACTGTCCAAAACCTTTGTAGGAACTCTTTTCAAACCTTTTGGAATTAGTTAGATCCAAAAGAAATGAAAAATGAAAAAAAAATATATGGGGTTTTCAAGCTTCCTGAAGGTAAAACCCGGGTATTAGGTTATGGGGCTAGGGTAAGGTTTAAGGTTTTTTGAGTTAGGGTTAAACTCACTGTCCAAAACCTTTGTAGGAACTCTTTTCCAACCTTTTGGAGTTAGTTAGACCTTAAAAAAAAACGAAAAATTAAAAAAAAAGTTTGGGGTGTTCGGGCTTCCTGAAGGTAATACCCGGGTATTAGGTTATGGGGCTAGGGTAAGGTTTAAGGTTTTTGGCGTTAGGGTTAAAATCACTGTCCAAAACCTTTGTAGGAACTCTTTTCCAACCTTTTGGAGTTAGTTAGACCCAAAAGAAATGAAAAAGGAAAAAAAATATTTGGTGTGTTTGGTCTTCCTGAAGGTAATACCCGGTTATAAGGTAATGGGGCTAGGGTCAGGTTGAAGGTTTTTGGCATGAGGGTTAAAATCCCTGTCCAAAACCTTTGTCGGAACTCTTTTCCAACCTTTTGGAGTTAGTTGGACCAAAAAAAAAAACAAAAAATGAAAAAAAAAATATTTGGGGTGTTCGGTCTTCCTGAAGGTAATACCCGGGTATTAGGTTATGGGGCTAGGGAAAGGTTTAATGTTTTTGGCGTTAGGGTTAAAATCACTGTCCAAAACCTTTTTAGGAACATGTTTCAGATCTTATGGAGTTAGTTACACCAAAAAAAAAATTTTTGTAAAATGAAAAAGAAATATTTGGGGTGTTCGGGCTTCCTGAAGGTAATACCCGGGTATTAGGTTATGGGGCTTTGGTAAGGTTTAAGGTTTTTATGCATTAGGGTTAAAATCACTGTCCAAAACCTTTGTAGGAACTCTTTTCCAACCTTTTGGAGTTAGTTAGACCTAAAAAAAAAAACGAAAAATGAAAAAAAAATGTTTGGGGTGTTCGGGCTTCCTGAAGGTAATACCCGGGTATTAGGTTATGGGGCTAGGGTAAGGTTTAAGGTTTTTGGCGTTAGGGTTAAAATCACTGTCCAAAACCTTTGTTGGAACTCTTTTCCAACCTTTTGGAGTTAGTTTCACAAAAAAAAAAGTAAAATGAAAAAGAAATATTTGGGGTGTTCGGGCTTCCTGACGGTAATACCCGGGTATTAGGTCATGGGGCTTTGGAAATGTTTAAGGTTTTTGGCGTTAGGGTCAAAATCACTGTCCAAAACCTTTTTAGGAACTCTTTTCATACCTTTTGGAGTTAGTTAGACCCAAAAGAAATGAAAAATGAAAAAATATATATTTGGGGTTTTCGGGCTTTCTGAAGGTAATACCCGGGTATTAGGTTATGGGGCTAGGGTAAGGTTTAAGGTTTTTGGCATTAGGGTTAAAATCACTGTCCAAAACCTTTGTTGGAACTCTTTTCCAACCTTTTGGAGTTAGTTTCACAAAAAAAAAAAAGTAAAATGAAAAAGAAATATTTGGGGTGTTCGGGCTTCCTGACGGTAATACCCCGGTATTAGGTTATGGGGCTAGGGTAAGGTTTAAGGTTTTTGGCGTAAGGGTTAAAATCACTGTCCAAAACCTTAGTAGGAACTCTTTTCCAACATTTTGGAGTTAGTTAGAGCAAAAAAAAGAAAAAAGAAAAAAAAATATTTGGGGTTTTCGGGCTTCCTGAAGGTAATAACCGGGTATTAGGTTATGGGGCTAGGGTAAGGTTTAAGGTTTTTGGAGTTAGGGTTAAAATCACTGTCCACAATCTTTGTAGGAAAGAGTTTCAGACCTTTTGGAGTTAGTTACAACAAAAAAGATGTAAAATGAAAAAAATATATTTGGGGTGTTCGGGCTTCCTGAAGGTAATGCCCGGGTATTAGGTAATGGAGCTTTGGAAAGGTTTAAGGTTTTTGGCGTTAGGGTTAATATCACTGTCCAAAACCTTTGTAGGAACTCTTTTCCAACCTTTTGGAGTTAGTGAGACCCAAAAAAAAAAGGAAAAATAAAAAAAAAAGATATTTGGGGTGTTCGGGCTTCCTGAAGGTAATACCCGGGTATTAGGTTATGGGGCTATGATAAGGTTAAAGGTTTTTGGTTTGAGGGTTAAAATCAGTGTCCAAAACCTTTGTAGGAACTCTTTTCCAACCTTTTGGAGTTAGTTACCCCAAAAGAAATGAAAAATGAAAAAAAAATGTTTGGGGTGTTCTGGCATCCTGAAGGTAATACCCGGGTTTTAGGTTATGGGGCTAGGGTAAGGTTCAAGGTTTTTGGCGTTAGGGTTAAAATCACTGTCCAAAACCTTTGTAGGAACTCTTTTCCAACCTTTTGGAGTTAGTTAGACCAGAAAAAAAGAAAAAAGAAAAAAAAAATATTTGGGGTTTTCGGGCTTCCTGAAGGTAATACCCGGGTATAAGGTTATGGGGCTAGGGTAAGGTTTAAGGTTTTTGGCGTTAGGGTTAAAATCACTGTCCAAAACCTTTGTAGGAACTCTTTTCCAACCTTTTGGAGTTAGTTAGACCTAAAAAAAAAAACGAAAAATGAAAAAAAAATGTTTGGGGTGTTAAGGCTTCCTTAAGGTAATACCCGGGTATTAGGTTATGGGGCTAGGGTAAGGTTTAAGGTTTTTGGCGTTAGGGTTAAAATCAATGTCCAAAACCTTAGTAGGAACTCTTTTCCAACATTTTGGAGTTAGTTAGAGCAAAAAAAAGAAAAAAGAAAAAAAAATATTTGGGGTTTTCGGGCTTCCTGAAGGTAATACCCGGGTATTAGGTTATGGGGCTAGGGTAAGGTTTAAGGTTTTTGGAGTTAGGGTTAAAATCACTGTCCACAATCTTTGTAGGAAAGAGTTTAAGACCTTTTGGAGTTAGTTACAACAAAAAAGATGTAAAATGAAAAAAAAATGTTTGGGGTGTTCGGGCTTCCTGAAGGTAGTATTAGGTTATGGGGCTTTGGTAAGGTTTAAGGTTTTTTGCGTTAGGGTTAAAATCACTGTCCAAAACCTTTGTAGGAACTCTTTTCCAACCTTTTGGAGTTAGTTTCACAAAAAAAAAATGTAAAATGAAAAAAAAATGTTTGGGGTGTTCAGGCTTCCTGAAGGTAATACCCGGGTATTAGGTTATGGGGCTGGGGTAAGGTTTAAGGTTTTTGGCGTTAGGGTTAAAATCACTGTCCAAAACCTTTGTAGGAACTCTTTTCCAACCTTTTGGAGTTAGTTAGACCTAAAAAAAAAAAAAAAAATGAAAAAAAAATGTTTGGGGTGTTCAGGCTTCCTGAAGGTAATACCCGGGTATTAGGTTATGGGGCTGGGGTAAGGTTTAAGGTTTTTGGCGTTAGGGTTAAAATCACTGTCCAAAACCTTAGTAGGAACTCTTTTCCAACATTTTGAAGTTAGTTAGAGCAAAAAAAAGAAAAAAGAAAAAAAAATATTTGGGGTTTTCGGGCTTCCTGAAGGTAATACCCGGGTTTTAGGTTATGGGGCTAGGGTAAGGTTTAAGGTTTTTGGAGTTAGGGTTAAAATCACTGTCCACAATCTTTGTAGGAAAGAGTTTCAGACCTTTTGGAGTTAGTTACAACAAAAAAGATGTAAAATGAAAAAAATATATTTGGGGTGTTCGGGCTTCCTGAAGGTAATACCCGGGTATTAGGTAATGGGGCTTTGGAAAGGTTTAAGGTTTTTGGCGTTAGGGTTAATATCACTGTCCAAAACCTTTGTAAGACTCTTTTCCAACCTTTTGGAGTTAGTGAGACCAAAAAAAAAAGGAAAAATAAAAAAAAAGATATTTGGGGTTTTCGGCTTCCTGAAGGTCATACCCGGGTATTAGGTTATGGGGCTATGATCAGGTTAAAGGTTTTTGGTGTGAGGGTTAAATCACTGTCCAAAACCTTAGTAGGAACTCTTTTCCAACCTTTTGGAGTCAGTTAGACCCAAAAGAAATGAAAAATGAAAAAAAAATATTTGGGGTTTTCGGGCTTTCTGAGGGTAATACCCGGGTATTAGGTTATGGTGCTAGGGTAAGGTTTAAGGTTTTTGTAGTCAGGGTTAAAATCACTGTCCAAAACCTTTGTAGGAACTCTTTTCCAACCTTTTGGAGTTAGTTACCCCAAAAAAATGAAGAATGAAAAAAAAATATTTGGGGTTTTCGGGCTTTCTGAGGGTAATACCCGGGTATTAGGTTATGGTGCTAGGGTAAGGTTTAAGGTTTTTGGAGTCAGGGTTAAAATCACTGTCCAAAACCTTTGTAGGAACTCTTTTCCAACCTTTTGGAGTAAATTAGACCTAAAAAAAACGAAAAATGAAAAAAAAATGTTTGGGGTGTTGGGGCTTCCTGAAGGTAATTAGGTTATGGGGCTTTGGTAAGGTTTAAGGTTTTTGGCATTAGGGTTAAAATCACTGTCCAAAACCTTTGTAGGAACTCTTTTCCAACCTTTTGGAGTTAGTTAGACCTAAAAAAAACCAAAAATGAAAAAAAAAATGTTTGGGGTGTTCGGGCTTCCTGAAGGTAGTATTAGGTTATGGGGCTTTGGTAAGGTTTAAGGTTTTTGACGTTAGGGTTAAAATCACTGTCCAAAACCTTTTTAGGAACATGTTTCAGACCTTATGGAGGTAGTTACACCAAAAAAAAATTGTAAAATGAAAAAGAAATATTTGGGGTGTTAGGGCTTCCTGAAGGTAATACCCGGGTATTAGGTTATGGGGCTTTGGTAAGGTTTAAGGTTTTTGGCATTAGGGTTAAAATCACTGTCCAAAACCTTTGTAGGAACTCTTTTCCAACCTTTTGGAGTTAGTTAGACCTAAAAAAAACGAAAAATGAAAAAAAAATGTTTGGGGTGTTCGGGCTTCCTGAAGGTAATACCCGGTTATTAGGTTATGGGGCTAGGGTAAGGTTTAAGGTTTTTGGCGTTAGGGTTAAAATCACTGTCCAAAACTTTTGTAGGAACTCTCTTCCAACCTTTTGGAGTCAGTTAGACCCAAAAGAAATGAAAAATGAAAAAAAAATGTTTGGGGTGTTCGGGCTTCCTGAAGGTAATACCCAGGTATTAGGTTATGGGGCTAGGGAAAGGTTTAATGTTTTTGGCGTTAGGGTTAAAATCACTGTCCAAAACCTTTTTAGGAACATGTTTCAGACCTTATGGAGTTAGTTACACAAAAAAAAAAAAATTGTAAAATTAAAAAGAAATATTTGAGGTGTTCGGGCTTCCTGAAGGTAATACCCGGGTATTAGGTTATGGGGCTTTGGTAAGGTTTAAGGTTTTTGGCATTAGGGTTCAAATCACTGTCCAAAACCTTTTTAGGAACTCTTTTCCAACCTTTTGGAGTTAGTTAGACCTAAAAAAAAACGAAAAATGAAAAAAAAATGTTTGGGGTGTTGGGGCTTCCTGAAGGTAATTAAGTTATGGGGCTTTGGTAAGGTTTAAGGTTTTTGGCATTAGGGTTAAAATCACTGTCCAAAACCTTTGTAGGAACTCTTTTTTAACCTTTTGGAGTTAGTAAGATCTAAAAAAAACCAAAAATGAAAAAAAAATGTTTGGGGTGTTCGGGCTTCCTGAAGGTAGTATTAGGTTATGGGGCTTTGGTAAGGTTTAAGGTTTTTGGCGTTAAGGTTAAAATCACTGTCCAAAACCTTTGTAGGAACTCTTTTCCAACCTTTTGGAGTTAGTTAGACCCAAAATAAATGAAAAATGAAAAAAAAATATTTGGGGTTTTCGGGCTTTCTGAAGGTAATACCCGGGTATTAGGTTATGGGGCTAGGGTAAAGTTTAAGGTTTTTGGCGTTAGGGTTAAAATCACTGTCCAAAACCTTTGTAGGAACTCTTTTCCAACCTTTTGGAGTTAGTTACACCAAAAAAAAAAAAAAAATGTAAGATGAAAAAGGAATATTTGGGGTGTTCGGGCTTCCTGAAGGTAATACCCGGGTATTAGGTTATGGGGCTTTGGTAAGGTTTAAGGTTTTTTGGCATTAGGGTTAAAATCACTGTCCAAAGCCTTTGTAGGAACTCTTTTCTAACCTTTTGGAGTTAGTTAGACCCAAAAGAAATGAAAAATGAAAAAAAAAATTGGGGGTTTTCGGGCTTCCTGAAGGTAATACCTGGGTATTAGGTTATGGGGCTAGGGTAAGGTTTAAGGTTTTTGGCGTTAGGGTTAAAATCACTGTCCACAATCTTTGTAGGAAAAAGTTTCAGACCTTTTGGAGTTAGTTACAAAAAAAAAATGTAAAATGAAAAAAATATATCTGGGGTGTTCGGGCTTCCTGAAGGTAATACCCGGGTATTAGGTAATGGGGCTTATGAAATGTTTAAGGTTTTTGGCGTTAGGGTCAATATCACTTTCCAAAACCTTTGTAGGAACTCTTTTCCAACCTTTTGGAGTTAGTTAGACCTAAAAAAAACCAAAAATGAAAAAAAAAATGTTTGAGGTGTTCGGGCTTCCTGAAGGTAGTATTAGGGTTATGGGGCTTTGGTAAGGTTTAAGGTTTTTGGCGTTAGGGTTAAAATCACTGTCCAAAACCTTTGTAGGAACTCTTTTCCAACCTTTTGGAGTTAGTTAGACCAAAAAAAAAGAAAAAATGTAAAATGAAAAAGGAATATTTGGGGTTTTCGGGCTTCCTGAAGGTAATACCCGGGTATTAGGTTATGGGGCTTTTGTAAGGTTTAAGGTTTTTTGGCATTAGGGTTAAAATCACTGTCCAAAGCCTTTGTAGGAACTCTTTTCTAACCTTTTGGAGTTAGTTAGACCCAAAAGAAATGAAAAATGAAAAAAAATTGGGGGTTTTCGGGCTTCCTGAAGGTAATACCCGGGTATTAGGTTCTGGGGCTAGGGTAAGGTTCAAGGTTTTTGGCGTTAGGGTTAAAATCACTGTCCAAAACCTTTGTAGGAACTCTTTCCCAACCTTTTGGAGTTAGTTAGACCCAAAAGAAATGAAAAATGAAAAAAAAATATTTGGGGTTTTCGGGCTTCCTAAAGGTAATACCCGGGTATTAGGTTATGGGGCTAGGGTAAGGTTTAAGGTTTTTGGCGTTAGGGTTAAAATCACTGTCCAAAACCTTTTTAGGAACATGTTTAAGACCTTATGGAGTTAGTTACACAAAAAAAAAAAAATTGTAAAATTAAAAAGAAATATTTGAGGTGTTCGGGCTTCCTGAAGGTAATACCCGGGTATTAGGTTATGGGGCTTTGGTAAGGTTTAAGGTTTTTGGCATTAGGGTTAAAATAACTGTCCAAAACCTTTTTAGGAACTCTTTTCCAACCTTTTGGAGTTAGTTAGACCTAAAAAAAAAGAAAAATGAAAAAAAAATGTTTGGGGTGTTGGGGCTTCCTGAAGGTAATTAAGTTATGGGGCTTTGGTAAGGTTTAAGGTTTTTGGCATTAGGGTTAAAATCACTGTCCAAAACCTTTGTAGGAACTCTTTTCCAACCTTTTGGAGTTAGTTAGACCTAAAAAAAACCAAAAATGAAAAAAAAATGTTTGGGGTGTTCGGGCTTCCTGAAGGTAGTATTAGGTTATGGGGCTTTAGTAAGGTTTAAGGTTTTTGGCGTTAAGGTTAAAATCACTGTCCAAAACCTTTGTAGGAACTCTTTTCCAACCTTTTGGAGTTAGTTAGACCCAAAATAAATGAAAAATGAAAAAAAAATATTTGGGGTTTTCGGGCTTCCTGAAGGTAATACCCGGGTATTAGGTTATGGGGCTAGGGTAAGGTTTAAGGTTTTTGGCGTTAGGGTTAAAATCACTGTCCAAAACCTTTGTAGGAACTCTTTTCCAACCTTTTGGAGTTAGTTAGACCCAAAAGAAATGAAAAATGAAAAAAAAATATTTGGGGTTTTCGGGCTTCCTGAAGGTAATACCCGGGTATTAGGTTATGGGGCTAGGGTAAGGTTTAAGGTTTTTGGCGTTAGGGTTAAAATCACTGTCCAAAACCTTTTTAGGAACATGTTTAAGACCTTATGGAGTTAATTACACAAAAAAAAATTGTAAAATTAAAAAGAAATATTTGAGGTATTCGGGCTTCCTGAAGGTAATACCCGGGTATTAGGTTAAGGGGCTTTGGTAAGGTTTAAGGTTTTTGGCATTAGGGTTAAAATCACTGTCCAAAACCTTTGTAGGAACTCTTTTCCAACCTTTTGGAGTTAGTTAGTTAGACCTAAAAAAAACGAAAAATGAAAAAAAAATGTTTGGGGTGTTGGGGCTTCCTGAAGGTAATTAGGTTATGGGGCTTTGGTAAGGTTTAAGGTTTTTGGCATTAGGGTTAAAATCACTGTCCAAAACCTTTGTAGGAACTCTTTTTTAACCTTTTGGAGTTAGTTAGACCTAAAAAAAACCAAAAATGAAAAAAAAATGTTTGGGGTGTTCGGGCTTCCTGAAGGTAGTATTAGGTTATGGGGCTTTAGTAAGGTTTAAGGTTTTTGGCGTTAAGGTTAAAATCACTGTCCAAAACCTTTGTAGGAACTCTTTTCCAACCTTTTGGAGTTAGTTAGACCCAAAATAAATGAAAAATGAAAAAAAAATATTTGGGGTTTTCGGGCTTTCTGAAGGTAATACCCGGGTATTAGGTTATGGGGCTAGGGTAAAGTTTAAGGTTTTTGGCGTTAGGGTTAAAATCACTGTCCAAAACCTTTGTAGGAACTCTTTTCCAACCTTTTGGAGTTAGTTACACCAAAAAAAAAAAAAAAAATGTAAGATGAAAAAGGAATATTTGGGGTGTTCGGGCTTCCTGAAGGTAATACCCGGGTATTAGGTTATGGGGCTTTGGTAAGGTTTAAGGTTTTTTGGCATTAGGGTTAAAATCACTGTCCAAAACCTTTGTAGGAACTCTTTTCCAACCTTTTGGAGTTAGTTAGACCCAAAAGAAATGAAAAATGAAAAAAAAAATTGGGGGTTTTCGGGCTTCCTGAAGCTAATACCCGGGTATTAGGTTTTGGGGCTAGGGTAAGGTTTAAGGTTTTTGGCGTTAGGGTTAAAATCACTGTCCACAATCTTTGTAGGAAAAAGTTTCAGACCTTTTGGAGTTAGTTACAAAAAAAAAAATGTAAAATGAAAAAAATATATCTAGGGTGTTCGGGCTTCCTGAAGGTAATACCCGGGTATTAGGTAATGGGGCTTATGAAATGTTTAAGGTTTTTGGCGTTAGGGTCAATATCACTGTCCAAAACCTTTGTAGGAACTCTTTTCCAACCTTTTGGAGTTAGTTAGACCTAAAAAAAAAGAAAAAATGTAAAATGAAAAAGGAATATTTGGGGTGTTCGGGCTTCCTGAAGGTAATACCCGGGTATTAGGTTATGGGGCTTTGGTAAGGTTTAAGGTTTTTTGGCATTAGGGTTAAAATCACTGTCCAAAACCTTTGTAGGAACTCTTTTCTAACCTTTTGGAGTTAGTTAGACCCAAAAGAAATGAAAAATGAAAAAAAAAATTGGGGGTTTTCGGGCTTCCTGAAGGTAATACCCGGGTATAAGGTTCTGGGGCTAGGGTAAGGTTCAAGGTTTTTGGCGTTAGGGTTAAAATCACTGTCCAAAACCTTTGTAGGAACTCTTTCCCAACCTTTTGGAGTTAGTTAGACCCAAAAGAAATGAAAAATGAAAAAAAAATATTTGGGGTTTTCGGGCTTCCTAAAGGTAATACCCGGGTATTAGGTTATGGGGCTAGGGTAAGGTTTAAGGTTTTTGGCGTTAGGGTTAAAATCACTGTCCAAAACCTTTGTAGGAACTCTTTTCCAACCTTTTGGAGTTAGTTACACCAAAAAATAAAAAAAGTAAAATGAAAAAGGAATATTTGGGGTGTTCGGGCTTCCTGAAGGTAATACCCGGGTGTGAGGGAGCTGGAAACCCCTCCCCTCACTGAGGTGAAGTCGGTACAATACCTGACTATTCATGGACATGGTTTTTGTTTATTTTATTGTTAAACACTGCTAACCTCTCCTCTCTTCGAGGTCACCATCTTGTGGGGGCGTGTCCGCATTGAGTGCACACATGGGGATGCAGCAAACAGGTCCCAGCAGTAGCAAATCAGCTTGTTAGGCTGGGTTAGTGAGCAGAGAAAGGGGGAGGGGTAGAGTTATTTAGTGGGATTTAGCTTTAGTTTGGTCTGTTTCGGGTTATTTAGCTATTTTGGGTTAATTTATATTCATTTATGTTCTTCCTATTAAGTATTAGGGTCATTGTATATCCGGATTAAGTTAGTTGTTAGAGGTCAGATCTGCACATACCTATCACTGTCATGCAGGTGAGAGAAAGAGGGAGGGGGGAGCAGGTGAGAGAGCCCCACTCAGCTTAAAAGTGGACACACCTGTGTGAGTGGGGAGAGGTGTGGGTGGCTTTCTGCAGCCTGCTACTCAGAGGATGATCATTGTTAAGACTGCTGTGTGTGATCACTTGGATTTATTAAAAATATCAGAGCTCTGAAACCTGCTGTCGGACACCATCCTTTTTTCCTCATGCTGGAGATCTTCACTACCGCTTGGTTCCATTCCGTTTAGAGGTTTTATGACCATCAAAACCTTACACCGGGTATTAGGGTATGGGGCTTTGGTAAGGTTTAAGGTTTTTTGGCATTAGGGTTAAAATCACTGTCCAAAACCTTTGTAGGAACTCTTTTCCAACCTTTTGGAGTTAGTTAGACCCAAAAGAAATGAAAGATGAAAAAAAAATGTTTGGGGTTTTCGGGCTTCCTGAAGGTAATACCCGGGTTTTAGGTTATGGGGCTAGGGTAAGGTTTAAGGTTTTTGGCGTTAGGGTTAAAATCACTGTCCAAAACCTTTGTAGGAACTCTTTTCCAACCTTTTGGAGTTAATTAGACCTAAAAAAAACGAAAAATGAAAAAAAAATGTTTGGGGTGTTCGGGCTTCCTGAAGGTAATACCCGGGTTATGGGGCTTTGGTAAGGTTTAAGGTTTTTGGCGTTAGGGTTAAAATCACTGTCCAAAACCTTTGTAGGAACTCTTTTCCAACCTTTTAGAGTTAGTTAGACCCAAAAGAAATGAAAGATGAAAAAGAAATATTTGGGGTTTTCGGGCTTCCTGAAGGTAGTACCCGGGTATTAGGTTATGGGGCTAGGGTAAGGTTTAAGGTTTTTGGCGTTAGGGTTAAAATCACTGTCAAAAACCTTTTTAGGAACATGTTTCAGACCTAATGGAGTTAGTTACACCAAAAAAAAAAATTGTAAAATGAAAAAAAAATGTTTGGGGTGTTCGGGCTTCCTGAAGGTAATACCCGGGTATTAGGTTATGAGGCTTTGGTAAGGTTTAAGGTTTTTGGCATTAGGGTTAAAATCACTGTCCAAAACCTTTGTAGGAACTCTTTTCCAAACTTTTGGAGTTAGTTAGACCTAAAAAAAACGAAAAATGAAAAAAAAATGTTTGGGGTGTTCGGGCTTCCTGAAGGTAATACCCGGGTATTAGATTATGGGGCTTTGGAAAGGTTTAAGGTTTTTGGCGTCAGGGTTAAAATCACTGTCCAAAACCTTTGTAGGAACTCTTTTCCAACCTTTTGGAGTTAGTTAGTCAAAAAAAAAACGAAAAATGAAATACATTTTTTTTGGGTGTTTAGGCTTCCTAAAGGTAATACCCGGGTATTAGGTTTCGGGGATAGGGTTAAAATCACTGTCCAAAACCTTTTTAGGAACATGTTTCAGACCTTTTGAAGTTAGTTAGACCAAAAAAAACGAAAATTAAAAAATAAACTTTGGGGGATGTAGGGCTTCCTTTAGGTAATACCTTCCTTTAGGTATTAGGTTACAGTTTAAAGGTTTTTGGCGTTAGGGTTAAAATCACTGTCCAAAACCTTTGTAGGATCTCTTTTCCAACCTATAATAATAATAATAATAATATTAATAATAATTTTGCTTATTGAGAAGGACTAGGTGGTATTAGTAGGGAGGGAATAGGGTGAATTTTTACCTATAGGGTGCATTAGTGCAAAGTCTCAGAGGATGGGGGAGAGAGAAACAGGCTGTTGGGACTGCAACCATTCTGCTTCTACAGGGATTCGAGTGATAGAGAGAGAATCGAACTTGCCACAGTGACTAGCCAGAGAAACTCTCCTCACCTGTTGGTTTTCATCCTCTGATATGAAAAAAGAGGGTGGGGGTGATGAAGCTAAGATAGAGGTTAGTAAGGTTAGGGTAAGGGTTAGGGGTTAGGGTTAGGGTTTAGAGGTTCGGGTTAGGGTAAGGGTTAGGGTTAGGGTTCGGGGTTAGGGTTAGATTTAGGGTTTAGAGGTTAGGGTAAGGGTTAGGGGTTAGGATTATTTAGGGTTTAGAGGTTAGGGTTAGGGTTAGGCTAGGGTTAGGGTTAGGGGTTAGGGTTAGGGTGAGGGTAAGGGTTAGTGTCTGTAGGGAGCTATCCGTGGCTATTTGGAAGAATTGAAATTCATTACGGAATACAACACTTCAGATTGTCTAGACTCTGGACTCTGTTGAAGGTAGCAAAGCTATGGTTGGAAGTAATGAAATTGCAGTATAAAATATAAGGCTAGTTATAAATTGTAATTGTAAAGTATTATTTCAGAGTCAAAAGTGGACAGTTCCGTCTAGAACTCCTTCCACCCAGGCCTGTCTAGGCCATGGACTCTGCTAAACTCCCTAACGCTGTGACCTAAAAATTATTTAGATTAAATTGGAAATATTTATGAATTGTTATTTAGAAATTATTAATTCAGAGTCAAAAGTGGATGGTTCTGTCTGGAACCCCTTCCACCCAGGCCTGTCTAGGCCATAGACTCTGCTAAACTCCAGATCGCTGTAACCTAAAATTATTTTAGATTAAATCAGAAATATTTATAAATTATTCTTCATAAATTATTATTCAGAGTCAAAAGTGGATGGTTCTGTCTGGAACCCCTTCCACCCAGGCCTGTCTAGGCCATAGACTTTGCTAAACTCCCTAACGCTGTGACCTAAAATTATTTTATATTAAATTGCAAATATTTTTAAATTATTTCAAAATTATTTCAAAATATATTATTTCTTATTTCAGAATCAAAAGTGGATGGTTCTGTCTGGAAGCCCTTCCATTCAGGCCTGTCTAGGCTTTAGACTCTGCTAAGCTCCCTCAAGGCAGTGACCTAAGATTATTTTAGATTAAATTGGAAATATTTATGAATTATTATTTAGAAATTATGAATTCGGAGTCAAAAGTGGATGGTTCTGTCTGGAACCCCTTCCACCCAGGCCTGTCTAGGCCATAGACTCTGCTAAACTCCCTAACGCTGTGACCTAAAATTATTTTAGATTAAATCAGAAATATTTATAAATTATTCTTCATAAATTATTATTCAGAGTCAAAAGTGGATGGTTTTGTCTGGAACCCCTCCCACCCAGGCCTGTCTAGGCCATAGACTCTGCTAAACTCCCTAACGCTGTGACCTAAAATTATTTTATATTAAATTGCAAATATTTTTAAATTATTTCAAAATTATTTCAAAATATATTATTTCTTATTTCAGAGTCAAAAGTGGATGGTTCTGTCTGGAAGCCCTTCCACTCAGGACTGTCTAGGCTTTAGACTCTGCTAAGCTCCCTCAAGGCTGTGACCTAAGATTATTTTAGATTAAATTGGAAGTATTTATGAAATATTATTTAGAAATTATTAATTAGGAGTCAAAAGTGGATGGTTCTGTCTGGAACCCCTTCCACCCAGGCCTGTCTAGGCCATAGACTCTGCTAAACTCCCTAACGCTGTGACCTAAAATTATTTTAGATTAAATCAGAAATATTTATAAATTATTCTTCATAAATTATTATTCAGAGTCAAAAGTGGATGGTTTTGTCTGGAACCCCTCCCACCCACGCCTGTCTAGGCCATAGACTCTGCTAAACTCCCTAACGCTATGACCTAAAATTATTTTATATTAAATTGCAAATATTTTTAAATTATTTCAAAATTATTTCAAAATATATTATTTCTTATTTCAGAGTCAAAAGTGGATGGTTCTGTCTGGAAGCCCTTCCACTCAGGCCTGTCTAGGCTTTAGACTCTGCTAAGCTCCCTCAAGGCTGTGACCTAAGATTATTTTAGATTAAATTGGAAGTATTTATGAAATATTATTTAGAAATTATTAATTAGGAGTCAAAAGTGGATGGTTCTGTTTGGAACCCCTTCCACCCAGGCCTGTCTAGGCCATAGACTCTGCTAAACTCCCTAACGCTGTGACCTAAAATTATTTAAAATTAAATCAGAAATATTTATAAATTATTCTTCATAAATTATTATTCAGAGTCAAAAGTGGATGGTTCTGTCTGGAACCCCTTCAACCCAGGCCTGTCTAGGCCATAGACTCTGCTAAACTCCCTAACGCTGTGACCTAAAATTATTTTATATTAAATTGCAAATATTTATAAATTATTTCAAAATTATTTCAAAATATATTATTTCTTATTCATGAGTCAAAAGTGGATGGTTCTGTCTGGAAGCCCTTCCACTCAGGCCTGTCTAGGCTTTAGACTCTGCTAAGCTCCCTCAAGGCTGTGACCTAAGATTATTTTAGATTAAATTGAAAATATTTATAAATTATTCTTTATAAATCATTATTCAGAGTCAAAAGTGGATGGTTCTGTCTGGAACCCCTTCCGCTCAGGCCTGTCTGGGCCATAGACTCTGCTAAAATCCCTAACGCTGTGACCTAAAATTATTTTAGATCAAATCGGAAATATTTATGAATTATTATTTATAAATTATTATTCAGAGTCAAAAGTGGACGGTTCTGTCTGGAACCCCTTCCACTTAGGCCTGTCTAGGCCAAAGACTCTGCTAAACTCCCTTGTTTTAGATGGATAAGTTTTGAGTTAGGTGGAGATTTTTTATATAGATTATGTAGGACCTAGGGTTCACTGTAAATTATTATTTCAGAGTTAGAAAGTGAGAAGAATTTTAGTTTATTTAGGTATTGGACTATTTTAAAGTTGTCATCCATGGAATCCATGCGATCCAAGTAAGGCTGGCTCCCAAATTGTTGCGTATGGGTGTAAATCAGAATGTTGTATAAAATTGTGTCATCACTTTCTACACTGTTTATTTTGTTAAAAAACAAACAGGAACTGTTAAAGTTATACCCAACATTGAATTAATATAACAGTAAAACAGAGAAAATTGTGTTGACTTCTGTATAACAAAGGAAAACTGTAATTTTGATTGCACTGGAACCAAATGTATTATATTTAAATCGCAAATTTAAATAATAAAAAATGGTGATATAAATACACAAAATTGAATTATAAAGTAAATTAGTATGAGAAAAAAGGTGGAATAAAAAATGAGTGGATAGTTGTTCCAAAACATTTTTTATTTGTTCAAAAAAGGTACAATTTACAGGTAGGGGAAAATTAATAGGAAAATAAAAATAGAACTAAGAATAAAAAATAAAAAATAAAAACTGGGATAAAACATGGAATGTACAGTGTTTACCAAATTAGAAAGTGAGAAATAAGAGAGTGGCAAAAACGAAAAGGTGAAAAAAGGAAACTGTAAAAAACTGGACCCAGGGATCAAGAGGTGGGAAATACGAGTTTGGTAAATGGACAAATGCTGAAATGCTATGTGTGACGGCCCTGCCTAACTGGGGTCTGGTGGACTAATCCTGGTGGAGCCATTTCATGTTTTCCCTGCAGGGCTACCTGGGAGAGAGTGGGTGTGGCAGATAATTGAAGCACCTGTGCCTAATGCTGCCACAGAGCATAAAAGGCCCTTCTCCAGTGCGGCTCTCTCTCTTCCTCTGACCCTGCCACAGGCCTGCTGTTGCAGGCTTTTTGCTTTGGTTTGACTTTGGTTTATTTTCACCCCACAACACCCTACACTTCATTACTCACACATCCACACTTACATGACTGATATCACTGACTATCACACTCCATATTTACAAATTATTGTTTAAGTCTCTAATTTGTTAAAATAAATCTTTACTTCCCGCCCTACACTGCGTCCGTTTCCATATATGTCATGGCTAAAGAGCCGGGTTTTAGAGTAGAAATTAAAGTAAACCATAAAAGGTGCGGGTTTTATGGACCTTTATCCATGCACCAGGATAAACCAACACTCAAAATAGAAGACCAGAGGACCAGATTGTGTTGAGGTAAGTGCTCAATAAATTATTTTGGAAAATCTTATTTGTTTGAAAAATTCTTCAAATAAACCATTACATTGACCCAGCACTGGTATTGGACATTAAATTTCAGGACACGTCCTCAGTAGTGAACCTCAAAATCATCGGATGTTTTGGCCATTTTAACACTAGATATCATCATTCAAGGAAGGCCCCACGGAGTCAATCAACTTCCGTGATGTGCCCTGTAGCCAATTGGAGCTATTTTAGTCCTATTTAGTTTTGGTGCCAAGAAGTTTTAGTTGTGTGCTAGTTTGGTAGTTGCTATTCTGTAACTATTTAGAGTAATTTTGAGGTGTTTGAGAGGTTTATTGTAGACTTACCCTAGTGGTCCTATGTTGTTGTTGATGTGAGGCGTTTCTTTTCCAGTAGTCTAAAATCTGTTGGAGGGGGGAAAAGGTTCCAGCTGTCCAGCCGCGGCGGCGGTGTGTCTGAAGTCAGGGGTCCTCGGCGGGGGAAAGAAGATAGGCGGTCCGCGGGAAGGTTTGCTGGGACTCGGTGCCGTCGGCGGGTCGAAGCTCAGTGGTGGCCGGCTTCGAGTAAAGGAGGTACGGCGTCTTCTGTCAGGTGGCGGCGCAGCGTCTTCCTCGAGGCGGAGGTCCGTCTTCTTGGTCCAGTGGTCAGGGCTTTGTCTCAATTACAGGAACAGGAATTGCTCTCTAGTGCACAACACTTAAAAGTGCTTTCAACAGGACCAGACTCTCCACAGTGGGGCTCGAGTCGTGGTTTGTGTTGTTCCTCTCAGACATGGTTGTGTTCTCTTCTCGATGTTTGTTCTCCAGAATGGATGTCTCTTGGTTGTATTTTAAACTTTCAAGTTGTTTTAAGTTAATTTTAAAGTGGTTTATTTGTTTTAAATTGAGTTTTGCTACATTAAATTTGTATGCAATCGCAAGGGATTGTGGGTATTTTAGTTCTGAGGGATGAGAGCCTAAGGAATCAATCTTCCTGTTACAGCAAAGGATTGTGGGTAAAACCGTGAGTGAGTGAGGTACTTCCTTTCTGGCATGAGAGCCTTGGGAATCAATCTCCCTGTTGCAGCAAAGGATTGTGGGTAAAACCGTGAGTGAGGGAGGTACATTTTTTCCTGGCATGAGAACCTCAGGAGTCAGTCCTTCCTAAGAAAAAAGAGGGGCGGGGGGAAAAAAAACAAAAGTACAGGAATCCTAAAATAAAATAAAATAAAATAAAATAATATAAAACAATGAAAAATAAAAAAATAAAAGTACAAAAGTGGATTGCAAAAAGGGAAGGGGAAGAAAAAAGGAAAAAAAGAAGTGTCAAGAGCAAATAGCAAAAAAAAGTGAGCTTAAAAACAGAGAACAGTTCCCTAAAAGACAGACAGAAATGTAAATTTGATCAGTGTCCTAAGGGAAAATCTGTACGTGTGTGTGTGTGTTCTTTTTTGCTAGCTTAGTCTGGTGTCACTAATGGTCAGTTATTGATAAGTATTTATTATTTAAATTTTTGATGAGGTTGTTTGTAATGGGGTTAGCTGGCTAATATTAGAGTGTTAAAAAAGATGTTTGAGGGGGAGGATTTAGGGGGCACGGCGGTTCCCCTTCAGGTCTCTCTTAATCCTCCATATAGGTGACCCAACAGGGGTTACCCCCCGGCCGGGGTAGGCCTAGGCTGAAGATCACCTATTTGTCCTCTGTGAAGGTGAAAATAAAGGGGCAGGGGAGGGAATAAGAAAGAGGGGGTGTGTTAGAGAGAGGGGGAGAGATGAGGGAGAGAGATGAGGGAGAGAGAGAGAGAGTGTGTGTGAGAGAGAGAGGGGGAAGAGGGAAAGAGGGAGATAGAGAGAGGGGGGGAGTGTGTGTGTGTGTGTGTGTGTGTGTGTGTGTGTGTGTAAGAGAGAGAGAGAGAGAGAGAAGGGAAGAGGGAGAGGGGGGTTTAAGGGAGAGGTGGAGATGGTGGAAAATAAAGATTGGTGAGGGGGATTTGGTGGCGGATGAAACATCCCATAGCTCCCCAGCTCTCACCACCCATGTGAGGAGAGTGAGCAAGGGACATAGTCCCCCGACCCGACTAGGTCTAGGCTCTGCTCTCCTCACGGTCCTCACGAGATACAAAGAGATATGTAAACGTGGAAGTGGGAGTTCTCTAGGCAGAGTTTTGGGTTTGGTTTGAGCTGAGTTGGTCAGTTGATTATTGATTACAATTTTAAGTTCTAAAAGTGGATAGAGTCAAAAAGTCACAGAGGATTGTGGTGGGAGCAGGTGGTCCGTCTGGCACCATTCTGCTCATGCAGGCATTCGAGTGATAGAAAGAGAATAGATCTTGCCACCGTGACTCGCCATTGAGACTCTCCTCACCTGCTGGTTTTCATCCTCTGATAGGAGAGAGAGGTACAGATCAGGAGAGAGGGAGAAAAGGAGGGGGGCAGGGTGGGGTCAGGAGTTAATTTGTCTTGAAAAGTATTTATCTTTTCGTCAGGGTTTCTGTTAGGGTTTAGATGTTTTTTTGTTTAGTTATCTGAGGAATGTAGTGTTAGTATAGGTTCCAAGGTGGAGGATTCTTTGGAATTCACTCTCACCCTTGATACTGGAAGATCTTAGATTCTATAAAGGGGGGGGGGGGGGGGGGTTGTGTGCACAGAAGGAGCATGGGCTCAGACTATTCTCGGAATGATATTGTGACAAGTCTGTCCGAAGGCAACTGGCTGGTTAGGTGTGGGTAAGAGATACAGTGATAGCCCCCGCTTTCGTCAGTTGACTTGGCGGTTTGGGGTAGGCTGATCAAGGGCTTGCACTGGCCGGCGCATGTCAACCTGTCACATGTTCCCAGTCGAGTCTCCGAGCTCAATCTGCGTGTAAAAATTATGTGTTGGTAGGAAGTTTAATGACTCAACTCAATTGGTATGCTATGCTGTCTATCTTTTAGACTATGTGTTTGTAGAGCAATATTATGTATATATTATGTTACGGGGCTAGGTAAAGGTTAAAGGTTTTTCCAACCTTTCGGAGTTAGACCAAAAAAAAAAACGAAAAACGAAATAAAATTTTTGGGCGTGTTAAGGCTTCCTTAAGGTAATACCCGGGTATTAGGTTACGGGGCAAGGGTAAGGTTTAAGGTTTTTGGCGTTAGGGTTAAAATCACTGTCCAAAACCTTTGTAGGAACTCTTTTCCAACCTTTTGGAGTTCGTTAGACCAAAAAAAAAAAAGAAAAAAGAAAAATAAATATTTGGGGTTTTCGGGCTTCCTGAAGGTAATACCCTAGGGTATTAGGTGACGGGGCTGGGGTAACGTTTAAGGTTTTTGGCGTTAGGGTTAAAATCACTGTCTAAAACCTTTTTAGGAACAAGTTTCAGACCTTTTGGAGTTAGTTAGACCAAAAAAAATGAAAAATGAAAAAAAAATAGTTGGGGTGTTCGGGCTTCCTGAAGGTAATACCCGGGAATTAGGTTATGGGGCAAGGGTAAGGTTTAAGGTTTTTGGCGTTAGGGTTAAAATCACTGTCCAAAACCTTCTTAGGAACATTTTTCAGACCTTTTGTAGTTAGACAAAAAAAAAAAAAACGAAAAACGAAAAAAAAAAGGTTTGGGGTGTTAAGGCTTCCTTCAGGTAATACCCGGGTATTAGGTTTCGGGGCTAGGGTAAGGTTTAAGGTTTTTGGCGTTAGGGTTAAAATCACAGTCCAAAACCTTTTTAGGAACTGTTTTCCAACCTTTTGGAGTTAGTTAGACCAAAAAAATTTAAAATGAAAAAAAAATATTTGGGGTGTTCGGGCTTCGTGAAGGTAATACCCGGGTATTAGGTTATGGGGCTATGGCAAGGTTTAAGGTTTTTGGTGTTATGGTTAAAATCACTGTCCAAAACATTTGTAGGAACTCTTATCCAACCTTTTGGAGTTAGTTACAACAACAAAAAATGTAAAATGAAAAAAAAATGTTTGGGGTGTTAAGGCTTCCTAAAGGTAATACCCGGGTATTTGGTTACGGGGCTAGGGTAAGGTTTAAGGTTTTTGGCATTAGGGTTAAAATCACTGTCCAAAACCTTTGTAGGAACAAGTTTCAGACCTGTTGGAGTTAGTTACACCAAGAAAAATGTAAAATGAAAAAAAAATATTTGGGGTGTTCGGGCTCCCTGAAGATAATACCCGGGTATTAGGTTATGGGGCTAGGGTAAGGTTTAAGGTTTTTGGCATTAAGGTTAAAATCACTGTCCAAAACCTTTTTAGGAACTCTTTTCCAACCTTTTGGAGTTAGTTAGACCAAAAAAAAATAAAAATAAAAATAAAATATTTGGGGTTTTCGGGCTTCCTGAAGGTAATACCCAGGTATTAGATTATGGGGTTAGGGTAAGGTTTAACCCGTTCTACCCTAAGCATATTTTAAGGAAAGAAAAACGCCTAAAAGACATACCCAAAGTAAATGAGGAATTACTACACTTTACTAAAGGTTATATGCATGTTCTTGGTGTCCTTGGACATCTAGAGACTTCAGAGAATGTGTTCAAAGTGTCAGAAGTGTTTTGTCTGTCATTATGCCTGAGTAAATTGGAATGAATCAGAGGAAAAGTTGTGTTTTTTTACCCTCGCCAAAATGTTTTCTTTTTTTGACAGGGGAAAACACAATGCTGGCAATGATTCCAGGCCCCCAGATGACATTGATTAGCTTCATCCACTCCTTGACCACAAATGTACCAAATTTGATAGAATTTGGGCAAACAGTAAAGCCTACATGAAGGTTTTTGTAAGGGTACACCCAGGCGAGGACTCAGTTTGGCACAATTTGGCACACTTTGTGCCAAAATGTGCCAAATGGATTATTTTCTACCTCTGATGAGAACTGGCTCCAAATTACAATTTATTTCCATAAGACTAGTCTCCTACTACCTATTGGAGCTTTAAGATATGAAATTTACCTTTTGCCTCATCAATTTCTACCATTCTGCACAATATATTTGTTTATATGTAATACAGAATAGTGAAAAATAACAGGAACTTCTACATTTCTTTCTTCACAGGGAGTATCTTTATTTAAAAAAAGTTTAAAAAGAGAAACAAACAAACATTCTGAGCAAACAATGTAAAATAAAAAGTAAAAGTGCAACAAATATTGTAAATTAAAAACAATATATAACAATATAAAATACAGCAAACACAGGTAGAGTAAATTAAATGTAATGAATACATATAAATGCATAATTGAAGCAGTAAAGAGTGTATTATTTCTTTTAGAGACCAGAATCAAACAAATGATCAGTACACAAACCTTGATAAAAGCAATGTCACCTTTCTTGCAGGTAAGGGTGGGGGTGGGGAGTCTGGTGCAGGGAGTACTGAAGGTGTGAAAACCCCTGATGGGGGGTGGGGGTGGATGTGCCTCACTCCCCTCTTCTTGGTGGCTGTGAAAATGGTGATCAATTACTATGCAGAACAAAAATAAATAACATTTGTACATTTCACTGAAGGACAAGTTGTGGATATATGTAAACTTATTCACTAAATTGAGTAGCTCTACTATATTTTGTTTGCATTGATATGTACTTCATTTATTTTTCTCATAAAGAATATATTCAAAGACAGATAAAATGCAGTATCTGCAAGCAAAGTAAGCCCAAAATAAACAGATATAGTGAAACTGCAGTAATATTCAATGGTATTGGATTGCCATACTTACTACAGTGTTTACAGTTTTATGACAAATGTGTTCCATGCATATCAATTTACACAACATGGCCTTATAGATAAATGCAAATACTTACTAGTAAACTGGGTCCACTTCTGATGTAAACAATGCCTCCTCCTCGGAGCCGACGCCATTACTGATTCAGACGAGACCTCAAATTCACCGTCTGAGCCCCGCTGAATTTCTAATAAAATGTCTGCCATATCCCTCTAAGAGTTGAATGTTTCTTTTCCTGGTTGAAAAGTACTCAAGAGAAGTTTTATAAGTGGTGTAGAAAGTTTACAGGAGAGTCCCAACTGATCTGTGTGCGATGCAGCATCCTGCCTTCGTCTGTGGGGCGCTGCACCTAAAAGCGCACAAATTACGAACACTTTACGCCCGGCTTTTTTCAAATCTGGGAAATGTAGTCTTTGGAAAGATTGATGCCAATCGATTCAGTAGGTTCTCCCCTTTCAAATGACTACAGACATGGCCGGACGGAGCCTGTCTCCGCTACACTGTAAAGCTTTGATTCGGTCGATGTCGCAAAATTTAAATGTCCAGACAGAGACACCAAGACAGATTAAAATCGACATAAAAAGGTAACGTTTACACTAAAACAGACATCCGACCCAGTTCTGTGAACATTAGAGTTCAAACTTTGATTGAGAATTGAAAGTAAACACCGCGGTCAAGTTTCAATACATTTTTTACAGCGTTTAAATACATGCAGCAAAATCTCGGCCCGGGAGAGGGACCGTCGGGCGCAACGGGTTAACTTAACACCAGTTAAATTGACACACGGCATGTCAGATTTCACCTCTCCAATAACCAATTCTCAAGTTTAACAATTTCCACAACCTCAAGTTAGAAAACACCATAAACTCAAGTTCAAAAACACCACAAACTCAAGTTAAAACATGACACAAACTAAGGTTCAACAAAAACCACAAACTCAAGTTCAACCAATACCCAATTCTCAAGTTTAAAAATTTCCACAACCTCAAGTTCAAAAACAACACAAACTCAAGTGCAAAAACACCACAAACTCAAGTTCAAAAAACACACAAACTCAAGTTAAAAAACACCACAACCTCAAGTTCAAACACGACACAAACTCAAGATCAACAAACACCACAAACTCAAGTTCAAAAACAACACAAACTCGAGTTCAAAAACACCACAAAATCAAGTTCAAACACGTCACAAACCTCAAGTTCAACAATTGCCACAACCTCAAGTTCAAAAACTGCCACAGACTCAAGTTCAAAAACACCACAACCTCAAGTTCAAAAAACACCACAAACTGAAGTTCAAACACGACACAAACTCAAGTTCAACAAACACACAAACTCAAGTTCAACCAATACCCAATTCTCAAGTTTAACAATTTCCACAACCTCAAGTTCAAAAACACCACAAACTCGAGTTCAAAAACACCACAAAATCATGTTCAAACACGTCACAAACTCAAGTTGAACAAATGCTACAAACTCAAGTTCCACAATTGCAACCAACTAAAGTTCACTAAAAACCACAGACTCAAGTTCAACAATTGCCACAACCTCAAGTTCAGAAACAACAAACTCAAGTTGAAAAAACACACAAACTCAAGTTCAAACACGCAAACTCAAGTTCAAAAAAACCACAACCTCAAGCTCAAAAACGACACAAACTCAAATTCAACAAAAACCACAAACTCAGGTTCAACCAACACCTGATTCTCTAGTTTAACAATTTCCACAACCTCAAGTTCAAAAACAACACAAACTCAAGTACAAAAACGCCACAAACTCAAGTTCAAACACGCCACAAACTCAAATTCAAACACGCCACAAACTCAAGTTCAAAAAACACACGAACTCAAGTTCAAAAACACCACAACCTCAAGTTCAAACACGACACAAACTCAAGTTCAAAAAACACCACAACCTCAAGTTCAAAAACAACACAAACTCAAGTACAAAAAACACCACAAACTCAAGTTAGAACACGACACAAAATCAAGTTCAACAAAAACCACAAACTCAAATTCAACCAAAACCTGATTCTCAAGTTTGACTATTTTCACAACCTCAAGTTCAAAAAACACACCACAAACTCAAGTTCAAACACGCCACAAACTCAAGTTCAAACACGCCACAAACTCAAGTTAAAAAAACACAAGAACTCAAGCTCAAAAACACCACAACCTCAAGTTAAAAAATCCCACAAACTCAAGTTCAAACACGGCAAAAACTCAAGTTCAACAAACACACAAACTCGAGTTAAAAAACACCACAACCTCAAGTTCAAACACGACACAAACTCAAGTTCAACAAAAACCACAAACTCAAATTCAACAGATGTCAAAGTTTAAAGTTCAACCAACACCCAAATCCCAATCCTCAAGTATAACCATTCCACAAACTGAAGTTCAAAAACACCACAACCTCAAGTTAAAAAACCCCACAAACTCAAGTTCAAACACGCCACAAACTCAAGTTCAAAAAACACATGAACTCAAGTTCAAAAACAACACAAACTCAAGTTCAAACACGACACAAACTAAATTTCAGCAAACACCACAAACTCAAGTTCAACAAATGTCAAAGTTTTAAGTTCAACCAAAACCTGATTCTCATTTTTAACAATTTTCACAACTTCAAGTTCAAAAAACACCACAAACTCAAGTTCAAAAACACGACAACCTCAAGCTCAAAAAACACCACAAACTGAAGTTCAAACACTACACAAACTCAAGTTCAACAAACACCACAAATTCAAGTTCAACCAACACAAACACAGGTTTAATAATTTCCACAAACTGAAGTTCAAAAACACCACAACCTCAAGTTAAAAAAACCCCACAAACTCAAGTTCAAACACGGCAAAAACTCAAGTTCAACAAACACACACACTCGAGTTCAAAAACACCACAACCTCAAGTTCAAACACGACACAAACTCAAGTTCAACAAAAACCACAAACTCAAGTTCAACCAAAACCTGATTCTCAAGTTTAACAATTTTCACAACCTCAAGTTAAAAAAACACAACAAACTCAAGTTCAAACACGCAACAACCTCAAGTTCAAAAACACCACAACCTCAAGCTCAAAAAACACCACAAACTGAAGTTCAAACACGACACAAACTCAAGTTCAACAAACACCACAAATTCAAGTTCAACCAACACAAACACAGGTTTAATAATTTCCACAAACTGAAGTTCAAAAACACCACAACCTCAAGTTAAAAAAAACCCACAAACTCAAGTTCAAACACGGCAAAAACTCAAGTTCAACAAACACACAAACTCAAGTTCAACCAATACCCAATTCTCAAGTTTAACAATTTCCACAACCTCAAGTTCAAAAACACCACAAACTCGAGTTCAAAAACACCACAAAATCAAGTTCAAACACGTCACAAACCCAAGTTGAACAAATGCCACAAACTCAAGTTCAACAATTGCCACCAACTAAAGTTCACTAAAAACCACAGACTCAAGTTCAACAAATGCCACAACCTCAAGTTCAGAAACAACAAACTCAAGTTCAAAAAACACACAAACTCAAGATCAACAAACACGCAAACTCAAGTTTAAAAAAACCACAAACTCAAGCTCAAAAACGACACAAACTCAAGTTCAACAAAAACCACAAACTCAAGTTCAACCAACACCTGATTCTCTAGTTTAACAATTTCCACAACCTCAAGTTCAAAAAAGACACAAACTCAAGTACAAAAACGTCACAAACTCAAGTTCAAACACGCCACAAACTCAAGTTCAAACACTCCACAAACTCAAGTTCAAAAAACACACGAACTCAAGTTCAAAAACACCACAACCTCAAGTTCAAACACGACACAAACTCAAGTTCAAAAAACACCACAACCTCAAGTTCAAAAACAACACAAACTCAAGTACAAAACACCACAAACTCAAGTTCAAACACGACACAAACTCAAGTTCAACAAAAACCACAAAATCAAGTTCAACCAAAACCTGATTCTCAAGTTTGAAAATTTTTACAACCTCAAGTTCAAAAAACACCACAAACTCAAGTTCAAACACGCCAGAAACTCAAGTTCAAACACGCCACAACCTCAAGTTCAAAACGACACAAACTCAAGTTCAAAAAACACCACAAACTCAAGTTCAAAAACACCACGAACTCAAGTTCAAACACGACACAAACTAAATTTCAACAAACACCACAAACTCAAGTTCAACAAATGCCAAAGTTTTAAGTTCAACCAAAACCTGATTCTCAAGTTTAACAATTTTCACAACTTCAAGTTCAAAAAACACCACAAACTCAAGTTCAAAAAAACCACAACCTCAAGCTCAAAAAACACCACAAACTGAAGTTCAAACACTACACAAACTCAAGTTAAACAAACACCACAAATTCAAGTTCAACCAACAACCAATCCTCAAGGTGAACAATTTCGCCAAACTGAAGTTCAAAAACACCACAACCTCAAGTTAAAAAAACCCCACAAACTCAAGTTCAAACACGGCAAAAACTCAAGTTCAACAAACACACAAACTTGAGTTAAAAAACACCACAACCTCAAGGTCAAACACGACACAAACTCAAGTTCAACAAAAACCACAAACTCAAATTCAACAAATGTCAAAGTTTTAAGTTCAACCAACACCCAAATCTCAATTTAACAATTGCAACAACCTCAAGTTCAAACACGCCACAAACTCAAGTTCAAAAAACACACGAACTCGGGTCCAAAAACACCACAACCTCAAGTTCAAACACGACACAAACTCAAGTTCAAAAAACACCACAACCTCAAGTTCAAAAACAACAGAAACTCAAGTACAAAAACACCACAAACTCAAGTTCAAACATGACACAAAATCAAGTTCAACAAAAACCACAAATTCAAGTTCAACCAACACCCAATCCTCAAGTTTAACAATTTCCACAAACTGAAGTTCAAAAACACCACAACCTCAAGTTAAAAAAACCCCACAAACTCAAGTTCAAACACGGCAAAAACTCAAGTTCAACAAACACACAAACTCGAGTTAAAAAACACCACAACCTCAAGTTCAAACACGACACAAACTCAAGTTCAACAAAAACCACAAACTCAAATTCAACAAATGTCAAAGTTTTAAGTTCAACCAACACCCAAATCTCAATTTAACAATTGCAACAACCTCAAGTTCAAACACGCCACAAACTCAAGTTCAAAAAACACACGAACTCGGGTCCAAAAACACCACAACCTCAAGTTCAAACACGACACAAACTCAAGTTCAAAAAACACCACAACCTCAAGTTCAAAAACAACAGAAACTCAAGTACAAAAACACCACAAACTCAAGTTCAAACATGACACAAAATCAAGTTCAACAAAAACCACAAACTCAAGTTCAACCAAAACCTGATTCTCAAGTTTAACAATTTTCACTACCTCAAGTTCAAAAACACCACAACCTCAAGTTCAAACATGACACAAACTCAAGTTCAAAAAACACCACAAACTCAAGTTCAAAAACACCACAAACTCAAGTTCAAACACGACACAAACTAAATTTCAACAAACACCACAAACTCAAGTTCAACAAATGTCAAAGTTTTAAGTTCAACCAAAACCTGATTCTCAAGTTTTCATAACTTAGCGTTTAAAAAACACCACAAACTCAAGTTCAAAAACACCACAACCTGAAGCTCAAAAAACACCACAAACTGAAGTTCAAACACTACACAAACTCAAGTTCAACAAACACCACAAATTCAAGTTCAACCAACACCCAATCCTCAAGTTTAACAATTTCCACAAACTGAAGTTCAAAAACACCACAACCTCAAGTAAAAAAAACCCACAAACTCAAGTTCAAACACGGCAAAAACTCAAGTTCAACAAACACACAAACTCAAGTTCAAAAACACCACAACCTCAAGTTCAAACATGACAAAAACTCAAGTTCAACAAAAACCACAAACTCAAGTTCAACCAAAACCTGATTCTCAAGTTTAACAATTTTCACAACCTCAAGTTAAAAAAACACCACAAACTCAAGTTCAAACACGCAACAAACTCAAGTTCAAAAACACCACAACCTCAAGTTCAAAAAACACCACAAACTGAAGTTCAAACACGACACAAACTCAAGTTCAACCAACACACAAAATGAAGTTCAACCAACACAAACACAGGTTTAACAATTTCCACAACCTCAAGTTCAAAAACACCACAAACTCGAGTTCAAAAACACCACAAAATCATGTTCAAACACGTCACAAACTCAAGTTGAACAAATGCTACAAACTCAAGTTCCACAATTGCAACCAACTAAAGTTCACTAAAAACCACAGACTCAAGTTCAACAATTGCCACAACCTCAAGTTCAGAAACAACAAACTCAAGTTCAAAAAACACACAAACTCAAGTTCAAACACGCAAACTCAAGTTAAAAAAAACCACAACCTCAAGCTCAAAAACGACACAAACTCAAATTCAACAAAAACCACAAACTCAGGTTCAACCAACACCTGATTCTCTAGTTTAACAATTTCCACAACCTTAAGTTCAAAAACAACACAAACTCAAGTACAAAAATGCCACAAACTCAAGTTCAAACACGCCACAAACTCAAGTTCAAACACGACACAAACTCAAGTTAAAAAAAAAACACAACCTCAAGTTCAAAAACAACACAAACTCAAGTACAAAAACACCACAAACTCAAGTTCAAACACGACACAAAATCAAGTTCAACAAAAACCACAAACTCAAGTTCAACCAAAACCTGATTCTCAAGTTTGACTATTTTCACAAACTCAAGTTCAAAAAACACCACAAACTCAAGTTCAAACACGCCACAAACTCAAGTTAAAAAAACACAAGAACTCAAGCTCAAAAACACCACAACCTCAAGTTCAAAATGACACAAACTCAAGTTCAAAAAACACCACAAACTCAAGTTCAAAAACACCACGAACTCAAGTTCAAACACGACACAAACTAAATTTCAAACACCACAAACTCAAGTTCAACAAATGTCAAAGTTTTAAGTTCAACCAAAACCTGATTCTCAAGTTTAACAATTTTCACAACTTCAAGTTCAAAAAACACCACAAACTCAAGTTCAAAAACACCACAACCTCAAGCTAAAAAAACACCACAAACTGAAGTTCAAACACTACACAAACTCAAGTTAAACAAACACCACAAATTCAAGTTCAACCAACACCCAATCCTCAAGTATAACCATTCCACAAACTGAAGTTCAAAAACACCACAACCTCAAGTTAAAAAACCCCACAAACTCAAGTTCAAACACGGCAAAAACTCAAGTTCAACAAACACACAAACTTGAGTTAAAAAACACCACAACCTCAAGTTCAAACACGACACAAACTCAAGTTCAACAAAAACCACAAACTCAAATTCAACAGATGTCAAAGTTTTAAGTTCAACAAACACCCAAATCTCAATTTAACAATTGCAACAACCTCAAGTTCAAACACGCCACAAACTCAAGTTCAAAAAACACACGAACTCAAGTCCAAAAACACCACAACCTCAAGTTCAAACACGACACAAACTCAAGTTCAAAAAACACCACAACCTCAAGTTCAAAAACAACACAAACTCAAGTACAAAAACACCACAAACTCAAGTTCAAACACGACACAAACTCAAGTTCAAAAAACACCACAAACTCAAGTTCAAAAACACCACAAACTCAAGTTCAAACACGACACAAACTAAATTTCAACAAACACCACAAACTCAAGTTCAACAAACGTCAAAGTTTTAAGTTCAACCAAAACCTGATTCTCAAGTTTAACAATTTTCACAACTTCAAGTTCAAAAAACACCACAAACTCAAGTTCAAAAACACGACAACCTCAAGCTCAAAAAACACCACAAACTGAAGTTCAAACACTACACAAACTCAAGTTCAACTAACACCACAAATTCAAGTTCAACCAACACAAACTCAAGTTTAATAATTTCCACAAACTGAAGTTCAAAAACACCACAACCTCAAGTTAAAAAAACCCCACAAACTCAAGTTCAAACACGGCAAAAACTCAAGTTCAACAAACACACAAACTCGAGTTCAAAAACACCACAACCTCAAGTTCAAACACGACACAAACTCAAGTTCAACAAAAACCACAAACTCAAGTTCAACCAAAACCTGATTCTCAAGTTTAACAATTTTCACAACCTCAAGTTAAAAAAACACCTCAAACTCAAGTTCAAACACGCAACAAACTCAAGTTCAAAAACACCACAACCTCAAGCTCAAAAAACACCACAAACTGAAGTTCAAACACGACACAAACTCAAGTTCAACAAACACACAAACTAAAGTTTAACCAAAACCCAATTCTCAAGTTTAACAATTTCCACAACCTCAAGTTCAAAAACACCACAAACTCGAGTTCAAAAACACCACAAAATCAAGTTCAAACACGTCACAAACCCAAGTTGAACAAATGCCACAAACTCAAGTTCAACAATTGCCATCAACTAAAGTTCACTAAAAACCACAGACTCAAGTTCAACAATTGCCACAACCTCAAGTTCAGAAACAACAAACTCAAGTTCAACAAACACGCAAACTCAAGTTTAAAAAAACCACAAACTCAAGCTCAAAAACGACACAAACTCAAGTTCAACAAAAACCACAAACTCAAGTTCAACCAACACCTGATTCTCTAGTTTAACAATTTCCACAACCTCAAGTTCAAAAACACCACAAACTCAAGTACAAAAACGTCACAAATTCAAGTTCAAACACGCCACAAACTCAAGTTCAAACACGCCACAAACTCAAGTTCAAAAAACACACGAACTCAAGTTCAAAAACACCACAACCTCAAGTTCAAACACGACACAAACTCAAGTTCAAAAAACACCACAACCTCAAGTTCAAAAACAACACAAACTCAAGTACAAAGCACCACAAACTCAAGTTCAAACACGACACAAACTCAAGTTCAACAAAAACCAAAAACTCAAGTTCAACCAAAACCTGGTTCTCAAGTTTGACAATTTTCACAACCTCAAGTTCAAAAAACACCACAAACTCAAGTTCAAACACGCCACAAACTCAAGTTCAAACACGCCACAAACTCAAGTTAGAAAAAACACAAGAACTCAAGTTCAAAAAACACCACAAACTCAAGTTCAAAAACACCACGAACTCAAGTTCAAACACGACACAAACTAAATTTCGAACACCACAAACTCAAGTTCAACAAATGTCAAAGTTTTAAGTTCAACCAAAACCTGATTCTCAAGTTTAACAATTTTCACAACTTCAAGTTCAAAAAACACCACAAACTCAAGTTCAAAAACACCACAACCTCAAGCTAAAAAAACACCACAAACTGAAGTTCAAACACTACACAAACTCAAGTCAAACAAACACCACAAATTCAAGTTCAACCAACACCCAATCCTCAAGTATAACCATTCCACAAACTGAAGTTCAAAAACACCACAACCTCAAGTTAAAAAACCCCACAAACTCAAGTTCAAACATGGCAAAAACTCAAGTTAAACAAACACACAAACTTGAGTTAAAAAACACCACAACCTCAAGTTCAAACACGACACAAACTCAAGTTCAACAAAAACCACAAATTAAATTCAACAGATGTCAAAGTTTTAAGTTCAACCAACACCCAAATCTGAATTTAACAATTGCAACAACCTCAAGTTCAAACACGCCACAAACTCAAGTTCAAAAAACACACGAACTCGAGTCCAAAAACACCACAACCTCAAGTTCAAACACGACACAAACTCAAGTTCAAAAAACACCACAACCTCAAGTTCAAAAACAACACAAACTCAAGTACAAAAACACCACAAACTCAAGTTCAAACATGACACAAACTCAAGTTCAAAAAACACCACAAACTCAAGTTCAAAAACACCACAAACTCAAGTTCAAACACGACACAAACTAAATTTCAACAAACACCACAAACTCAAGTTCAACAAATGTCAAAGTTTTAAGTTCAACCAAAACCTGATTCTCAAGCTTAACAATTTTCACAACTTCAAGTTCAAAAAAAACCACAAACTCAAGTTCAAAAACACCACAACCTCAAGCTCAAAAAACACCACAAACTGAAGTTCAAACACTACACAAACTCAAGTTAAACAAACACCACAAATTCAAGTTCAACCAACACCCAATCCTCAAGTATAACCATTCCACAAACTGAAGTTCAAAAACACCACAACCTCAAGTTAAAAAACCCCACAAACTCAAGTTCAAACATGGCAAAAACTCAAGTTCAACAAACACACAAACTTGAGTTAAAAAACACCACAACCTCAAGTTCAAACACGACACAAACTCAAGTTCAACAAAAACCACAAACTCAAATTCAACAGATGTCAAAGTTTTAAGTTCAACCAACACCCAAATCTGAATTTAACAAATGCAACAACCTCAAGTTCAAACACGCCACAAACTCAAGTTCAAAAAACACACGAACTCGAGTCTAAAAACACCACAACCTCAAGTTCAAACACGACACAAACTCAAGTTCAAAAAACACCACAAACTCAAGTTCAAACACGACACAAACTCAAGTTCAAAAAACACCACAAACTCAAGCTCAAAAACACCACAAACTCAAGTTCAAACACGACACAAACTAAATTTCAACAAAAACCACAAACTCAAGTTCAACAAATGTCAAAGTTTTAAGTTCAACCAAAACCTGATTCTCAAGTTTAACAATTTTCACAACTTCAAGTTCAAAAAACACCACAAACTCAAGTTCAAAAACACGACATCCTCAAGCTCAAAAAACACCACAAACTGAAGTTCAAACACTACACAAACTCAAGATCAACAAACACCACAAATTCAAGTTCAACCAACACAAACTCAAGTTTAATAATTTCCACAAACTGAAGTTCAAATACACCACAACCTCAAGTTAAAAAAACCCCACAAACTCAAGTTCAAACACGGCAAAAACTCAAGTTCAACAAACACACAAACTCGAGTTCAAAAACACCACAACCTCAAGTTCAAACACAACACAAACTCAAGTTCAACAAAAACCACAAACTCAAGTTCAACCAAAACCTGATTCTCAAGATTAACAATTTTCACAACCTCAAGTTAAAAAAACACCACAAACTCAAGTTCAAACACGCAACAAACTCAAGTTCAAAAACACCACAACCTCAAGCTCAAAAAACACCACAAACTGAAGTTCAAACACGACACAAACTCAAGTTCAACAAACACCACAACCTCAAGTTCAAACACGACACCCAATCCTCAAGTTTAACAATTTCCACAACCTCAAGTTCAAAAACACCACAACCTCAAGTAAAAAAACCCCACAAACTCAAGTTCAAAAACGACACAAACTCAAGTTTAACAAAAACGACAAACTCAAGTTCAACCAACACCTGATTCTCTAGTTTAACAATTTCCACAACCTCAAGTTCAAAAACAACACAAACTCAAGTACAAAAATGTCACAAACTCAAGTTCAAACACGCCACAAACTCAAGTTCAAACAAGCCACAAACTCAAGTTCAAAAAACACACGAACTCAAGTTCAAAAACACCACAACCTCAAGTTCAAAAACAACACAAACTCAAGTACAAAACACCACAAACTCAAGTTCAAACACGACACAAACTCTAGTTCAAAAAACACCACAAACTCAAGTTCAAACACGCAACAAACTCAAGTTCAACAAACACACAAAATCAAGTTCAACCAATACCCAATTCTCAAGTTTAACAATTTCCACAACCTCAAGTTCAAAAACACCACAACCTCAAGTTCAAAAAACACCACAAACTGAAGTTCAAACACGACACAAACTCAAGTTCAACAAACACACAAAATCAAGTTCAACCAATACCCAATTCTCAAGTTTAACAATTTCCACAACCTCAAGTTCAAAAACACCACAAACTCGAGTTCAAAAACACCACAAAATCATGTTCAAACACGTCACAAACTCAAGTTGAACAAATGTTACAAACTTAAGTTCCACAATTGCAACCAACTAAAGTTCACTAAAAACCACAGACTCAAGTTCAACAATTGCCACAACCTCAAGTTCAGAAACAACAAACTCAAGTTCAAAAAACACACAAACTCAAGTTCAAAAAACCACAACCTCAAGTTCAAAAACAACACAAACTCAAGTTCAACAAAAACCACAAACTCAAGTTCAACCAACACCTGATTCTCTAGTTTAACAATTTCCAAAACCTCAAGTTCAAAAACAACACAAACTCAAGTACAAAAACACCACAAACTCAAGTTCAAACACGCCACAAACTCAAGTTCAAACACGCCACACCCTCAAGTTCAAAAAACACACGAATTCAAGTTCAAAAACACCACAACCTTAAGTTCAAACACGCAACAAACTCAAGTTCAAAAACACCACAACCTCAAGTTCAAAAAACACCACAAACTGAAGTTCAAACACGACACAAACTCAAGTTCAACAAACACACAAAATCAAGTTCAACCAATACCCAATTCTCAAGTTTAACAATTTCCACAACCTCAAGTTCAAAAACACCACAAACTCGAGTTCAAAAACACCACAAAATCATGTTCAAACACGTCACAAACTCAAGTTGAACAAATGCTACAAACTTAAGTTCCACAATTGCAACCAACTAAAGTTCACTAAAAACCACAGACTCAAGTTCAACAATTGCCACAACCTCAAGTTCAGAAACAACAAACTCAAGTTCAAAAAACACACAAACTCAAGTTCAAAAAACACACAAACTCAAGTTCAAAAAACCACAACCTCAAGCTCAAAAACGACACAAACTCAAGTTCAACAAAAACCACAAACTCAAGTTCAACCAACACCTGATTCTCTAGTTTAACAATTTCCAAAACCTCAAGTTCAAAAACAACACAAACTCAAGTACAAAAACACCACAAACTCAAGTTCAAACACGCCACAAACTCAAGTTCAAACACGCCACACCCTCAAGTTCAAAAAACACACGAATTCAAGTTCAAAAACACCACAACCTTAAGTTCAAACACGACACAAACTCAAGTTCAAAAAACACCACAACCTCAAGTTCAAAAACAACGCAAACCCAAGTACAAAAACACCATAAACTCAAGTTCAAGACACAAAATCAAGTTCAACAAAAACCACAAACTCAAGTTCAACCAAAACCTGATTCTCAAGTTTAACAATTTTCCCAACCTCAAGTTCAAAAAACCCCACAAACTCAAGTTCAAACACGCCACAAACTCAAGTTCAAAAAACAGAAGAACTCAAGTTCAAAAACACCACAACCTCAAGTTCAAACACGACACAAACTCAAGTTAAAAAAAAAAACACAAACCCAAGTACAAAAACACCACAAACTCAAGTTCAAACATGACACAAACAAATTTCAACAAAAACCACAAACTCAAGTTCAACAAATGTCAAAGTTTTAAGTTCAACCAACACCCAAATCTCAAGTTTCACAATTGCAACAACCTCAAGTTCAAACACGCCACAAACTCAAGTTCAAACACAACACAAACTCAAGTTCAACGAACACCAAAAACTCAAGTTCAACAAATGTAAAAAATTTTAAGTTCAACCAACCAACCAAGTTCAAACACACCACAAACTCAAGTTCAACAAACACACAAACTCAAGTTCAAAAACACCAAAAAACTCAAGTTCAAACACGACACAAACTGAAGTTCAACAAACACAAAAACTCAAGTTCAGAAACACCAAACTCAAGTTCAAAAAACACACAAACTCAAGTTCAACAAACACGCAAACTCAAGTTAAAAAAACCCTTCAAACTCTGGCTCAAAACCGCCATAAACTCAAGTTCAAACACGACACAAACTCAAGTTCAACAAACACCACAAACTCAAGTTCAACCAACACCCAATCCTCAAGTTGAACAATTTCCACAAACTGAAGATCAAAAAACCACAACCTCAAGTTCAAAAAACACAATAACTCAAGTTCAACAAACAAGCAACCTCAAGTTCAAAAACACCACAACCTCAAGTTCAAACACGACACAAACTCAAGTTCAATCAACACCCAGATCTCAAGTTTAACAATTTCCACAACCTCAAGTTCAAACATGCCACAATCTCAAGTTCAAAAAGACCACAACCTCAAGCTCAAAAAACACCAAAAACTGAAGTTCAAACACGACACAAACTGAAGTTCAACAAACACAAAAACTCAAGTTCAGAAACACCAAACTCAAGTTCAACAAACACGCAAACTCAAGTTAAAAAACCCCCGCAAACTTTGTGTTTGTTGAACTTGAGTTTGTGTCGTGTTTGAACTTGAGTTTGTGGCGTTTTTGAGCCAGAAACTCAAGTTCAGAAACACCAAACTCAAGTTCAAAAAACACACAAACTCAAGTTCAACAAACACGCAAACTCAAGTTAAAAAAACCCTTCAAACTCTGGCTCAAAACCGCCATAAACTCAAGTTCAAACACGACACAAACTCAAGTTCAACAAACACCACAAACTCAAGTTCAACCAACACCCAATCCTCAAATTAAACAATTTCCACAAACTGAAGATCAAAAAACCACAAACCTCAAGTTCAAAAAACAAACAAACTCAAGTTCAACAAACAAGCAACCTCAAGTTCAAAAACACCACAACCTCAAGTTCAAACACGCCACAAACTCAAGTTCAAAAACACCACAACCTCAAGCATAAAAAAACACCACAAACTGAAGTTCAAACACGACACAAACTCAAGTTCAAGAATCAAAGAAACTCTAGTTCAACCAATACCCAATTCTCAAGTTTAACAATTTCCACAACCTCAAGTTCAAAAACACCACAAACTCAAGTTCAAAAACACCACAAAATCAAGTTCAAACACGACACAAACTCAAGTTCAACGAACACACAAACTCAAGTTCAACCAACACCTGATCCTAAAGTTCAACAATTTCCACAAACTGAAGTTCAAAAACACCACAAACTCAAGTTAAAAAAACACCACAAACTCAAGTCCAAACATGACACAAACTCAAGTTCAACAAAAACCACAAACTCAATTTCAACAAACACCACAAACTCAAATTAAAACTCGACACAAACTCAAGTTCAACCAAAACCCAAATCTCAAGTTTAAAAATTTCCACAACCTCAAATTCAATAACATCACAAACCCTAGTTCAACCAACACCTGATTCTAAGGTTTAACAATTTCCACAACCTCAAGTTCAAAAACACCAAAAACTCAAGTTCAAAAACACCACCAACTCAAGTTCAAACACGACACAAACTCAAGTTCAAACACGACACAAACTCAAGTTCAACAAACACCACAAACTCAAGTTCAACCAACACCCAATCCTAAAGTTCAACAATTTCCACAAACTGAAGATCAAAAAACCACAAACCTCAAGTTCAAAAAACAAACAAACTCAAGTTCAACAAACAAGCAACCTCAAGTTCAAAAACACCACAACCTCAAGTTCAAACACGCCACAAACTCAAGTTCAAAAACACCACAACCTCAAGCTCAAAAAACACCACAAACTGAAGTTCAAACACGACACAAACTCAAGTTCAAGAATCAAAGAAACTCTAGTTCAACCAATACCCAATTCTCAAGTTTAACAATTTCCACAACCTCAAGTTCAAAAACACCACAAACTCAAGTTCAAAAACACCACAAAATCAAGTTCAAACACGACACAAACTCAAGTTCAACGAACACACAAACTCAAGTTCAACCAACACCTGATCCTAAAGTTCAACAATTTCCACAAACTGAAGTTCAAAAACACCACAAACTCAAGTTAAAAAAACACCACAAACTCAAGTCCAAACATGACACAAACTCAAGTCCAAACATGACACAAACTCAAGTTCAACAAACACCACAAACTCAAATTAAAACTCGACACAAACTCAAGTTCAACCAAAACCCAAATCTCAAGTTTAACAATTTCCACAACCTCAAATTCAATAACATCACAAACTCTAGTTCAACCAACACCTGATTCTAAGGTTTAACAATTTCCACAACCTCAAGTTCAAAAACACCAAAAACTCAAGTTCAAAAACACCACCAACTCAAGTTCAAACACGACACAAACTCAAGTTCAAACACGACACAAACTCAAGTTCAACGAACACACAAACTCAAGTTCAACCAACACCTGATCCTAAAGTTCAACAATTTCCACAAACTGAAGTTCAAAAACACCACAAACTCAAGTTAAAAAAACACCACAAACTCAAGTCCAAACATGACACAAACTCAAGTTCAACAAAAACCACAAACTCAAGTTCAACAAATGTCAAACTTTTAAGTTAAACAAACACCCAAATCTCAAGTTTAACAATTGCCACAACCTCAAGTTCAAACACGACACAAACTCAAGTTCAACCATGTCACAAACTCAAGTTCAACAAACGCCACAAACTCAAGTTCAACAATTGCCACGAACTAAATTTCACTTAAAACCACAGACTCAAGTTCAACTATTGCCACAAACTCAAGTTCAACAAACTAAAGTTCAAAAATTGCCACAAACTTAAGTTAAAAAAACACACATACTCAAGTTCAACAAACAACACAAACTCAAGTTTGTAATCACCACAATCTCAAGTTCAAACAAGAAAAAAACTCAAGTTCAAAATACACTACAAACTCAAGTTCAACCAACAACCAAATCTCAAGTTTAACAATTGCCAAAACCTCAAGTTTAAAAACAAAAGAAACATCACAAAACGTCACAAACTCAAGTTTAACAAACGCCAACAAATTCAAGTTCAACAATTGCCACAAACTACGTTTCAAAAAAACTAGAGTTCAAAAATTGCCGAAAACTTAAGTTCAAAAACACCACAAACTGAAGTTCAAACACGACACAAACTCAAGTTCAACAAACACACAAACTCATGTTCAACCAATACCCAATTCTCAAGTTTAACAATTTCCACAACCTCAAGTTCAACAAATGCCACAAACTCAAGTTCAACAATTCCCACCAACTAAAGTTCACTAAATTTCCACAATTTCCAAAACCTCAAGTTAGAAAACACCATAAACTCAGGTTCAAAAACAACACAAACTCAAGTTCAAGCACAAGACAAACTCAAGTTAAACAAACACACAAACTCAAGCTCAAAAACACCATAATCTCAAGTTCAAACACGACACAAACTCAAGTTCAACAAACACACTAACTCAAGTTCAACCAACACCTGATTCTCAAGTTTAACTATTTCCACAACCTCAAATTCAAAAACAACAGAAACTCAAGTTCACCAAACATGCAACTCAAGTTCAACACGTCACAAACTAAAGTTTGAACAGGACACAAACTCAAGTTTATCAAAAACCACAAACGAGAATTCAACCAACACCCAAATCTCAAGTTGAACAATTGTTACAACCTCAAATTCAAAAACAACAGAATCTCAAGTTCAAAAAACACACAAACTCGATTTCACCAAACACGCAACTCAAGTTCAAACACAACACAAACTCAAGTTCAATCACGACACAAACTCAAGTTCAAAAACACAAAAAACTCAAGTTCAACCAATACCAATTCTCAAGTTTAACAATTTCCACAACCTCAAGTTCAAAAACACCAGAAACTCAAGTTCAACAAACACACAAACTCAAGTTCAAAAACAACACAAACTCAAGTTCAAACACGACACAAACTCAAGTTCAACAAACACACAAACTCAAGTTCAACCAACACCTTCTTAAGTTTAACAATTTCCACAAAATCAAGTTAAAAAAACAGAAACTCAAGTTCAAAAAACACAAAAACTCAAATTCACCAAACACACAAACTCAAGTTCAACCAACACCTTCTTAAGTTTAACAATTTCCACAAAATCAAGTTAAAAAAACAGAAACTCAGGTTCAAAAAACACAAAAACTCAAATTCACCAAACACGCAAATTCAAGTTCAAAAACACCAAAAACTCAGGTTCAACAAACACACAAACTCAAGTCCAAAAACACCACAAACTCAAGTTCAAACACGACACAAACTCAAGTTCAACAAACACACAAACTCAAGTTCAACCAACACCTTCTTAAGTTTAACAATTTCCACAAAATCAAGTTAAAAAATAACAGAAACTCAAGTTAAAAAAAACAAAAACTCAAATTCAATAAACACGAAACAAACAAGTTAAAAAAACCACAATCTCAAGTTCAAACACGACACAAACTCAAGTTCAACAAACACACTAACTCAAGTTCAACCAACACCTGATTCTCAAGTTTAACAATTTCCACATCCTCAAGTTCAAAAACACCAGAAACTCAAGTTCAAAAATTCCACAAACTCAAGTTCAAACACGACACAAACTCAAGTTCAACAAACGCCACAAACTCAAGTTCAAACATGAAACAAACTCAAGTTCAAAAACACCACAAACTCAAGTTCAACCAATACCCAATTCTCAAGTTTAACAAATTCCACACCCTCAAGTTCAAAAACACCACAAACTCAAGTTCAAACACGACACAAACTCAAGTTCAAAAACATCACAAACTCAAGTTCAAACACGACACAAACTCAAGTTCAAAATCACCACAAACTCAAGTTCAAACACGACACAAACTCAAGTTCAAGAAACAAACAAACTCAAGGTCAACAACACCTGATTCTAAGGTTTAACAATTTCCACAACCTCAAGTTCAAAAACAACAGAAACTCAAGTTAAAAAAACACACAAACTCAAGTTCACCAAACACGCAAATTCAAGTTCAAAAACACCACAAACTCAATTCAAACACGACACAAACTCAAGTTCAAAAACAGAAAAAACTCAAGTTCAACCAACACCTGATTCTCAAGTTTAACAATTTCCACAACCTCAAGTTCAAAAACACCAGAAACTCAAGTTCAACAAACACACAAACTCAAGTTCACCAAACATGCAACTCAAGTTCAAACACGACACAAACTCAAGTTCAACCAAGACACAAACTCAAGTTCAAACACGACACAAACTCAAGTTCAACAAACACACTTACTCAAGTTCAACCAACACCTGTTTCTCAAGTTTAACAATTTTAACAAACTCAAGTTCAACAAACACACAAACTCATGTTCAAAATCACAAAAAACTCAAGTTCAAACACGACACAAACTCAAGTTCAAGAAACACACAAACTCAAGGTCAACCAACACCTGATTCTAAGGTTTAACAATTTCCACAACCTCAAGTTCAAAAACAACAGAAACTCAAGTTAAAAAAACACACAAACTCAAGTTCACCAAACACGCAAATTCAAGTTCAAAAACACCACAAACTCAATTCAAACACGACACAAACTCAAGTTCAAAAACAGAAAAAACTCAAGTTCAACCAATACCCAATTCTCAAGTTTAACAATTTACACAACCTCATATTCAAAAACAC